TTATACATTGTCTCAGCCGGGAATTTACCTGAGAGACAAGGTGGGGCGAGACCATTAAAAGATAGATACCTTAGGTAGTTACAACTATAATATTATTGTATTTCACGAATTCGTCAAATATGTTCTGTCATGCTCACGCATGATCTTTGTTTCTTTTTATTTACCAAAAGATGATAAAGCTGCTTTCTAAAAAGAAATAAGTTAAGCACTTTTAAATTACATAATTTAAAAGTGCTTAACTGATAACATTATAGATGCGTCTGACAAAACCATATTTTCTATAATGTAAGCTATTTCCATTTCCACATGAATCTTAAATCGAAACCATTTAACTTTACAGAGAATCTAATTTCTTGTGATAATGACTCAGGAGCTACCTTCCTACTGCTTTAATGAGAATATATTTAAGTAGTACTGGTTATTGATAGTGACATCAAAGTGTGTACAGACATCGAGGATTCCGAAGAGCTGACACATCGGAGGTCTCGCAAGACTCTCATGAGGGGGAGTTAAGACTGGTCAACTGAGTCACCACTACCAGCCATAGTACGCATGCGCGGCTCAACCATGAGTCACAGCCTCGCAGTCACAGCTTGATATTATTGTGCCCGGCGAACGTCCGTTATTTATACGGAACAGATAATGTTGTTTGTAGGGCAACATGACGAACTGATAAACAATTAAATGAAATAATATTATCTTGTTGTTATCAGCTAAACTTTTTTTAACAAAGAAGTTTCTTTGTAAGTTTCAAGCATAGCATAACGATAGCAAGCAATTTGCTTGCTATTTTGAGTCTTAGATTACCCAACTATTATTAGGCAATATAAAGGTTCTTGCACTGGTCTACTATGAATCTTTATGTACCTATCTAAAGGCAGGTACTTGATTATTAAGGAAAAGCAATGATATCATATTCTAATAGATTTTTTAGGAAATTTGCTATGACAGAAGTAGTAACTGCTAGTTATCATTGTTTCCTTAACCAACTGCGGATGAACAAATTTTAATAACATTTCAGTGCAGTAATTTTGTCAGTGGCGAAAAATGCAACAACTTTATTGTGTTCTCAGTAATGTATGAAATAATGAATTTCGATGAATAAGTTTGTAGATTGCTCGCGTCGATCTGCCATATTTTCCATGATATGATTGGCCTATTCATGAAATAGTGTTAATCATGATATAATCTAGGAATTTTGTGAATACGCGAATAACTCGACTGGGCGAAGACAAATAAGTTAAGTCTAGAAAATTCTCATAAAGATCTCGTTTGCAGCAGCTGATCATTCACACAAATCACGCACAGTCATATTTTCGCAAAACAAATTTTGCAATATTGCTGTCAGTTGTGTCTTGGGGTCAGGGTTAGTGGGGTCAACGACCTTTTAGGGGTCATCAGTGGTGTAACATAATATAGTTGCCCAGAAACAATAATGAATTAATGATAAATAGGGAGTTAGCTCATCTTCTAGGTAGGTACCACAAAACAAGAGACATTGGCAGGTTTTGTTACCTGCACGGGAAATAAAGCTAACGCATTCTATCCTACTAGTCCTACTTTCTACTAATATAAATGTAAAGGATTGTATGTTTATGTGTTTGTTACTCAATCACGCAAAGACTACTGATGAAATTAGGTACGCATGCAGTTTATGACCTGGATTGAGACATAGGATACTATTTACCCGGAAAAAAACCTTAGTCCCTGAGGGATTTTCAAAAAACTAAACGCAGACGAAATCACGGGCAGCCGCTAGTAATACAATATTTATCTTCTTTTGTCACAAAATAGGTTGTAATATTGCTTTGTAATCTGAGTAAATATCTTGTCCTAAACATAAAGGTAGTTATGCATAGAAGGTAGTTAAATTACGCAGGTACGTAGGTACTTATTTGTTTGTGTAAATATCTCTCCTATTGACGCTTCAATGTTTGATATCGGTTGAGTCTAACTTGTTGTCCGAAGACAATAGTAACAGGTTGCCAAAAATAGTTCCTACTTACTGTCTTTGCGTGTGATGATATTCCTATTCGGCAGAGAAATTGAGCTGGCAGATAGCAGAACAACAAATTTTAATATTCGTCATTGTAAAAAAATCATAAGCTAAGCAGAGCCTATTTCGGGATTTGTGATCAATATTCCTACTTACTAGGTTTATTCATTGCAAATTTTCCCCCCATTAATTACTACTAATGTGAGACTTAAATCTGCTACCTACCTATAGTCTCATTTTAATTCAATACTATATAGGTACTATTATTAATATTACATAAGTACTTACATATACATAATCACAAATTAATAAAGATCAAATAATTTCAACTATATATTACAGAAATTAGGTCATAATAATCATAATGTGATCAAAATAAATGTGCGTCCGACTCGCAAACGAAGGGTTCCGTACTATCAAACAATATTTTACAATATAAATCCATTGAACTATTATTACTAGCGTAGTAATTACAACTTACTGCATAAATCAAGTTTCACTTTAAAAGACCAACGATATTAAAATATTTTTGATGGAGACCTTTAAATGTTTATTAACTTTTCAAAACATTTGCTCAAAAAATGCATTTATGGAGGTTGTATACATTGTTCGGAAGTTCAAAATTACGAGCCATCCAACGGAGAGTGCGGTAAAATGTTTTACCATATAGGGCGCCGTGCGTATTCTTTACTTTTTTTTTAATTGCGGTCGATTCTCCTCGGAAGCACCAATACAAAAAAAGCGTGTGTCTTGGGACGCACGACAGAAGTGATAACTTAAACTAATCTAAGCATCTAATTCAGGGCTTAGTTTCAGGGTCTATGTAATTATACTTCTTTCCGCAAAAAAGGAAAAGGTATAGGTACCTAATATGGTTCTGTTTGTCACCATTTGGATGTGGAACCCTAAGAAATCACTCCTGAGATGGATATTTAAAACCTAAGCCTATAGCTCAATCTAAAATGAGTATATCCTGGTGCTAAGTGACTATTATAGGTACCTGTGACTAGACACAACGAAAGCATTTTAGGAATAGGGTTCTTTTTGTCACCATTTGGATACGGAACCCTAATAATAACCCACTAAGTTTTTACCATGTTTTTTAGACGCTTTGATTAGGTCGATGCATGAATGAAAACGTATTGCCCAAGATGCCGCATGTGCTTACAACGACCGTTGTGGCTCCACCAATCGGAAGGCAGAATTTTACCGATTACCATAGATAGAGTTGCGGCAAAAGTGAAGAGGGATCCAAGGGCGAATAAAATTAATGGCAAATGGCATTCCAATTTCAATTTGCGAAAAAATGCTGACATTTGTCAATCAGGGCCGACAGCGTGTTGTGGACATTTTTAGGTCGTCTTGGTGTATGTAGGTTTTCATGTATAATTTTCGCAGTGTCTATCGGATAAAAATTAATACCTAATATTGTTTAGCACTGGTAGGGGTCCGTACACAGCGTCGATTGTGCCGCAACACGGCCTAGTGAAGCAGAGCGACCTCACATAGCGAGTGCGAACGACGCGACAAGATACCGCACCGACCGGCTTTTTTTTCCCTTGCCTTGCATCGTGTTCGCCGCATTGTGGTGGCTATTGTATTTTCTGCGTTGCGTTGCTGTTATAACCTCGGTAAGTTGTAAATCATATTAAATCCATTGTCAGTATTATCATGACATATTACTGTAGTATCTGTTAAATTTGTTTATTACAAGGACTAGAGTTAGAAATTATGTACCTATACTCTATTCAACTTCCTCCGAGACAAAAGATAAATAAATGAACCAACGTTTCTGAATGAGTATAGATAGGTAACTATTTACATATTTTGCAACTAGTCTTTGTTTTATTTTTAACGAATTAACAGCAATCGATTAATGTTGTTATTCCTAATAAGTTAAATTAAGCTACTGGTGTTATTTTTTGGATCGATGCCAAAACGCTAGCTTGATTCGCTATCACATCAGTCAGTCAGTCCAATTAACACGTTTTATACCTACTGTGCACAAATTTCGTAAAGGCAATACAATGTCTATCCGTCTGGTCCGTTGCCGAGTGCCTCGACTCATTGTGAGTGAGCTCCGTTGAAGATCGCGTCGATATCAAAACGAGTGGCGCGGCGCTATCAGCGAACGGGCCGGGCAAGGCAAGGCAACCGTCTCGGACGCGTAGCGAGGTGCGCGGCGGGGGGTCGCGCAGTCTCCCTCGCTGGAATACCATATATGGTAACGAAACCTCACGTAGCCTCCGATTGGTCGAGACTAGGCGAAGCAGGGAAGGGGCGCCCCGATAATCAACCTCATTTATATACTCTGTTCGCTTTGCTCGCCGACATTCCACGAAGTGAGCTCGAGTTGAATTGTTGTGCAGCATATCTGAAGGCTGTACACTAGCAGAATATTTATTTATTTATATTAGGAATATTTAATTAAAAGTAAGTTTCACGATTAATGTGCTTAAATGATTAGTGGTATTTTTGTGATTGTGTTGTGAAAAATTAGTGATGATTAGTGATTGTGCGGTCAGTGACACGCATGGGGTCGCACGACGCCGGGAGTTGTCTGGGATCGCCGGTTGCGGTAGGGCGTGGTCCGGGACTCCATTTCCAAAATTCAGTTATCACATTGAAATCGAATCGATATCTGGCTTGTATACCTTTATTCGAAAGTAAGCCATTTTGAATTGGCGAAACGGTTACTTTCTCGGTCAGTAAAACGTGTAGTTTGGTGAAATGTCGTTTCGCCGGTTCGCGAGTCCCCGTTGACGCCTTGCTGCATCTTATTAGACCTCACCATATTTGGTCTCGCTTGCGATCGTCGCCCACCTATAAGACACTGCGTTGTCGCGTAGGCATTCTACCTACATAATATCCGTTTATGGTGTCCGTTATAGCGTCTTAGATTTCGAGTCCCTACACTTTAGTTAAGTAAGTAGTTACTTAAATAGTATTTTAACAATACAGTTAATTTTAATCGAACTGTATTTTCTTTTCAGACTAATACAAAATGTGCGACGAAGAAGTTGCCGCGTTGGTAGTAGACAATGGCTCCGGCATGTGCAAGGCCGGTTTCGCCGGAGACGACGCGCCCCGTGCCGTGTTCCCCTCGATCGTGGGCCGCCCGCGTCACCAGGGCGTGATGGTCGGCATGGGCCAGAAGGACTCGTACGTCGGTGACGAGGCCCAGAGCAAGAGAGGCATCCTCACGCTCAAGTACCCCATCGAGCACGGCATCGTCACCAACTGGGACGATATGGAGAAGATCTGGCACCACACCTTCTACAACGAGCTGCGTGTCGCGCCCGAGGAACACCCCGTCCTGCTCACAGAGGCTCCCCTCAACCCTAAGGCCAACAGGTACGTACATCGTCCCCAGACCTTCCACTGACTAGCTCGCCGCTCTCCCGCCCCGCCCTTTGACACCCACTAACGAGTCCCTTTTGATTGCAGAGAGAAGATGACACAGATCATGTTCGAGACCTTCAACACACCCGCCATGTACGTGGCGATCCAGGCCGTGCTCTCGCTATACGCGTCCGGTCGTACCACCGGTATCGTGCTGGACTCCGGCGACGGCGTGTCCCACACGGTGCCCATCTACGAAGGTTACGCGCTACCGCACGCCATTCTTCGGCTGGATCTGGCCGGCCGCGACCTCACGGACTACCTCATGAAGATCCTCACCGAGCGCGGCTATTCGTTCACCACCACGGCCGAACGTGAGATCGTGCGCGACATCAAGGAGAAGCTCTGCTACGTCGCCCTCGACTTTGAGCAAGAGATGGCCACCGCCGCCTCCAGTAGCTCGCTCGAGAAATCCTATGAGCTTCCCGACGGACAGGTCATCACCATTGGAAACGAGAGGTTCCGTTGCCCAGAAGCCCTCTTCCAGCCCTCATTCTTGGGTATGGAAGCTTGCGGCATCCACGAGACCACTTACAACTCTATCATGAAGTGCGATGTCGACATCCGTAAGGACTTGTACGCCAACACAGTATTGTCCGGTGGTACCACCATGTACCCCGGTATCGCCGACCGCATGCAGAAGGAAATTACTGCATTAGCGCCCTCAACGATGAAGATCAAGATCATCGCGCCACCAGAGAGGAAGTACTCCGTATGGATCGGTGGATCGATCCTCGCCTCCCTCTCGACCTTCCAGCAGATGTGGATCTCTAAACAAGAATACGACGAGTCTGGCCCCTCAATTGTGCACAGGAAGTGCTTCTAAGCGCAGTGCGCTGTCCCGCAGCCCGCGGCTGCACACTCGGCTTGTAATCTCAGTTAATTTAATTGTACGTAAGATATTATTGTAATTAAATCGTAATAGTGACGGCAGGACGGAGCGCGGCGCCGCGGGCGCGCCTCGACCGCCGGCCTCGGTACTGCACTCGCCAAAGGATCTTTTTGTAATCTCATGAATGATGATTGTATGTGCTGAAACGGATAAGACTACTTTCTTACTAGGTCATTTATAAATTATAAAAAATATGAAAATACAAAAAAAAAATCAGAAAAATTATCATCTGTTTTTCCTTTAAAAAAATCCTACCTGCTTACAAAGCCTAGAATTGGGATGAATCCGGCTCACTTAGGCAAATTCGCTAAATCCCGATTATTTTAAAACTAGATATTACTTATAGTAAAATGACACAACGTCAATGTAAATTGAACGATTGTTATCAAATTAATTTATTTGGCATGGAATTTTGATGACTACAGCCATTAAAAAAAAAGGACAATATATCTTGCTTAGGCCCATCGCAAAAGAGAAACTGCATTTTTTATTTAAAGAGATCTCTTTTAATAAAATGTTGCTGTATCAGCGCGCGTTAAATTAAGTGCATAGGCTAAGTTCAGATATAGCTTTTACCATGCCTCCAAATTTGGTCCAGACTATAGGCAAGGACACACTTAAATGGTCAATTCATACTATCGCAGAGTTGGAAGCTTCATATCTCTAGCACATACTTTTCTGAGATAAAACGAAGACGCGCGCATTCCACGAAATCGCGCGTCTGTGCGCGATAAAGATGATTATCAGCTCTGAAGCAGTATTTGCATTCTGAATGACGTGATGACGGACGCTTCGATGTTCCCCGATTCTGCTCTAGCATGAATTGACCATAAGATAAATAGGTATAGAAAAATGTGTTTTATAAAACAAAATACAAACCAAACAAGTGCCTACACTGAGATCAAACTTCGTTTCGTATACAAGTCCACGACAAGTTGAGATTTTATTGCAAGTCCGACATTCAAAATTTCATGTACGTCTAAAGTTGCAGAAGTCGGAAAAAGTATGATTGTGTCGACTACCCTAAAGATGACTCGCGCTTCCATGTTCACACCTATATCTATCTATCCGTCCCAATGATTGTATTTGTAATATCATTGATCCGTCCGTTATTAATTCAAATCTACGTCTAGTTGTTTCGTGTGAGACTGATAGTTGCTAAAAACCGCGATACTTCCAATCTTAACATAAGCAACCAGAAGCAGGGCAATTATAAGCATGATTTACACATATAAAATCGATTGTATTTTTAGGTAGGACAATGGTGGGGCATTGTCCTGAGCCTGACCAGAAGGAATCATCATACACAACGATGTTGGAATAACACTGCTCCCAGAAAAGAAACATGATAGTGCTCTCGCTATTTAATTGGGGCTAGGTAAAGATTGAGTGCGCCACGGGAAAATAGCAATTGAATCCTTGATTGACCAAATTCGCACGTTTACACCATCACACAATTCTTATTAGAAAACAGCTTTATCGTAGCGTAAATCTGAGGTTTTAAGTAAAACCAACATAAAAGTGTTTCATAAAAGTTTATTCAGAACATCACAAATTATTTTTACAGTTTTTGTATAAGCATTAGTTAAAATTTGTTTAAATGGTGCAGATTTTCGCCTACATAAAAGAATTATAGCCATAAAAAAAGATTTTTCGTTAGTAAATATGACTCAGCACTCAAGATGTGCATTTATTAAAATAAAACGACATAGACATCCATTGATTAAATACACCAAATAATTTATGCATACAAATACTTTTAGATATAAGCAATGGCGAAAAAAAAATCTTATTTTCAGCATAACCGTTCTTAAGTAAACGTGTTTTTACAATCTTACATTAACACTCAACATACAATAAAATATTTTATATTTGGTTGACCTTGATTTTATTTTGTAGAACTCACGAAAATATAACTATGGGCAATAATAAGCATAAGCAGATTTACGAAAGTGGTAACTTTTGTATAAATATGTTGTAGATAGCCAACACAACTGAGGGGATGACTGATGAAACAATTACTTTTAACTGTATAACAGTGGATTAGTAAATTTGTCATATGATTTTTGTTAGTTATTAACTTACTTTTATATAAAATTTTAGTACCTCTGTCTATTTCCACATAACCCTATCAATAATTTTGTCATCTCACTGGTTAGTGAGACCTTAGCTTTTAAACATTATTTCTAAAGACATACAATCTAATTACAATCTAATAAGATCCTCGGAACGTCAGTTGATATCCCGCTAATTACTTACTATGTTCTTTGAGACGCAAAACTTAAAAACGACAACACTTATTTAAGTTGGCGATAAAATTTAGTAATATATAACTGGACTAGCTCCTTCACTAAGCCTATTTCGAAATTCTATTAGCATACAACGTGGATCTAACGCAGTGCAATACTCCATAGGTGAATAGATACAGTTTCAAATAATTACACAAGATTCAAGCCGATTGTATAAATCAACCCAGTAATATTATAAATTATAGTGATGCATAACTTCTTGGGGGTTTCATATTATTATAGTCGAGCTGCCATAATTTCAGCAACAATGTTCCCAATTAAAAATACAGCATTTGATCCACATTTCATTAAAATAAAAACCTAATTTACAAACTTATAAAATCTAATTAAAATAACTTTCTATAAATATCGGTAAAAAACATTCAGAACAACTAAGCGTATTCAAACAGCATTGTGCGATGGTCATAAGCAAATCTGTATAATATAAATAATTTACCTTTACATGATTCGATTTATCCTATGCATAATGTAAGTCACCGTTAGTAAACAAACATGTTTTGTACTTTGGACACAATATCTTAATGTTACTGTTTAGTTAACACAATTTAAGGCCACATTTACATATAAATCTAGAAATGACAACTAACCGAGTGTATCTAAATGAACACAAACATGATTGGACATTTTAATGAACACGCACTGCACATTTTAACCACAATATTGTATCGTCACAGGGTATTGATCTGTCTTCGAGTAATTATTAAGGTAAGTTTTGCTCGCGTACTACGTTTCACTGTCTTTAATGCTGTCTTCGGTGGCTTGTCGAATGTCTGATAGTGGATTGCCATGAACTCTGAATCTGTAGACGCAGGTATAGGTGGGGTTGCCATGGTTACTCTCGACCCTTAGCTCTACGGTGTCGTAAGCAACTGGATATTGTACTCCCCCGATGTTGGTCGTCTTCGGATATTTGACGGGGAAGTATTGTATGGAGGTACCGTTTGCGTCGTACATGTAGTCACCGAACAGGTGCGGCTCGGGGTCCATTTCTCCGTGCAGACCCTAAAAACAATTGTGACAATATTGTATGAAATTTATTATTTTTATATTAAAGAAAAAGTGAGAGCACTTTATATTATACTAGCTGTGCCAGCGAACTTCGTATCGCCATAAAAATATGGGTGGTAGAAGGCTGAAAAGGAGATTGCTCAAATTGGCCCAAATGTACAAAAAATATTGACATATACGTTAATTATTGACGTAATTTATACTTTATTTTACAGTCATTAGATTTTAACGGACACCTTTGTATAATAAATTAATTTTAAAAAGGAATTTTAACTTTACCGGTTTCGAAAACATACGAAACATTTTTAATGGCTATGAGAGTAATAACATTCAGCCAAAGATTGATCGAAGTTGTTTAGATAACATCAAAACAAATCTGTAAAGATTGATAAAATAAAACATTTCTTTTATAACATCGTGGTATTAATATCCACAACTATATTATCATTTTCACTACATGCAAATGTGCTAAGACAATTATTATAGATGGTAGGCGACATCATAAAGTCTATTGCCATACATTTTTCGCAAACACAAAAACAACAACCTGCATAAACACATTATAAGGTGTGATACACTAAAAACCTAAAATATGGTTATAATATAAAGATAACAAAAATAATGAAGCTACTGAAGATATGGCTGTATAACCTAAATCTCCTAGCTTTCTTTGGTAAATGAGACTTTAAAAATTCTCTCTGATCTGTGGCTCATTCACAAACATCACACGAGACTTTTTGGCGGCTTCGGCAAGCGTCACTTTAGCAGTTTTGTATTTCTTGTTATAAATTGTGTTGTGGCGGATATTAGTTTATTAACCACAAGTGTTCGGGAACATGCACAAGTGCTGGCAAGTGAAACAAAATAGCGGAAAGTGTCTTTCGACGTTCCCTCAAGAAATCCACCGGGAGGTTCCAGTAAATCCCCACACATTTACTGAAACATAGGGAAAGGGGGATTAACTTCACTGCCACTTACTTTGGCTTGATTTATTACTTTGATCACGAGTGCTATAGAATTTGTAAACATTTTAACACTTGACATTGGCTAAATGCACAAGCTGAAAAAAACATCACAGTTTTTTTTAACAGAGTAGGTACCTTATTATAACCGGAAATGCATAGATGATACCTGATTTTAAAAGTAACTCTTGTACATTAACTTTAAAAACAGGTAACTATCTGTTAAATACCTGAATCTAATACATCATTTCGGTTCTTGGCTTGATTTATATAACTTAATTTGTTTTTTTATTATTTTAATACCTATTTGCAAACATAACCTCAAAATCATTCAGTGTATATATATGGTTTATAGAAGTTCTCAGGGGTGTCCGTCAATAATTTTCGTTTCTATAGTAATTTATATATAATTTTGAATCTACGAAACAATTTTTCAGGATTGGTCTTTAGGCCAAACATGTATGGAAGCTGAGCAATCTCCTTTAGGGTTGTATGTATTTTTGTATTATGTATCATTAAAAAATAAACACAAAAAATGCTGTCCAAAAATAACAAATTTAATGGTGGACCACTTAATATTTAGGGGGATGAAAAATAGATGTTGTCCGATTCTCAGACCTACTGAATATGCACATAAAACTTCACGAAAATCGGTCGAGCCGTTTCGGAGGAGTTCAATTACGCACACGGCGACATGAAAATTTTATATATTAGAGATAGTGCTTTAAGATATTTAACATTAATAAGTAACCATTTTAGCTATAAACATGTTTTTAGAGTCTTGAATACTGTATGAGGGAAACTGAAAGTTAGTTCATGTTATTTGAGGTAAATTAAAAAAAAATTAAGTAAAGAAGACTTCCTGGTAATAATTTCGTTGTATATTTTTCAATACTAAGCTAATAGGCAGATTGATGTAATTCCATGTTTATCAGCCAATTTTGAAGCAACATGCAATGCTTCCAACTCAGAGCCTAGAGTAACATGCAGTTAACAGTCACATGCAATAAAAAGGTAATTCCACCACATGAGTAGCATCAAAAGGTACTTACTTAACTGTTAAAAGTGCTGTTAGTTTAAGTTATAACAAAAATATTGCAGTCATTTTTTATACACATAGAAGCCATTTTATGCAGTGCAGTCCCTGTACATGCTACACTACATTATAAATTTTATAATTTTTTTATCGCGCCTAACTGTCATACTCCATAGTTATTTTAAAATTGAACGTGATAAAAACGTGTTATATATCATATTGTAATGCTCATGCTAGGAGGGCTGGTACACGTATGTATAAATCGTGTAGACATAAGCCCCTTAGGTGTCATCCATAAAGGAGGTGGGAGAGGGTGGACGAAGTGTGACATTGTGTGACAAGGGGCAGGTGGCGTGCTAAATTTGTGACGTCATATTTCAAAATACTTTTAAACTATCAAAAAACTTTAAAATAGTCAGAACTGTAATAATAATATTAAATTGACATCGTATTTGTAACTTTTATCTCATTTTGCATAAACAACGAAGTGTTTAATTCTATATAAAACCAATCAATTAGTTTGTATTACGCCGACTACTAATGTGATTTTTCTTAAAAAAAAAAACATTTACGTTCATTCATTTATCAACTAAAAATGTAAAAACAAACACATTAAAACACACCAACAATGTTATCCACATTGTTGGTGTGTTGACAAAAAGTATTTGTAAATTAAACATAAGTCATAGCTGATAGCAATCAAATACCCAACGTTGAGACATTCACACAATAACATGCAAAAAATTATCAAGGAAAAAATAAAGTGCAAATTTAAGCGCTGTGTACAATAAAGACATGCACAAACACATAACGACTATTCGGAACTCGATTAAAAGCGACAGTTATGCACTCAGTAAACTGCCTAGTTTGCTTATCCAATTTCAAGTTTTGATGACGATTCAAAAGCGCCTTTGCTCCCAATTCGAATAAAGGTTTGACCAATATTAATACATACATAATTATTTAATATTTCGCTCAAAAACACATGAGTTGTGACATACAAATTTATCGTATCGTAATTGATTAAACTTCATATGCTTTTTTTAAATGATTTTATTAACATTAATAATCCTATATGGTTTTAATTTATTTTGATAAAAATAAATGCTTTTTGCTTCCAATTTGTATAAAGACATTGGCAAACGTCAATATCTTGTAGAAATATTATGCAAATGTCGATATAGTTATTTATTAAACTTTCAAAAGTTTCAATTTTACTCACATAGACAGAGAAGTTCTTGGGAGCCGACTCGATCTTCCCATCCACTGCCAGCAACCGGGACATGTGCTCCAAGGAGAAGCCGGTCACTTCGATAATGGCGTAGGTGCGGACAACTGGAACATTAATAATAACAAATTTACTGCGTTCTTTGCTATAAACTAAGAGTCATCTTCATTATCATCATCCTATTAATGTCCCCACTGCTGGGGCACAGGCACAGGCCTTCCCTATTGTTGGAATAAGAAGATTGGGCCATGAGCTCTTAGTCTCGGCTGCAGTTGCAGTCGTTAGCACCCACCAATCCAATGTCCATATTCCATACATAGGGAAGGCCTGTGCTTCAACAATGGGGACATTGATAGTCTGATCATGATGAGGTATTTAGTCACCCAGATATCCGGGGAATCCCTGGAAGGCCCAGCACTAGGCTGGCATGTTGCCCGGGGACAGCGCGTATCACGACGATGTATACACCCACCACACGAGAACGCCCCGTACATTTATAATATTTGTATAGTTCTTTTTTATAGATAGGTCCGACAAATGACTCCACCCCACCTGATGTTAAGTGAAAGTGAAGTACAGACGCGAAGATAGCTGGTACAGCAGTTCTTCCTGTCACACCATGAATCCTCACCCTGCTGGCCTGCATGTTGCTTCATCACGCCTCATTTTAAAGGATCCCGGGTCGTAAGAGGGAGGGAAAACGTAAGCGGGCAGAGCATTCCATTTACGGATAGTGCGACAAACAAGTGAGTCACCAAATTTATTTGTACGCATTGGAATTGTGGCAACAGTTAGACGGTGACAACGTAGGCCAGCGCGCGTGGTCCTCTGAAGGAAATGGGAAAGTGGATTAAGAGTAAATAACTCCTCATTATTATAGTACTCACCCAGATATCCCGGGAACCCTTGGAAGGCCCAGCACTCGGCCGGCATGTTGCCCGGGGACAGCGCGTATCGCGGTGACGTATACACCCACCACACTGGAACGCCTAACACTGAATATTGCTTCGTCTTGATCTGATAAAGTTCCGTGCAACGCGTCGATATCACCTGACCACCTGGAAACAAAGGAATAGTGTATTTATTATACTAGATTACACTAAAATTTAAAGAGACCTTTATACAATACTTTATATTTTTTTTATTAGCCTTATGGACAATTTTTATAATTAATCAATCTCAATACCAGGTTTTAATAAATGTTGTTGGTTGGAACTACTATTACTCTTTAACTAACTGATATATCGTAACCGTTATCATTTTCCTTAAAAGTTTATGCAAACTACTATATCTATGATTTTTTTAAAGCCCTACTCTATAAATTAGCACTCAAAAGTTTATTATTAGGCAAACGGATCCCTCAATCAAAAATTAGTCTTAGCAACCCCTGAGTAATTTTAAAACACCTATTCAAAGATTCCCTACACGATGGGGTAGAAGATGAAAAAGAAACTTCATCCTCACATGTAGGCAAGCTACCCAATTTTTTTACAAAATTTTATTTTACCCCTTTGTCGGCGTGATTGAGATACCTCCACGAAATTACAGCTCGCTAGTGCCAACAGTCTCCAAGCAAAACCTCGGACGGACGGACAGACAGACGACATGACGGAACTATAAGGATAAGGGTTCCTTGTCAGGACTACGGAATGCTAAAAAGTAATAAGTTACATACCTGCCGATTCCAAAGCGTAATCCACCAATCCGGTCTTATCAGCGTCGTAAATATTTAACATTCCGGCGACAATCTTTTTTACAGCCTCCGGATCAAAGGAGCCTCCCTCACCGCGCACTTCTATCTCCCTTACATATTCCCTCACTCTTTCTAACATTAACACAGTCTGTTTCTTCTCGAACACAGCCAAGTATTCTTGAACTAACTTCCGAATTCTATCCTCGTCCATCCCAGGCTGCCAAGAACTAATCAAACGCTCATGTATTTCTTTGCTTATCATTTGCAACTGATCGTTACTTATATAATACTTGTCAAAGTAAGCCTTAAGTTTAGCAGCTAACGCTTCATTATTGCCATCCGTCAAAATCTGTATGAAATTCTGCTGCAAATACTTTAGAGAGTATTGTTCAATTTGTGCTTCGAAATTGTCGAATTTTGATAGTTTTCGATCAAACAATTTCAATTTGGAGTCCACGTTGACTGCCCAGCCTTCCAGAGCAGCCATCCGTTTGGTTAAATCTGAATCTTGCAGTATTTCCGGGGGTTTGTAAGTGTCTACTATGACTGGTTCAGGTTGAGGTAGAATTCGATCTGAGTAGTTGTAACCTGTAAATAGAAACATGAACACTTTCATTGACCGTCGTCAAATGATTTCTCTGTCCTTCCCACACATAGTTTTGAATCGATAAAAATATTAAGTTGTTTAATGAAATTGAACAGGGAAGGACAGAGTGATAAAGTTAATAGTTAAGCAAAGATATTGGACTCACCTAAAAGTGTAGAGTGCCACTGAGTGCGTCCACTTTCTTATAGGTGATGTTTTTGCCTCTATCCTTCCCCGAATTTCATAGTTACCAATACAATGTCTTCGCTACAGGGAAGAATCATGTGGGAATATGTATTCAAACAAATAGTGATCTAATATATTCCAAAACCATTGAAGAAATAATTAGTAAGATCATTTAAAAAAAAGAACCATCATTATTGGGAATGTAACAGTGGAAATTAAAAGATTATAGAACATACTGTTAACCACTATTTGTTATGGCTAGTTTAGTAAAAGAAACACAAAAATTAATTACAAAAATATAATTAAATTAAAATAGCGCATTATTGTAAGCACAAAATAAATATGAATCAATTACAGCACAAATGAAGAAAAAAAACCTTAGCGCTAAATCTCAATCAACACTCTTACGAAGTGAAACACAAACCAATACCCGACATAATTATAAAAATGTTAATCAAAATGATAATCAATTAATTGACTATGAACAATGCGATTGTAATAATGTTTATGCGAGAGAGTAGAAAAAAATACAGGTAAATTACAATATTTTAAAAGTAAATTAAATATTTGTGAAAATTAATTGTTTTGTCATTTTAACAATTTTCAATTTTATATAGGCGGATGACTACATTACACTTTTTAAACGCTTCTTCTTGAACGTTTCACAGTTAGAGTTCAGTAAACCAATAAGAAACATAAATTAAATCTTACTGAAATATATGAATATTATCATAATCAATTTTGTTTCTACATTTTGCCGATAATATTGTGAACTCTTAATTCGCAGGCGCCCCATTATTCTCAAACATTCGGAACCGATAATAAAATTCTATCAGATTTAATAGGTTTCACACACTAATATTGGTAATATTTTCACAATTATACGAGGGATTCTAGTCTGAATATATTGCTCCCATGAATTACCACCACTTATGCGGCAACATATCTCTGTTTAGGTATGACGTATATTAAGATTTATTTTGCATAACAATACAATATAATAAGACATAAAGCTTTATAAATAAGTATTGAAATGAAAACAATTTTCCGTATTTCGCTTTTTCTTTTAGAAAAGGAAAAAGACAACTAATCAGATTGTGTTATCGATAGCTTGTGAATATAGGAACAGTCCAACATTCTTTACATCAAATCGCTTCAGTCTTTACATTTAATGAATTAAACCTTTTCGAAACTTTTGGTGATAACTGTACTCAGCAGGTACATCTTGAATTAAATACTTTAAAAAGAAAAATTTATGACTAGGTTGTTAGTCTTGTGATATTAATAAACTAGAAAAATATATATAATAATTTGTACCAAACACAATTTCACAATAAATTATACCTTACTTAGCTATTTAATTTTGTTTAAGTATGGCCTTGAAATTTATACCATCATCACAACAAAAATGAATGATGTATAAGAGCATCAGTATTTTTAAATATAATAAATATAAATTAAAATTCTATCATAAAAATTAATGAAACATCTTTAATATGGAATGGAATTAAAAATAAATAAACTATAAATTGTAATGAATTATGAATTGCACAACAAGATGATAAATAAAATCACATTATGATGTATTGATATTACTCAATTCTTAGCCTATGATACATATTTTTAGTACTAAATATTAAATTTCACTGCTGCCAACGTATTTATATAAATATTGATCAAATAAAAAAAAGCGAGGGGTTGAATTAGCTGTGTTTTTTAAGTCCAATGCTACTCTTACTGTGTAACAAATATAAGTTAGTAGTAGCTCACTCAGCAGAAAAAAAAACTGGTATTGCAGGTTTTCATACGATTCAACTTTATATTAAGTAATTTACTGACTTAATTTTTTACATAAATTAAATGTATTAGCTACATTCTAATATTTCAAATTTTAATATTTAAGTACAAATTATAATGTATGTTTGCATTGAGAAAATTAAGCAATCAGAACAATGGATGACATTAATTTATACTAAGTACAAGAAATTGTATAGAAAAATATAATACATACTATAAAGATTAATAATTGTGTATTTATTTATCACAGAGATATTATATTGTGCACTGAAAAAAAGTCTGTTCTAATCCGAATTTATGAAATGTCGACAATAATGTATTATTATTTTGCGTAAAACAAACGCTCGAATATTCATACCATAATAGCACTGAAATAAACCGATCACCATAAGGTAGAAATTAAACTCTACGTAACGTTATTACTTAAAGTTTCTATTAAAAAATCGTTTTTATTTAATTTACTAATCATTTTTAATCGAACTACATCAGACCATCGAGTGGTCTGAACAACACTTACAAATACATAAGACACTACGCTTCATTAAATGGATCCAAAACAGACTTCTACCATGAAAATAAATTAATTGCCTAAATGCAAACATAGCTAAATATATATGTAGAAGATAAGCCCGTAATCATCCAATCACACCGCGCCAGAATCGCCGCAGTTCTTCGTAGCAACTCTCTCCCACGACTTTCATGTAATCAGAGGCATCGGCCACTCTGTTCTCTACTATATCTTTGTACTCTCTATAGGTTTTCGTAACTTCTGGCAATTCTGGCAGATTGTCCCTTATGTCTGGCAGCGTTATATTGATATCTGGCATCGTCAAATTGAAGCTTGGCAGCGTTATATTCGGTAGACTGGGCAACGATATGGCTGGAAAACGAACGGCCTCAGGCAGATCTATTTGGAAATCTGTGAAGTTCGGTAACGCAAGATGCTCCCAGTTTTCGTAAGTATAGTGAGCTGAAAGGAATTGTTGGTTTACGATATTTTCGGACATACTAAATTATAAGCGACATACACATGACAAAAATCATACAACGGGTATCAAGGTTTAAATGTACACTAACTTAGGTCTGAAAGCACAAGCCTTCCAAGGATGATGGGAAACCACGATTTTTCTTTATACTTTACGAGTATACCTTTTCCACAGTATAGTAAACAACAAGCGCATTTCGGTGAATGCGAGAATTGGAAAACATGTATTCGTCATAGATGATGCTACAAGTACTTCTCCGCTGATACAAGATTAGCTTATTCTCCTATATCCAGATATGATAAAAAATAAATAGAAAAATATTATATCCTATGGTTTTGTTTGATTTTTTGGGGTACCCTTGCAAAAAATCCCAGAAAGCTGAAAATTTGCATAGATGTTAGGGAGCACCATTGTTATCCATTGTGAAATTGAGAAAAGTCCCCATTGATCGCGTCTGCAAAAAATTTATACAAGGTCAAAGGTTGCAAAAATGGGTTTCTTGAAATCATAAAAATAAAAATATATCAGAAAAAAAATTTAGATCATGCAATTATCTACAAAAATTGTCTTTACACTTTTTTCATAACACTAACAATCTTTGAAATAAAAAACCACAAAATTTTCTTACACTGTATTGTCCATAATAAATTTGACTAAGCTGCCTATGACATCATTGAGCTTGTAATATAAGTAAAACTAGGAGTCTTCGTGACTAATACATTCATATTGACCGATAATGCTGAGAATATGATGTTAAGAGAAACTAGAGTCCCTAATTTTAGGGGACCATGTGCCCTTGAACAACATCTGCCTGCCGTTCAATTGTCCGTGTGGTAGTATCCGTCTATCTGTTTTAAAAACAATGGTGCACCTGACATCTATGCAAATTTTTAGCTTTCCGGGATCTTTTGCAAGGGTCAGTGTCTAAATTGACTGAACTAATTTGTGACGGATGCGAGTATATTTGTGATAAACAAAGGCCAATATTTTAGTTCCCACATAAAATTATCTGCCGTATAAGTATTTACGAGAACCAAATAGATATGTCAGCAGTCATCAGCAACATCAAAAATGGAGATGAATGACAAATCAACACTCGTAAAGAGTGAATATTGAGAGAAAACAAATTTTGTAACATTGGACATCTATTTTTTACGTTTCGATGGATAATTTTATATTTATTTAACATTGTAAAATAATATTGGTTATAAAATGATCTTGGCATGATACTTATAAGCTTAAAATAACACTTTAATTTTCATTTAATTTATAAACTGTTGCACGCTGTTTAACAGTAAAATATGCGAGACATGATAATAATCAAACACCTTTTATACCCTATTTTTATGAAATAAATTATTATTATTGTATGTTGATTTGTTTGAACACAATACAAGAATTAACCAGGTATTGAAAAATTATCCCTTAATAAAAAAAACGAGCGAGCCTTCCAGTAGTCGCGTATGATGTGTAACATTTGAAACCCCACCTTATTATAGCAAAAAAAAAAACCTACTACAAAAGGAATAAGCCATTTGAACATTATGTTCTAAAAACAAATCGCGCGCGCTTTCGCGACTTTCTGTTACACACTTCCGTCCCATTTCACGACATCACTCCCACAAATTGCAGGAAAGCGAGAGGAAAGATGTTTCACATCAAAAAATACGTATAATATGTCTACAACTCACATCCGTAAGCGAGGGCCGGCAATATTAATAATAGTAGTAACCACGGCCAACGCCGAGAAGTTCGTTCTTTGCTCTGCACTTTGTATGTTTCCGTCTGGCCAACGTGGTTCGGTGTTATCTGTAATCGAGAAGGATTAGGACACGTCAATTAAAATACAAAGCTAGCAATAAACATGGCTATGAGAGCACGCGAAGTTATTAAAACAGTCTAGCTGACAAAACATTACATTGCAATTTTTAAAACATTTAGAAAACAAACTATCTGACCCGGCGAACTTCGTACCGCTAACAATAATTTGGAGGAAATGAAAGTTAGCCGTTCGCAATTTTTACCTATTTTATTAACTTTTTAACCTTCCCTGGCCTATGACAAACAATCCAAAACCAAAATCAGCTAAATCGGCACATCCGTTCTCGAGTTTTAGCGAGGCAAACGAATAATAATTCATTTATATTTAAATATTGTACGCTTATGCGTACGTTGTAGAATACCTAGTATGCATATCAAAAGTTGTAGAATTGGTAGGGCTTTATCTTTGTTGCAATGTGAACTTACATGACTGTTTTTAATAAAATAGGTAATTAATTATAGCTGAGTTCGGTATTTGCGTCTGATCAATCTTCTTAGTCTGAATCATTCGTTTTTTAAATCTAGAGCAACTTTGAAAGGTTCTGTAATTCCGCTCAGATCAGTACCCCTAGCACGAACCAATATCGAATTCGAATCGAAATGTCATTGTCAAATGTGTACTGATTTTTAGTTCTCGTTACGTACTTTGTGCCGCTGCTGTTCAAGTTTCCATAAAAAATTTGACATTGACATTTCGGTTTGCAAACTATTCAAATTCGATAATGGTTCGTGCTAGGGGTACAGTCCGATGTAAATATGTTTGCTCGGAGTGTTTTGACCGACGAGAAAGATTAATCTGTTATCTGTGATATATCTGTCATGTTGTAAGGTTTGTTTCTAAGTTTAGAAATAAATCTACGGTTGGTCGGGCTGTTCGGTACTAGCAATTACCTCAGATTAATCTGTGATCACGTGACCAAAAATCCGTCGCCTCTGCGATGCAAATACCGAACGCAGCTTATATATGCTACTTTAAGATATAGAAAATAAGCCTAGAAAACCATTAATTTTATATTTTACCACAAAAAATCTGTTTTCCTAAGATAGCACGAAACCCATGTGCTACCGAAAAGGTAAGAAAAAGCTTGATTGTTCCACATTTATTAATTACCGTTTCAGTGACAGTGGTGACAGTAGTGGTGACGATTTTCTTCAGAACACTATAGATCCAGTAGAAAGGAGCCATCGAAGCCGACGCAGCGCGAGACATTACTCCGGCTGCAAACAAATATTATCATCATCATATTGATGTCTCCACTGGTGAGGCACAGGCCTTATTCATTAATGAATAGAGTACCTATTTGACAAGTTTTCGAAAACGATCTCATGTTATTTACTAATGTTTATCGAGTTAATAAAAAATATGGATGGTAATTCATAATGAGGATCCGTAACGATTTTAGTTCAGAATGCAGGTTTATAGAGTTAAGGATTCCATAAAATACAGTGGTTAAATTTTTGTGTATGACCAAGTTACTTAACGTGTTTTTGGGTGGCCGCGTGGTGGCTGTGACGTCACAGAGATTAAGCGCTCAGGTGCGAGCGTGCGTAGAAACGCTACTGAAGTTCGACAGGGGTGAACCACGATCGAGCTCTGTGACGTCACACGGTTCGGCCGCCGGTGAATATTGGCTACCACAAAATTAGTTATAAAATCGCAAGGAATGAACCGATTTCGATGATTTAAAAAGTTCATTAATATTTTATTTTAGATTTTGAGTTGATTTGATGACCTAGTAATGATCCACATTCTGTTGTGTATTTCAGTAAAAAAAAACTAAATCAAAAATTCAATTTTCAAGTTGCCGCGAAAAAGTTTCTTTAGATATCATGGCGTTTCCACTGGTATGTGACTTTAACCGACTGTCATTAAAACGTCAAAGAATGTAATGACACTTTGACCGGAAGTTTATTAGCGTGTGACGTCATTTTATTCTTCGCCAATCCCAGACGTTTTCGATCACTTGACCATTGAACAAAAAAATAATTTCTATTTAATGATTTATTAGAACAGGTATTAATTATATCTGTTCTCGCGGAATAGTACAATTGTGCTTATATTCATATTGAATACAGATTCTAACAATCGGTACTTTATTTTTCATACTGTCAAACAGCGTATTAGAGAGAATGGGGTAAAAAACGCAAGCTAAATATTAATGGTGCGTATATGGCGCTTAGGCCGTTTGGCTGTTAACAAACAACCTGTCACTCTAAGGCAGCATTCTAAACCTTATTTTTAGCCACCCATCTTATGAACGGCTATTTGACGTCTTGATGACAATCTTGTGAGTTGTGACGTCAAATGTCTTCGAATCGAAATATTGCCCGAAGGTGCATTTATGCGACATAATTGAAAGTAGAATCAATTTCTTAATGAAATACGTGTAATAATTTAAAATATCCATAAACATATGTATATGTTATAATGATGATAGAAATTGTAATAAAATACTAACATAGGTTAAGAAAAATTGTTACTAACATAATTATATGAGACCAATGTCTTGAAATAAAACATTTGACGCCTCTCAAAAAAAAGACAAAATATCTATTATATACTTTATATAAAATCTATAATTATAAATCGTCAACTTTGTTGAAAAAGCAAATTTCAATATAATTTTTTTTTGTAATATTTACCTTGAGAGCTCGATGGCGCGGGTGGTTAGCGCAGTCGGCTGCGATCGTTGAAGTTAAGCAACTTTCGCAGCGGTCGGTCATTGGATGGGTGACCAAAAACCTTCTATCTCGAATTCCTCCGTGCTTCGGAAGGCATGTTAAGCCGTTGGTCCCGGCTGCATCTGCAGTCGTTAGCACCCGTCAATCCGCAGTGGGCCCGCGTGGTGGGTCATGGCCCAATCTCCCTATTCCATCCATAGGGAAGGCCTGTGCCCCAGCAGTGGGGACATTAATAAGCTGATGATGAATATCTACCTTTAGCCGGTCTCCTGTCTGTGTAAGGGTACCGATGCGATGGTCCCACTATTTTCCTGTAGGTGTCGCTGAATGTCGTAGTTATTGACGTGACGATAGAGATAAGTAATTGCGTGATCCACCAGCGCTGTTCTTGGTACCGGAAACCGCCATTTCCTTGGAGGTACACCCCTTCGTCATCGGAACTTTCGACTGTCTGTAGACGTAATAATAATAATTAATCATTTTAACACTCACACCAATTAGCCTAGCCCTAAAGTAAGCACTGTAAGATTGATTTGATAAGGGATGCTAGGGTAACGGATAAAATACAAATATTATATAGAAATATATATTAACACTACAAATGCTCGTATTCATCATAGTAACAATTGACCCCACCGGAATTCTAACCAGGAACCTCACGAGTAGACGACACCTTGAAGCAGGCGTACCTACCGTATATACCACATATGAAGCGTATATACCACTCGACCACGAAGGTCGTCATAATATTATTGCAGGAAACTCACAACAATGATTTAATCTTAAACTATGGCAGAGCTTTTACTATAAAAACTAAATAACGTACAGAATATGTATGGAAGAATAAACAACCATGATGTAGGAAAAAAGGTAAAAATTATGAACTCATATTTTTTCCTTTTCCCTAATTTTCTACCGGAATTTGAACCCAGGACCTGAAGACAGGATTGCTACCGTGGTACCCACCGGTTGTTAAACAATAATAAAAAAAAGATCTTGTAAATTTATTTAACTAAAACTGGCGGTCTTGAAAACTCTACTAGCATGGTGCCTTTTAAATAATTAACATGCTGTGAAGTAACTGGACCTTGTTGAAATGAAAACATGAGAATCTTTCCATTATGGAAGACCTGTGTCCAGCAACGAAGATATTAGATAGAAGACAGATGATTAAGTCGGATGAGATGCTTTTAAAAACACCTTTACTAACAGTGTACCTAGCAGTGCAGGTTTTCCAGATGGTGGTAGCTAGCAGGCCAGCTTCGTCAGCCGATACGCTCAAAACCTAGGTCCAGAATTGCGGGAGTTAGTTTAATCTGCTTTTCAAAAATATCTGTTCTCACAGTAAACCTATTCCTAGTGGTGCTGGTTTTCCAGGTGGTAGTAGCCATAAAGCCTACATTCATTCATCAGCCGATGTGTTAATGCCCTGTACCGTAAATTACAACAATCTACTTTTCAAATAAACCTGTACTCACAGTAAACCTCTTCCTAGTGGTGCTGGTTTTCCAGGTGGTAGTAGCCATCAGGTCTACTTCATCTGCCGACGTGTTGGGACCCTGGATCCTGAACTGCGACAGCGACCGCCGAGACATGTTCGGCACGGCCACTTGTCCAGGCGCCAGCTCCACGCGGTCTTTGGACAGCGGCGAGTATGTGTAGTCCGTTTTAGGGTATTTGCTGGGAATCGAATAAAATAAAGACAATATTAGTGCCTATTTTGGCATGATTCTCTTAACTTAAAACATCCAGTCTCTCCTTTTCGTTCTAAATAGAGTATAATAAGGAGGCACTGTGGCACTGACGACCTCCGTGGCCGAGTGGTTTGTACGCCGGGTTTCATGGTGTCGCCGACTCGAGAGGTCCCGGGTTCGAATCCCGGTGGGGGCAGATGTTTAATATGTATTTCTATATAAATATACTTATATATGTACAATATATGTATTCTATCCGTTACCCTAGTATCCCATAATACAAGCCTTATAGTGCTTACTTTGGGGCTAGGCTAATTGGTGTGTGTGTTGGAAATATTTATTTATTTATTTATATTATTTACTGTTGTCAAATTTAAGTTTAAATTTAGGGAATTATGCCAGAATCGACACCATTACACTAACAAGCTTACACGAAGAAAGGTCGTCTGCATAGTAAAGAAGACTTTGTATGTATGAAGAATTAAAAAAACTTGTAAAAGAGTTACTAAAGTAGAACTTGGTAATTATTTTTTCATCCCACCACCTCGGAAAGTGTAATTTTGCGCTTCGAAATCTGGCTGGAAAATTCTATTTTATTCGCTTGAGCGGCAAAGTAGATTTGAATTTAGAACATCACATATAATGAGTACTCAATATAATTGTAAATTCAAAACGTCATTAAACCTATTTAATGTAACCTCTATGGTGCCAAATTTATGATTAGAACTTTTTAAATTGTGAAAAAATTTAAATTTGGAACCTTCTTGGTTTCTTTGTTTTATTTGCGTGCTTCGCGCCATTCTAGTTTTTCACGTTTTATTGCTTAATATAATTAACATAACCTAAAAACTGTACAAAAAAATCAACTAAAATGAGTGACATTAGCGACGATGAAGTTTATCTAACGCCAACTGAATTAACTGAAACAGTTAATAATGCGCAAATGAGCCTTCTCCCTCAGCAATCACGAGAGAAGTATTTGAAACAGTACGATATATTTAACATGTGGCGACTAGCTAAAGGAGCAAAAACTTTCTCCGAAAACGTTTTGCTGGCATATTTTATAGAATTATCTGAGACCAAGAAAGCAAGCACGCTATGGAGTACGTATTCAATGCTAAAATTAACAATTAAGATGAAGAAAGACGTTCATATCGACACCTATCATAAATTAGTGGCATTTTTAAAAAGAGCCTCATCTGGTTATAAACCAAAAAAATCGAAGGTTTTCACAGCATCTGAAATTGCAAAGTTTATTAATGAAGCACCTGATTCCGTATATTTAGCGGCAAAAGTAAGTCAATACGTGTAATTTTTTGTTGTTGATAAAATTGTACATAGTACTTACAATATTTTTAATTTGATTAATTTATTTACGATTATAAATACTTCTTTTGTTACAGGTTGTTCTTATTATTGGTATAACCGGAGCATGTCGAACAAATGAACTTACACTACTTAATGTCAATAACGTATCAAAATATTCTCATAATTCTGATGAATTGCTATTAATTAATGTACTAAATACCAAGACAAAAAAAGACCGCAACTTCGTTATTCGCAAGGAATATGTAAACATTGTTCAGAAATATCAAGCTTTACGTCCTTCTAACACCCCAATTGAACGATTTTTTCTACAATATCGCAACGGAAAGTGTATCCGACAACCTATGGGTCAGAATAAAATTGGCAGTATTCCACGAGAAATAGCAACTTTTCTCGGACTTTTAGAACCCCCGTTATACACCGGTCACTGTTTTAGAAGAACCTCAGCCACACTTTTGGCCGAATCAGGGGCTGATCTTCTATCGCTTAAGCGCCATGGAGGCTGGAAGTCTAATTCGGTTGTAGGGGATACATAGAGGATTCAATCCAAAGTAAATCAAAAATTTGTAATAGTATCGTGGAGGCCATAACGCTGAAAGAACCTCTGTCAGATTCTTGGTCTCGCCCTTCTACATCTAAAATGAGCCCCCATAAGATTGGAAACAATAGCCCTCTCTCGCCAACATTTACGCCAATAGAATCCAATGAATCGGCACAACTATTTAAAATTACTGATACGAGTAGTTTACCACAAAACAGCGCACAATTCACAAACACCAACATAACATTACCTAACAAAAATATTAAACTTAACATAAGTAACTGTAGCAACGTTACATTTAATATTTCTTAATTATTTTCTACTTCTTATTATTTTCTTCAATTTATAGATTATCTTAATGTGTTTTAATTGAAATAAAAATATTTTGTCATTATAAATTGTTTTCTTTTTCATTTTGTCATTTCCTCGCTGAGGTGGGATGAAAAGTTACGTATTGCACTCGAGTGGAAAGATTTTTCACCTTGTGCTCGTTTGTTTCCCTCGCTGACGCTCAGGATTCTAATTTAGAATCACTCGCTGCGCTCGTGATTCAACTTTAGAATCCTTCGCTTGCTCGGTCATCCAAATCGAGCACGCGGTTAAAAAGGAACTTTCCACTCTTGTATAATAAATAACTATAAAGGTACCTAAGTAGGTATATTTAAACAAAAAAATGTTGATCAGTTAGTAGAGAAATTACAAATATCTTTTACATTAGTATTGTAGAATAAACTAAAGAAAGTATACAATATCAGAATTATAATCAGTTTGCAATAAATTTCTTGGCACATAATTGAAATACAACAACTTTCGAATCTGATTAACAACGAGTTTGAATTTATAATCACAGATTGAATTAAGAGTACATCTGCTAAATTGTACCATGTCGACGGCATTAGTTATTACATATTTTTATTGACAATACAAAACAGACTTTTAAACAGTCACTGATTCCAGTCTTTAACTAAAATAAATCCGACAGTACCTAACACTAACACCGAATAGTAAGCTTGTTTATGTTATTAATAACAATAAAAGTATTTAAGAAAGTATTAAAGTTTTAAACTGTTTTTAACTTTAAATAATAAATACGATATTACCTGCCGCGATCGTTAGTTGGAATGACAAAGAATAAACTTATTATTACCTTATGAATTCCGTGCACCTAAGCCCTTCATACATGATTGGTTACAGGCAATGCGAGCTAACACACAATAACAACACATATCCTAGCGAATGTAACTTCTTTCCATTATCAGACATCAAGCACAAAATGTTTTATTCTAAAAAAACTTGAATATTTCATAAGTTTCTCATAAAATGTAGAATACTCCTGTTACTATAATGAGTGAATTGCAATGCAGTAGCGGCGTTTGGCCGAGCAAGTTTGACATTTGTGTGTACTTAGCGTTTCAAATATAGCGCAGTATATTTCTCGCGAGTGCTTTAGTCAGTACTGTCGCGAGTCATGTCTATCTTTTTGGAAAGTGTGACTAACGTATCGGAATATTCGATGTGGTACTATTAGATTTCTTTCTTAACTTATGTATTGTAATATGCATTCGTGTGTGTACCTAAATAAAAAAAAAACTTTTATAAGATTCTGCAATATTTGTTTACTTTAATATTTTGTAGAAAAGACTACTGATATAAAATAAAAAACCGTTATTTTATTACGAACTGGTCATTTAACATTACTGTAATTTTTAAGGGCAAAATTGTTATGAATTAGTATAGGGATACATGTTATAATGATCAATTAAAAAAGTCGGTTTTACGGGCGAAGATTTTACGTGACAACGTCTTTTTCTCGGTAGAATATTTATTGATATGAATATAATTAAATTGCACAATAGGAACAAGGAATTGAATGAAAATAAGAATTGCACAAATTTTAACTATAGAAATATATTTTGTTTACTAAAACATTGTACATGTAAACTTAAACTTAACACGAGAGACTCATCGTAACGTTACCGAGCGTTACACTTTTTCATAAGTGACTCCCAGCCGCAACCTAATTTAAGACGTTGTCACGTCAAAAAACAGTTTGTTTCAAATACATTTTTGAAATACTAACCTTACAGTTATTACTTCTTCAACCGTTTCCACGTCCATAACAGTCAGTAAATTAGTCGTCATTTTAACTGTCAATTACAAACTATACTACACTTATAAAATAAAGCTATTATTCTTTAGTAAAATAAACTTCACAAATCACATTAAAACTATGTTAATTCTTGTCCAGCCAGCTGGCAACTGTCTTCTGTGATTCAATTTAAAATTTCTATGTAGGTATTATTAATATAATATCGCACTACCCTCGAAAATCACAAATTATTAATAAACATACACAAACTTATTATCACTTTAGACTTTACTACGAAAACACTTCAATCAAAAGAGGAATTAACCTTTTTATAAAATAAAGCTAATTATATCTGTACCTAAGTTTGACTGAAATGAATAACATTCTAATTGTGTCAGTAACTAATTAAATTTAGGTGACCAGCTATTGAAATAGGTCCAGTACTTTTTAAGTTTATTTGTTACACAAAACTGCAATGTATAATATTAGCATAAATAAAGAGTTTAATAAATATTTTTTAAATGATCAAATTACCAAAAATATGTTGGAAAATTGATCTCCATTAGATACCAGGTAAAATTTCATCACATAAACGACAAACAAGCTCTCAAGGTGAGGCATGTTTTATATACTTTGTTTGTTATATTCAGTCCGAGCTACATCTCGGAATTATAAGTATTCGATTAACCTCTATGCTAACACTTCGCATAGCTATTCGTAGTTGCTATCTGACGACCTCCGTGGCCGAGTGGTTTATACGCCGGGTTTCAAGGTGTCGCCAACTCGAGAGGTTCTCGGGTTCGAATCCCGCCCCCAGGGCAGATGTTTGTGGGACGAATAAGAGCATTTGTACTCCAGTCATGGATGTCTAATATGGATTTCTATATAAATGTACTTATATATGTATCAGTAGGTATAATGTATTTTGTCCGTTATGCTAGTATCCCACAACACAAGCCTACAGTGCTTACTTGAAAACGTGTTTAAAAATATACTCGTCAGCAGTATATCCCTATCATGCTCATTTGGGAATGCGAATGATATTATACTGTCAAAGGACATTGTTCAGCGTCCAAACATAGTTAGCCTAAGATCCAACAATCATGAAATATTAATTTCTAGGTTCAAAATCGTAAGTAAATGACTGTAAAAACAAAGATTATTGACGGACACTTCTGCGAACTTAAATTATTAGGAAAACTGGTAGGTTATGTTAAATATTCAATGAAACATAGGTCAACCTATGAATTTAGTATGAACTCAGTATGAAGTAAATTAATATTACAACTAATTCATTTTATTCGGAGCGATTTTAAAGAATAACTATTAGGAAAAACTTGGTTAGGTAGGAATCATGAATAAAATAAAAACTGTAGTTTTGCTTCTTATTTATTGACTATTTTATCATATTGTTTATTGTATTTATTTGTATATTGTGTAAATATGCAGCGTGAATGTGTATCAGGTGTTCTTGAATATTTTGGCAGTATGATCCTCTCAGGATGTTGTGGCACAGGTTCACTAGCACTTGGTAATAAGGGCTCTGCTCTTTGGTAACATCGATGGCATATTAGATAGCCGAAATAGTTAAATTAAAGGCAAAACAATCGCAAATAAACAAACACAACGGTAATCCGAAACGAGAATGCACTTTCCGGTATATTATACTACTCTTTGGAATGCACAAATGCCACAGATTACTACGAAAGCAAACTGCATGCACCACAACCACACAGTAACAAGTTTTATGCCGGCCCTTTACTTGACAACAGTTTGTCCTTGTCATGCTTAATAAGGAATGAAAAGGACAGACTGATGTCATGTTTTAAAATAGCAAATACGAATAGCCAAGTGAAGTGCCGGAAGCAGTGCATTAGGAAGAAAGAGTGTTTTGTTTGCAGCGCTGCCATAGATTAGACACATAAAATGGTATTTATTGTCTCAGATTATTTTTTAACTTTTTAATTTAGCTTACTTATCTGGAAGTGTCCGTCACAATCTAAATACTGATAATTATCGCAAAAAATATACTAAGAATTATCATAAATGCCAAATTGGTGTTGGTTCTTAGGCCAATTTTAACATTGTCCTTTACAAATAGCCAATATGAATAGCTATATGAAGAACAAGTATTACATATACATACACAACAGAAACTGAGGGTATTATATACCTTTCTACTGTGTTAAACTTTATTTTTTCTATAGAAATCTCGCAATCGAAATCGATCCCCACTGGTGCTTGTTGTAGTCGATTATTAAATTCATAAAAGGGTAAAATTATTGTCAAAGACTAAATAAAAGAAATTGATGTATCAGAATGAGTTTTTTTTTCGTGCCTATCAAGATTTTTCTCCACTGATCCACGTTAGTACAGTAGACCCGCGGTAATCCGGACCCTGTCTAATCCGACGCGATTATCACTGTTCATTTGCACATTAAATTGATTGAATGGATTTTTAGATTTGTAATTTGTCGAATTACAAGGTACCTACCTACTCTTATTTCAAAAAGGCAGAGGCATTACTCAGTACTCCTAACACGAACCAATATTGAATTCGTAACGTTTGCGAGTCCGAAAAGTCATTGTCAAATGTGTAGTGTTTTTTTATTTCTCGTTACGTACTTTGTGAAGCAGCTGCTCAAGTTTCCTGACATTTCGCACTCGCAAACTATTCGCATTCGATATTGGTTCGTGCTAAGGGTACTGTAATCCGACATCGCCCTGCAAAATGTATGTCTGAATACCGCGGGACTACTGTACTGCCTATTGCCTACTACTACAATTACAACTAAAAACGACAAAGTAAGAACATCCGATAATACACTTGCTGATAAATTTCAAATGAAGATTTACATAATTATGAAATCTATGGAGCATTTTTTTTGTGATCTGGGACATACTTTTAGCAGGGAGATTCCTGGGGAGTGAAATTTATTGCCTGGCCTACTTTGCGGTCCGCTATATTTATTTGATGTAGTCCCCGTAGCATGAACAGCTCGACTTACATTTTATCATGTTTTTTTGTCGCATCTCATCTCATCATCAACTGTCAACCTCCAAAGTAATTTACCAATTCAGCGTAATATAAAAATGCGTCATATAGCATATCGCGGTGCTCAGGCTAGGGCGGTTGGTATGGTCTATATTCTAAATTAATCAGATATACTCTTTTCCAGTACTCGCCGGCCACCTTGTACAAGCGGTGGATTATATGGTCCAAATGACCTTTGGAAAACACTACGCTAATATCTGCAGATATTTGCTCAGGGAACCAGCTGTCAGTTAAGCAAACACTGTGTGTAGGGCTGCTCAGGCAGTATTATCTAAATTCTAAACTAATCAGATGTACTCACTTCCAGTATTCGCCGGCCATCTTGTACAGGCGGTAGGGCAGGTGGTCAACACCCGGATCCTTGTCCAATAGCACGCTGGTGTCGGCCAACGCTTGCTCAGCGAACGAGCTGTCAGTTGAGCAGGCGCTGTGTGACGGGCTGCTCAGGCGGTACGACCTAAACCAAACAAATAAAAAAACATGACTTACAAAATGTTTTTTTCAACGAGAAAGATACTCCACCTTCAACTCAGTCCCGTATTAACAGATCGCTCTTAACTCTGAGAGCTATCTTGAGATGCTATTTTTTATGTAAACAGTATCTTAAAATCGTAGTCTCATAGTTGGGAGCGCTCTATTAATACGAGCCCTAGCGTCAAGTGTAAGTGAAGTCCAGATGTGAAGGTTGTAGAAATCACTGCCACAATAGATACGCTTGACAAACAGAATCCCTTTTTTATTCCTGTACTTCTAGCATTTTTACTCGCTACAAAATAAAGCAAATCAGTTACTGATTTGAGATATATGTATCCCAAGTGATGTTAAATGAGAAACGTGTCACAATAGAAAACTTCACCTTACCAGCTTGAAACCATATTCTTCTGCCACGTGAGCTTTTAGGCTTAGGAGTGAAGCTTTGGCAACCTTCTAACAAAACAATGCCGCTTTTCAGTATGTTTGATTTGGTAAAATCTTTCTCCGACTCCAAGGCAATGATAAGTCAATAAACTTAATACAAAATCCAATATCACCACAATCAATCTAGTTTGGAATATAGTAAAGTAACCTTTAGTTTAAAATATTGCTATCAGTAAAATTTTAAGAATTAAACAATAAAGAGCAAAAATTAAGTCTTTTATCGCTATTCTAATTAAATACTGTGACCTTCAGATAAACTTATTCCAGAGTACTACATTGAGGAAGACGTTACACGATAAAATACAAAAAACTTAACAGCGCTTCTGAGCAATACTGCAACTCACAAAACGGTTACATCCAGGCGAGTACTTGTAGATAGCAAAATAATGGACTAATTAGTATTCTTATTTGTCATTGCATTGTGCGTTGTGAAGCATTTCTTTTGTCGAATTCAGTCATGACAAGGCCGACTGGTGTCTGCTATAAGGATCAAGGTCACAAACACCTGCCGCATGCATCGTCGGAAAGCAATTCTCAATGAATCTTTGTAATTTGTATACACAGTTTGAATATAATTTACGTCAGCAGACATTTCGCACATGTTACGTCACAGGAAAATATTGGAAGAACTCCAAGTGTACCATCGTGTTTACTGCAGTGAGAATGTTGAGCAACGTTTTGTAACAGGGCAAGTTAGCCCGCGTCAAGATATTCGATTGTTTAGCTCTAATCGTACGTAATATCGGGTAATAATTATGCGTCGACCTGATTGAATCTTTAAAAACTACGAGGTTGCGTGGTCAGACATTCAAATAAATTAATCGGTTATAGTGACAGAATTATTTTAATGGACTGTTCGTATTTTATTTGGGTTTTCATAATAAATGGATTATATTTCAGTATAACGGAATAAAGGTCAATTATTACTTATTCAATTAAATACTATTAGGTAAGGTGGTCGGATAACATTATGTAAATAATATCGAACAGCCGTCTCCAAGTTATGATAGATAATGTTACATTACAATTGAATAAATTTCTTACTAATATAAATATCTCCATATGCATATCCGTAAATCAGTTTGTTATATTAACTTGTCGATCATCGTCATTAATATGGACAATGTGACTTAATGTTAATTACAATATTGACCGTATTCACATGCAAATAAATCGGCAGGAAAATCCGGCTGTCCACTTTATTGTATTCTGCGAGTAGTGGCACACCTGTACGCTGAATAGGAGTTCTATTTTTAAACCACCAAAGCATTGATCTGATTAGACGTGAAAGCAGGAATCGCGTGAGTTTTAACTAGAGAAATCCGCGTACAAACTTACGCGACTACAGAGGCTTGCGACTTTGCCATCGCTCGTTGTAGCGAAAAGAATTTCTTTTGTCGAAAAAAAAAATACGAAGCGGGCGCTCAACGGGAGACGAAGATTTTAAGTCTACGCGGGTGAAACCATGAGACATTGCTAGTATATTATATACCTAAAACTTTCCTGATAAATACTATATATAATATATTAAGAACACCCCATCCAAATCGGATCAGTAGTTTTGGAGATAATCCCGAACAAACATACATACAGGTCAAACTGAGAACATCTTTTTTAAAGTCTGTTAAAAAATAGGGTAAATATACATCAGCGTAAAAATAACTCAATTACCGATACACAATCTTCTCAATAGTAGCCGGCGTTTGGCATTGATTAGGTTGGGTTTGAGATGTTGTCTCAAAAGGACACTGACAAAAAAAAAACCATCGGCAACAATACATTGTTTGTCTTTTACTTTACTATATCTAGCACGAAAAAGTTACTGATACATCATTTATATTATTTACTAGCCTAGGCCGCCCGCGACTTCGTAGGCGTGGAGTTAGTTACAAATAAAGGTTCACTGCTCGTTCCCCGTAGGTGATAGCGTGATAATATGTAGCCTATATTTTGATCTGACTTCTTAATAATATTCGTGCCAAATTTGAAGTAAATCCATGCAGTACTTTTTGAGTTTATCCTGGACATACATACAGACAAACAGACAAAAATACTAATAACTATATTTTTGGCTTCGGTATCGATTGAAGATCACACCCCAAGTATTCTTTTAAAAAAAATATTCAGTGTACAGTTTGACTTTCCTACCATTTTATTATATGTATAGATATACTTTTTCCCAATCTGTCTTGGAAATTAATTTCGAAAAAATACTTGGAAAACGACAGCAGTGACATAAACGAATTTCAATAGATAAATCTGTCTACTCAGAGCAGTAGACAGACAGATTTTCTGCGTTTCTGTAGAGCTGTCCACAAGGTCAGTCGTCAACACAACCGTGTTGTGTTCTGTGGTCGGCAATGCGCAAGTGATACTTCACACTGCGAGCACAGGATGAATCATGAAAATAACACAAAGATTGAGAATCTAAAGTTACAACTCACCGGTCTCGCGTCACGTTGTGCACCGTGATGGGGCTGAGGCTAAAGTCTGCGAGGGTGCTGAAACCGCGCGAGCTCGTCGATACCAGCTCATACCGGCTGATGATCTCGATGTGTCAAACAGAAGTTCTTTGAAGTGTCCTACATACAACTCACCGGTCTCGCGTCACGTTGTGCACCGTGATGGGGCTGAGGGTGAAGTCCGCGAGGGTCCTGTACCCGCGCGAGCTCGTCGACACCAGCTCATACCGGCTGTTGGTCTCGATGTGTCAAACAGAAGTTCTTTGAAGTGTCCTACATACAACTCACCGGTCTCGCGTCACGTTGTGCACCGTGATGGGGCTGAGGGTGAAGTCCGCGAGGGTCCTGTACCCGCGCGAGCTCGTCGACACCAGCTCATACCGGCTGTTGATCTCGTTCTATGACAAACAGAAGTTGACTGATAAAAACAATGATGAGGGATAAAGACGCAGCATGCATATAATTAACTATGAAGGATTCTGGCGACTTACAAAAATTAAAATAAATCTTTTAAGCTTAGGAATAAACTTGGAAGCGTCAATCGACTTGGAAGGATTTGGCTTACAGTGCAATAAAATCCAGTAAGAGTTGGTTAGAGCTCAGGTTACGAGGTTTTTTAAAATTAAGAATAAAATAACCACAGTTGCAAAAAGCATACCTTTTACTGGAAGACGATTATTAAAACTAAACTTTTGGCATTAACGTTAAACATCCTAGCCAAAAACATAATTTTAATAACTAGTAACTAATTAGTATTCCAATCAGACTTCTGAAAAGTTCAAGTACCTAATCGTAACACTAACCACTCCGGTAACAGCAAAAACAGCGTCTCAGTTTTTACGATGATATCATCGGTGGCAACAGCTTTGATAAAAAAAATGACCAAAATAACGAATTTCTTTGAGAGTCTGCCTGGCTATGGAACCGTGAAGCGATCTTTCGCTCACAAATAACACTGCATCTATGAATCACTGTAGGACTTTGACTTTGAAATTCTGTCGGGCCATTAGGATCGCGATACATTAGGTACATACTCGTTGTTAATTTCTTAAATCTGTAATAGTAGAGTTGTTTTTGCTTTATGCTATTTTTCGATAGGTTATTTATTTTACAGTATGAAAAATAAAGAACCAATTGTTGGCATCTGTATTGAATATGAAAGTAAAGGCAGCGATTTTACTACTTTTAGAGAACAATCATTTATAACTTTACTGAAAATCATAATTTTTTTGTTCTATGATCACGTGACAGAAAACACCTGGGATTGGCGAAGACTAGAATGACGCCACACGCTAGTAAACTTCCGGTCAAAGTAACATTACATTATATCGTTTGACGTTTTAATAACAGAAGTGTGACGTCATGTACCAGTGAGAGGCCATAATATCCAGAGAAACGTTTTCGCGGCAACTTGAATATGGAATATTTGATTTAGATTATTTCGGAAATACACAACAGAATGATGAATACCACTTTTTATGGACTTCCTAAACATTGATAAATAAGTAAATGACGTGATATCGTTTCCTAAAACTTTTCAAATATCCTATTGAACTAGCTCTAAGTAATACTAATTAACGACGTCGACGGTGCTTCATTGGCAAACTTGAAAGCTTTGGCCTAATAGATAGCATGTAGCTTCGTAGCAGTATACCAGAATAAAGCCGTTGCAACTCTCAAGGCTACGTTAAAGCACAAGTTAGCAGTGGAATAATTATAACTGTTTTCCTTGATTCTGTTTTACTGTATGCAAGCACAGAAACCTTCGTAATGAGCTCATTATTAAATTCGAACGCATCAAAACCAACAACAACACAGTTAGAGGTGACGCGCATTTTAACATGAGAATAATAGAAAAACATAAAATACATAAAACAATAGTTTACAATTACATAACAAATGATTCAACATTGTCAAAAATATTCAAATAGCTAAGTTTTGCATGTGACTGCACAATGTCAAGGACAACTGTGTTTGTGTACTGACTTATATTTTTCATGAGCAAACACAAGTTACTATACTTTAGAACAATAACGAAATACTTCTTAATTAAATTATACTAGGTGCGCCTTGCATTGTTACCCGCGGTTTATGTGGGATATTTTCCCGCAGTAAAACGTAGCCCATGTGGTAATCAAGGGTGTCAGCTAACTTCATACCAAATTTTATTAAAATCGCTCTAGCCGTTTAGACATGAAGAAGTAACAAACATACACACTCACAAACTTTCGCCTTTATAATATTAGTGTGATTAAAAGCATTGACGTAAGTAAATAGGATTGCAATATGTGTAAAATTATATAATAAAGTCATCGGTGCTTGATAACTGATAACCATAATATGAATAAAAATAACGACTATAAGAAAACCTTTAAAGTTGAGAAGATTGGCCAATATGGAAGTATTTTTTTTATAATTTCATAATTTAAAAAGTTTATACTAATGCGAAAATATTTTCTAATATCCACTTCAAATGTCGGGAATTATGGTGGTACATATTTTTGGATTTAAATTTCGTCATATTATTTTTCTCAATTAGAGCCCCGATGCGTTAGTATATCATATTGAAATAAAGTTATTGAATAAAGACGCTTATTCCATGTCCTAATTGAACCGTTAAAGGGCATGGAAGGAAGTTGACAAAATTGGCACCTACTTATCCAACCATGACGTACTTAAGGAATAATAAAAAGGTTATGAGGTATGCTATTAAACTTATTTCAAGGTAGGTATCATAAAAAGCGTGTTGATTACAAATACCTGCCAAGTAAAATAAGAAATATGACATAGAGTTAGAAGATGATCATCTACGATGATAACAACACGGTCTATAATCAAAACACTAAACTGACCTTGAAAGCCCGAGACCACATCTTTAACGTGCACGCGGCTTCCGATCTATCGATTCAAGTCCTAATACCGAGTTTTTGGTTATCGTCATAGCAACGTACGTACCTTCGAATCTCCTTGGTCTAAATAAAGCACAAGATAATTAGGTCAAGAATCAATACAACAAATGAGAAATTTATATCCAGGCGCACTCTAAACTATGTAGCACTAGCAATACCGGCCGCTATCCTCAACCAACACAACTGAAAGGCCACAGATGGCTTGAAATAATAATACGCGTTTTGTACCCATGTGTAACGAAAATAAACCTAAGCGGGGGAAGTCTGATTCAAGTTATATTTGGACGCATTATCTTTTTCCTGTAAGTCCTTTATTTAAATTGAGAATAAAATAAAAAGTACTTAAAAATCCTGAAATAAAATGTTATGGAAATTGGGCGGTAATATAAAAAGCGCCCAAGTGCAGCTCGCATTCGAAATAAACCCAGCAGTAAACCATACTTCGTATTGGACTACAAAGTCATCGTCAATGTCAGGATTTAAATTAGCCAAAAGACTCATCAACAAAAAATATTACTTGACGCGGTGATCGTTTAATATGCGGTTGATTATTTTTCATTCAATTTAAAGGGTGCACTCCACGAGGAAATAGTTTACACAATGGTAAAGCTACGCCTTCCATGCAGTTATATTTTGATAAAATCAGAGCGTAGACGGGAAAAGATCTGTATAAATAGAGCCTATTCAATCCAATCTTAATTAATCTAAAGAAATATTAAAGTACAAGACTATTGGTGAACGACAGTTAGCTTAAGACAACAACGAAGAAGACAGTACCGATCAATATTTGATCCCTTCAATATTATGGATCGAATAGTAAGGTTAATAAAAAGTGCTATTCCTATCTCGTAAAAGTAAGAACCAAATCGGAATTATTGAACAGGCTTAAATACTTTAAAATCGCATGCTTTGTAATGCTCTTTCTCTAGTTTCAGTAGTTTATTTAAGCAATATTTTTTCGGAAGAAGACTTTACAATTACCAGTTCGTTCAGAAATGTTCGAGATCCCCTTGAACTCAATAATTTCAAATAAACAGACACATTTAGGGTGGTAAGTTTTGATGGGGGAGCTCTCAAACGTAAGTGGCCAGTGCTCTTCATTGGCCGGATATTAGATAAAAGACTATCTCGGTAATTATTTAAGAGCACCTTGCTCGATTTTATGTGGATATATAATATTAGGTTAGGGAATAAGTTTCTTCGCATTTAATATAAAAAAATTCAAAACCGTTTTTTAATAAAGTTCATTTACGTTTAACTTAAGTATGTAGGTGCCATTTTGTTCGATAACTTTATGCCATCTTAAAGGTTGGGGCATGATCCCATTGCTATAGAAGTTTTGGGGCTTCAGAATAAAAAACCGCGCCAAGTGGTTTTGGCAGACCTCTCGTGATATTAACCTGACACTGCCTAAAGAATTCTGAAGAGACCGAAACATTTGGAAACGTGAAGGTTCAAGGACAGGACTATACGGCGGATGCATTAACACCTTCCGTCAAACTCTCTTAATTTTTGTTGAGTGGCTAAAGACGTGAGAGGTCTAGGTCGTTCCCATGATAAAAATCTACAACCCTTTTGTTGATTAATTCGGGCCGTTTTCTCTTAACTACTTGCTATAATCTCTTCAGTTGTTTGCAGTAGAGTTCAGAATCGATGATCTTGCCTAGCGGTAACAGCTCATAATGTAAAATGCCCTTCCAATCCCACCATACACACAACACCATACCTAGTTGCGAATTAACCCGACCACGACCTTTTTTGCACGTCCTTGTCGTACGTGATCCACTTTTCATCACCAGTAGAAGAAGCTGATATTCTTCAAAAATTGTTCGGTTTCATTACGTCGTAATGAAGAATCACAAATGGTACAAGGTTCATTAGATTTATTTCAGTGAGCTCGTAAGGCACCCAAATATCCAGATTTTTTGTGTACCCAGCTTATTTCAAATACGCCAAAATTGTTTTGTGGGTAATTCCCAGTTCTTCAGCTACGTCGTAATTACTGAAATGCCGATCTTAAATCAAATTTATGCTGCTCTCACAAACAGTGACAGTCTCACAGGTCTATAAACATCATAATTTCTTTTCGCAGCTTGCGTTGCATTTTTAACTTTTTTGTAGAAACATTTAAAAATGAATCTTCGTGAAATTTCTTCATCAGATTCGCTCATGTTTATAGTAAGAAAAACAAATGAAAATCTCACATATTTCAAATTTGAATTTGGAATTATCTTCTTCTAAAAATTTAAACTTTTTAATGATACCAAAACCAGCCAGATACAAATAGAATAGCCGAAGGGATTTAATTACAAGTTCATACATAATATAAAGCGAAAAGACTTTTTCCCCAACCTATTATGATACTTGGTTCACAGGACAATAGTGATTTAGATAACAAATCTTGCACTAGCTCCATTTAGAAACACCTGATGTATGGTATGATATGAATGATGATGAAATTTATGAATGTTGATATAACACAAATGGGGACATGCTTCCGTGCAGGCGGTGGGTGGTGTCTGTTAAACTCAATTAGGTACCTGATTGTTATTTACGTCCGCGTTTTATTTATATTTCAATTAAGAAGGACGAGATCAAACGGTTACGGGCAGTTACAAAAGGAAATGTTTCGAAGCATTGCGAGGAATCAGGGACGTTGAATGCACGATAATTGACTAAACTAACAACTCTGTCAGAATACTGCCTGCCAGGAATCAAATTCTTCTAATAGGAAAGTCTACGAAACGTAAATTTAATTATGGAAGCTTCTTAGCTTTAAAGTAAAACCCTAAATTTTTCAGTCTTCTATAGGGATGATGACGGGGTAAACGGAACGAATTTCCATTTAGACCGTCCGTCAGTTCAATTACAAAAATATGGACACTTTATTTTATAAAAAATTAAAAGGCGCGTCAAAATTTGACTCGTTGACGTTTGTTGCTCGTGACGTTACTTATAAGTAAAAATTGTACCAAGACGTGACGTCATGCGACATTTGAAATCAATCTATCGCTGGTAATGTTTTAATTATGAGAATAAAGAAAAAATACGTGTCTAATACTTTTTGATAACCTACCTGATAGATGAAGAAAATACAAGTTAGTCATCATCATTCAATTTGTTTTTTTTGAAGTTGTTACGAAACTTTTATGTTGAAATCTATTCAACTTGCATGCCATTTGAAATGGTTAAATAGGTCTAAGTACAATGTTTTGGATAACTAACCTGTCTGATGTAACCAATCTACCCAATTTACGGCAAATAAATCATTTCATTACATCCATATTATCATAAAACTAAAACATTTACCTAGTTTTAAAGTGTCTAATTCTATCATGACGAGTCGTATTATCCCCTGAGTTGATTGTTACTAACGACAGGAACAGGACGGACTACAGGTATAATAATCGTCGTCAAAATAAGGCGGCGCATAATGATTTATTTTATTTCCTAGCAGCTATATTAATAAATGTACATTGGAGTAGCTCACAAATAATGCTACTAGCTTGCCGCCCACGGTTACGTCTGGACGTGCGTGAACAACTTCATACAATACGGACATCTGGCAGGTTTTATTTACCAAAGGATGAACGAGCTTCCTAATCAAGACATAAACTATACTATTTTTTAAGTAAACCAAATTAGGTACCAACACAAAGACTCAACTCACACTGGCGCAGAGTCTAAGCGTCGCGTCATGTTTTTCGCCTTGGGAATGAATACCTTAACGGTGGGAAAATAGAGATGAATTTTCTACAGACCAAAAACATGAAACTTGGTATTAAGAACTCGCGCGTCGTATCAGCAGCAGTGCAGCGCAAAAATCCGCTCGAATAGCTCGTATGTATTTTGTATGAATTATAACTTCATAATTCGCCACGAATTTTAGTTGCGTGCAATGCGATGATTGCGATGCGCCCCGACACAGTGTGCGTATAGCAAGCGAATTGAAGCACGGACATCTGGCAGGGCCACATTCAGAACCTACCTACGTTCCTCGTTCGACCAATGCCAATTTTGACGTAAGTTTCATACATTTTATGTCATAATTGAAACGTCAGGGCAATAAGTTGCACTCAGAGCGTAGGTTTCGAACGTAGCCCAGTACAACCCAAAATTTGTCAATGCCCTGCCACCCGGCCCGTCACTTATGTGCTAAGTAAGCATTTTGTGATGCGCTGCGGTCCGGCATAATATGAACTATCCTTTAGTGGGAATACATGAAGTGGAAAAATAGCGATGAATTTGCTACAAGCGAAACGCATCGCGTCGCGTCGCTTCGGCTCTGTGCCAGTGTGAGTTGAGCCAAAGTCAGCCAAATTGTAGTTTCGGATTTTATTCGTATAGACAGAACAGAGTTTATTTACAAGGTTCTGTCACCTTGTTACATACAATGTTTTAATTTGAACTGGCTAGTGAATCCTGATGCTAAATATGTAGCTTCCCATCTCCACTTTGTTAGTGTGAAACCTATTTCCCTAGCTACTTTGTTGACAAAACTACACGAATACAACGAAATATTTTTATTTCGCTACATACATTCTGAAAAGTAGGCGGACGCTGCGTGTTTAAACGGAAATTCTTTGCCTTATCAGCCTTACCTTCCTTAGTTACAGCAACGGTTGCTCAGAAAGTATTATATGAATGGGTTGCATAATAGAGACCGGTTCCGTTGACTAGAGTGGAGAACGCGTGCGTGCGTGTCGTGGTTTCTGAGTGTGACACGTTTTCCGTTTCCGATTTCCAAAACAAAATCTTCGAAATAAAGCTTTATTGAAACTTTACATTTTATAACAGATCATTACTTGTAATATCTAAAATACATTGCGAAAATAACTTAATTTGCTGTTTGAATCTGTTTAGCTTGCAGCTGTATAGCTGAATCTATTTCGATTTTTTTTGTTCAGTATAAGATTAACTACTGTAAAGAAGAATACGACTTATGTATGTATGTTAAATCTGGTAGAACTTGCAGAGAAAACATATAGTTATTTCACGAATTAAGGCGATGTTGCGAAAGCATTACTTAGCTAGATAGTTCTTTTGTATTGATAAATTATTTTTAATTAATCTAAATCTGTTTTCTCTTCTAGAAGAGAGCAATAGTAAAGAAAGCTAATTTATAAATACAGTGCTATTTCACAACTGCTCTCTGTGGCACAGACATGCCAAGTGCATATAGATTTCACACGGATCCGCTTAATTAATACCCATACGTTCACCAGCGATTACCATAGTAACAGGTCCAAACTACCGATCCAAGTGAGATGCCGCCCCACGAAATAGATAAAGATAAAAAATATTTTAACCTTATTATTGTAATACACTTATATTAATACTAACGCAAAATCGAATTAATGTTAACATAATAAGAAAAAAAATAAAGCACAACAGCAGATCTTATATACCTACACGTAAATGATCTTCCCTAATTTAAACCAACAGTGTTTTGAAACCACAACCTCAGGGATGGCGATAACAGAGCCAAGTCCGCCGTGCTCGTCTCTCAGATGCGCAGGCGGTCTATTTTTTTTTTAAATTAAGCATACCAAAAACCAATGATATTGCATTTGTCTTTTTTTATTTTAAAAGTGTACCAAAGACGCCCGCCTGATGGAAAGGGGCCACCATAGCCTACATACGCTTGCAATACCGAAGTTATCACTAGCGTTGTTGCCTACTCTGACCCATTCCCCTACCCCGTGGAATTGTTGGAAGGCCAAAGGGGAAGATCTTCCTCTGAGCTGGATGATGGTTGCTCTGGGGCCGTGGCCCTACTGATGTTGGTCGGGCATCGTATATATGGAGAGTTTGGCTCCAAATTTCTCTTGCACGGTGTAGGTTTCCATACGTTGTGATCGCAGCGCAGGTAGCGCCATCTCTTGAGGAGGCGAGTGATAATTTCCTATATGTTAGTTATATGTGGGGCATATAGATGTCGCCGCCACAGAATCCTGGAACCTTACCCACCGACAGAAATACAACACCACCAAAAGGTAGTGTTATTTTACTGTGCTCTTCTGTAAGGTGGAGGATACTTCCTTAGATGAACGCTCCAATTCGAGCGGAAAATCCGTATGCCCTACCCCTCTTATGATATTCTACATACCTGGACAACCTCCCTCTTGTGACTCTTCAGCCGGTCCTGGCTCTCACCGGAGGAATAATCGCTGGTGGGCTCCACAATCCGCGTGGATCGGCGTGTGTGGAGGGCGGGGCCATCTAGCTCCTCGTCCGTTTCACTTATTGTCTCAGCTGGTACTTTGCTTGAGGGATGCTGCAGTTGTCTAAGCAAATAAATAATGATATTGTTACAAATGAAATACAGCACTCATTTCGAAAAAGATGTTCTAAGAAATTTAAATAAATAAATTACTCTATTCTATGGTGGCAACCCTATGATGAATATTAAATGACGTATCACGATTACACAATATTATTTTATTTACACATACCTAATTAATTACATCCATTAATGACAATTTGAAATATTAAACAGCAAAGCTTTGAATGTGCTAACAAATTTGCTGAACCTGTTAATCGATAATTTTAAAAACAAGATTTTAAAAGCATGTTTTTTCAATAAAACATGTCTATGAATGTTATCTAAATTGAGTGAAGTTTGCAACATTGTAGACACACAAACAAGATAATATCCCAGTAATCTCTGATAAAGTGAGTAAATGAGTAGTAAATATTTTTTCATGAGTATTATGTATTTTTCAAACTGTTAACGCTGATTCATGAGTACATTGAAAAACAAATCCTCAAATAAAATAGTTCAAGAAACTAAACTTGATCATAAAGTATATAGTAGGATATTTTGTGGTGACTGCAACACAGAAGTGAGGTCAGCAAAGCCCCATGACCATGAGCACTACAATAATAGTGACGCAATAACTTGTGATGTCACCAAACACATAAACTTGTCCTTTTACAAAGAACCTTGCATTTTATTTGATAGCAGAGATCAAACATTTTTTTTGATCTTTTAAAGTAGATATGACCTACTTTTATTGTTAGCTATGTATGAATGAAGAATTCAAGGTCACATGCTGATAATTAATGAGGAGCTCGATGGCGCAGGTTGTTAGCGCGTACGGCTGCAATCGTTGAGGTTAAGCAACTTTCACAGTGGTCGGTCATTGGATGGGTGACCAAAGAATCTTCTATCTCGAGTTAATCCATGCTTCGGAAGGCATGTTAAGCCGTTAGTCGTTAGCACCCGCCAATTCACACTGGGCCCACGTGGTGGGTCATGGCCCAATCTCCCTATTTCATCCACCGGGAAGGCATGTGCCCAACAGTGGGGGGATTAATAGGCTGCTGATGATGCTGATAATTTTTGTCAAATTACATTGGTCTGAAACCTGGACCAACTGGATTTTTTTCTAGTAGAATTTTCTTTAGCTTTTAACATCAAACAATAGCAGTTAAATGCATAAAATAAAAAATATAATAAATTACATTTGTTTTCAAAACAGTATGTGTCAATAACTACAGATTAATATTTTGAAAGCAGTCTATTTATTTGTTATACCACTATTAGGAATTATTAAACGTATGAAAGTATTTCAGTGTTTGGTACTTAGCCTACAGTAAGCAGCAACAACCAAAATCAATTAATTCATCCAGACTATTGTAAACTTATTTTCCTTTACCATTATATTTCTATTTTAAGCATTTACCATGTTTAAATCTAAAGCAAATTTTCCCTTCTGAAAACTGGTCTGAGAGATTTTTTTTAGTAATATTTGCTTTATTTTTCTTTTTAACAAGATGGTATTGCATTTTGTAAATGATATACTGGTATGATTCAACTTTAATTGTAACAATGTGGAAGAAGAGCAAACTTATGTTGAAATGACTTCAAATTAAAGAATAACTATCACAAGCATCTATAGTCAAGTATAATATTTATCATCAAGAAGTGTTTCATCTCACCAATGTCAGCCAATGTTATAGATAATTAATTTATGATGTATTTAAAGATACTCAAATATAGATGCTTCATTGAAATGTTTATCATTGAAAACAATTTACCTACTTTCAAAAGATATATTAGATATACACAGTCATATTAGTTCTCAGCTTACAAGGAGTTTTACTGAATGCAGATATGAATACTTAAATAATACAGAGCTTTCAGTACTTAATCTTTCAACACTAAAACTTTGTCTTTAAACTATACTTTTTTTTTCACACAGTAGTGGCACAATCTTGATGAATTGCAGTATAGAAATTACAAACACCTTTTGTTAAAGACAAAATTATTGCTTTTAGTAGCAGGACCTATTAGTTTATTAGTAAATCATTCAGACAGTAAATTAATCAAATGAGATAAAAGTATTCTTCCAAAAACTTGTTTACAAGTCAGATTGTTCCTGTTTGCCCTTCTTTATATGGGCCATACTTCTACTCAAATTTTGCAATAGTTTTTTTTTTATGAATGATTTGAGTGCATTTCTATAAAATTTTAATCACACCTGTTGTTAAGCAACAATGTGGTCTAAGCTGGATGATGCAGACTTGAGTAATGCTTTAATAAGCATTACTCAAGTCTGCATCATCCAGCCTTGCCTTGAAGATCTAATTATATGTATCAGGGAATAATGACGTGGGAAGGGTACTCCATTCCCCAGGGGTTAACATGATGAAGGAGGATGTGAATCATGAGGCAAGCAGTGGAGGAATATCAAATAATGTCTTAGACTCTTCCAAGAATGGTCAGGGTCTGGTGAAATGAAAGAATCTAGAATGGCTCATAAGTGAAAATATGATAAGTTAATATATTTTTAAGAGAAAAGGTATTTTTTAGAATATTATAATTTTAAGACTGACCTCTGAAAAAACTTGTTTTTATTAGCAATGTCTGTTCAAATTAATTTTCAATAACATATACAAAAATGAAACATCTTAGCCCTTTATTCTATTTGTATTTTAATCTAAAGAGAATTGTACTAGAAAAAAATACACAAAATCTCGACTCAGTATCCTCTCTCAGACGGTACTCGAACCTGACCTGAGCACTGACCAAATCTTATCCCTAACTGGGTGAGAGAGCATCATATCTTTAATGCTGAGATAGATATGTAACTCTTAATCACTCACTAAACCATACCTCAACAGTACCACATTTGGGTTTGGTCAGGCAGATATAAGATGTAACTCAGGCTTAATGTCTATGATCAATAATTTAATCAAGACATTCAAAACCTCTCTAAGACGCTACAATAGGGTGCTTACTTAATGGGAGTGCTACGTCTCACAGGCGTTTTCCTTCCGGATTTATGATGTGTGTGGTCTTCTCCCTCAGTGCAGTTTTCTCGGTCACAACTAGACCTGAGAAACGGTGTTTTCGAACGCGACCTTGACCTCAATCCCGTAACTGTAGGATTTTCCATGGCTTGCTACGACTTGTTTTTAAATACCGGATAACATTTTTGTTTTGAAGAATATTGTCCACAAAACCGTAACAGTCTTCACACTTTTTAAAGATTGCACAAGGAAATCTATTTCTGTGGCTTCATGTGCTGCCGCCAAAAGTAACAAAATAATCAGTCCAAAGCTATTCTTAGAAATATAGAAAAAATATTGCATGAAGTACACAAGTACGATCACTAGCAACACACTTTACAATAACAAAAGGTTGTACACAATTTTGTACTTAATACGAGAGCGTAACACAAAATTCGTTATATTTCGTAACTAGGTACACGCTTGCTAAACATAAACTGATGACGTCATCGATCAAATAACGAATTAACGGTATTTCACATGGATGTTCGTATTTGCCTTTTGTCATTTTGACAGACTATCCTTATCATCACACTATAAAGGAAGTGAAAAAGACAGATTGTTGTCAAATATCAATTAAATATATGTCACTATTATCAAATACTGATACCCATGTGAAGTGCCGGCATTAAATCATTAATAGTCCGAAACACCCTTCCAGTTTACTATCAACAGTAAAAAATCTGTCCGAATCTCTGATGAGCTATGAGATGAGCCATAGTTGGCCATGGCCATAGTGCAGTCCTCTCCTTATTCAGAGTTGCAGTCAGTGTCATAGTCTATGACACTGAAACAAACTATAGACACAATGGTGCCGATTCTGACACGGTTCTCTAAACTTAAAAATAAATTTAACATCAGTCTCTCCTTTTCATTCTGTATAGAGAATGACAAGGATACACTGGTGTCAATTCTGGCGTGATTCTCTAAACTTAAAACTAAATTTAGCATCAGTCTCTCCTTTTCATTCTGTATAGAGAATGACAGGGATGCACTGTTGTCAAATTTAAGTTTAGCTTTAGAGAATTATGCCAGAATCGACATCACTGTTGTCAAATTTAAGTTTAGCTTTAGAGAATCATGCAAGAATTGACACCAGTGCCATGGACGAAGGATTTACATACTGCAACAAAGAAATATTTCAAATGAGGCTGAATGGACATAATATTCTTTGCCTTCCTTTAAAATAGAGGGAGAACGCAAAAAAATATGACAGTGACAGCTGTTGGTGGGAGTGTTGCCAAATCTTACCGCATTCCCACTTTTTCTCCCGCCGTTTTGATAATGGATCCAATCCACGTTCCGCTTTTCCTCATATATTTAATCAACTTCTATTTTTCTCATTTGTGGGTACAATGCTGTCCTTACTAGGTTTAGATTTATGAAAGTAATTTCTAGGGTAGGAGGGTAAGGGGGTGCAAATCGTAAGTACCGCTTTTTTGATCAAAATCCCCGTTCTTGCTTTTCTCATTGGCAACACTGATTGGCGGGCTAATTCAGTTCTTTCTTTTCTTTTGTTTACTTTGTAGGCCCTTTTTGAGTTTATGAGTATTTGTTTGGTGATAATAAACTGTCGCGAACTATGGAATCCACAAAATTATTTAGCAACATAAAGGCACTAGGCCATGTCAATAGCAAAAGAGATGAACTTCAAGAACTATGTCGATTGAAATTCGACAAGGTATGGCCACTGACCAGATTTAAGAAAATGATGTTCTTTTTGTTTTTTTACTAACTTATGTTGAATATATGAACAGATATTAAAATTTTTGCCACGTCGAATTTTGGACGGCGACGGCGGAGACGTATTGGATTGTTTAATAAATGGCTTACCGGATAACCCCACTACGTCAAGTAAACAAGCAGCAAAGGTCGGTTGAAAGTTCATATTAGCCTTTATTTCAATCAAACAAAGTGACTAAAGCTTTTATTCAGTTTTCTAATAGCACTCATTTGAAAGTAGATCTGTTTAAACTTTTTCTGTTATTTTAGTTGATAGATGTTGTTGTACAGTCAATGAGAAAAGAGTCAACATCTCTTACTCATTGTGGAGATGTTATAAGCAGGCTGTGCCTAGAACTATCCCGGCAATCTCCTGATGATTTGGTGAGATGGTGTAATGACTGCATACAATCGATCATTCAAGACACTGATGTGAATATGATGTGAGTTTTTAATTTAAATTTATAAGAAACTAGCAGCAACCCGCGTCTTTGTTCATGCTTTTTATGAATCCCTCAGGAACCCAAATGTTTTTTCTGGATTAAAAATATCCTGTTTCAATTTAAGTAATTAACTAAATGTGTGCCAAATTCTATCAAAATCCATACAGCCGTTTTTAAAAAACACTTTCACTTTTATTGTTAGTAACAATAAATTCTGTTTGTCATTATGTAAAAAAAAAATTGATAAATAATGTTTGACTTTCTGCCACTATAAATATTATTTTGCTGAAGTGACTCTAGTTTCTTTCTTTAATAACTATTTATGAAACTGGGTTTGTCTGAATTCCAGTTGGCGTGATGTGATACCTGAATGTTTGAATGCACTCTCATCATACAGTGAGATCAAACATTGTGAAACAACAATGACAAGTGAAGATTTCAAGCAAAGATGTGTGCATACACTCTGCCAATGTCAATGGGTTGAGAAGCATTTAGTGCAATTAGCAGGCATGTTTAAGTGAGTAGCTGTTTAATATTTTAAAAGAAGTAACTTATGTTTGTTTTCTTTTCATTTGTTAAGGTCCACTTGCAGCAATTTTGCTAAATCTAATTTTAACTAAAACTTGTTTAGCTCATACAATAATGTCAAATTGACTTTGGTGTTTTGTCATTTTTTTAAGGGATATATCTAGTTTAAGTTGAATCGGGATAATTAAATCAAAATTACTGCAAGTGGGCCTTAAAATTTAATTGGTTTATATTTACTTTTACAGAGATATGCAATTAGCCCGAAATGACCACAAACAGGTGGTCAATAAGATATGTTCATACATTATAGATATATCACCTGACGTGCTGCCTCCACTTGTACATCAATTATTGAAGTAAGATAAATCATTTATAGTAACAACTTGAAGAAAAATGACAGAATTCTTTCATGTTACCAACTTACCTAATTTAAATACCAACTGATGTTAAATTCTATTGTTTGTTTTTTATTAAGTTTTAAGAATAGACTGAATAAATGTAATATATTTAACAAGTTAGTCTTAATAAAGGCATTTATTTTATTTTATTGATTTTTATTTTATTAAAGAATAGACTTGTTTATGGGATTGTTTATTAACTTATTGAATATATTTTAAAGGCTCTGCAAGTCATACCATGTGGATATAATGTTGGCCCATTTGAGCCATTACTTCAGTGTGAGACTGTATAGTAAGCTGGAGCCACCACCACAGGACTCGGAGTCTACTACCATGGATATAGATGATATTGGTCAGTATGAATGATTCTTTAAAAACCTACCAACACACCTTTATCATAATTTGCTTTAATGACGCAAAATTTGTGTTGGCCAAAAAAAAAAACATTAGGGTATTTTCCAAATATTTGATATATTAAAAGACGATTTAACAGATAAATAAAAATAAATTAATTATTGTCTTTTTTTCTCCATTAAACCAATTAAAGTTGAATTTATTTTTAATGGTTTTGAATTTACCGCCAAAACGCTCGGTTCGATGACGTCAACTTTGTGTATGCTATGTAATCATCTGAAGGTCTAATTATTAACTTTTTTACATTCGGGATAAATTTATAGTATAATACTTACACAATATTTTTGATGTTTCGAAACTCTGTAGCACAGAAATCAGGATAAGTAGCGAAGGGATCTCTCGTTGCCCAGCGTCGTTAAAGCGATGCTGGACAGCGACAGATCCTGGAACGCGGTCGTCTCCTTCTGTGAGGAAGTCATCCTACAGAAGGAGACAGCAGAGAGGGCCCGCGAGGGGGACGCCCGGGCCGGTCCTCTCCGTCGCCGACGACCGGGGGGAAGACGGCGGCAGTACGACCGCCTCTTTCCACCCTAGTGGGACTGCGGGCGGCGGACAGGGTAGTCCGTCGCTCGCGTTGCGCAGTCTCACCCGTCGAGGGAGGATGCCTAGGTGCTCCAGGGCATCCCCCTGACCATCAGGAGGAGGAGGAACCTCTGCCGGGTAACGTGGAGCGTCACCCGGATCCCACAAAACCCGTTCCGGCAGACGAGGGAGCACTGTTGGGTTTTTAGTGGGTAGCCCCCCCCCCCCCCCCCTCATCCCGAACAGCCGCCGAGCCAGCCTGGCTTGTTTGGGGGGGGGAGGAGTCCCACATAACCCCGCCACATACCGGCGGGGTATGCATAACGCATTTTCCCAACATAAAAAAAAAAAAAAAAAAAAAAAAAAAAAGGATAAGTAGCGAAAAATTTGCAAAGTAATAATAATATTGACCAACGATGGGTGTGGTCCTCCAGCATTTTGGGGGTTGTGCGGTAGGCTAACACCCTACCCACGTAAAAATCCAAAGTTACGAAACCGACACATAGAAGAATACGATCTGATCCCAACGACGACAATAGGCAAGGAAATAAGGAATAATAATATTAATATACATTTATTGCAAACGTAAAAAAAGTTAATAATTTGACCTTCAGATGATTACATAGCATACACAAAGTTGACGTCACACAGTAGACGTTATCGAACCAAGCGTTTCGGTGGTAAATTCAAAACCATTAAAAATGAATCCAACGTTAATTGGTCTAATCTAGAAAAAAATACTTACATTAATTTATTTATTTTTCTGTTAAATTGTATCAATCTTTAAATTAAGCAGTTTTCAAAAATTTTAAAAATATTCTATTAATTAGTTTTATGGATGATGTTTGATTTTTTATCACTTGCCACTTTAAGTTTGAATATGTCAAGCATCCAAATAAAGCATGGATGCTGCTCAAAAGCAGCTTTCTGATTAGACAATGTTTGCTATTTAGCATGCCCATGCAAACTATTTGTATTTGGACCTATATCCATGATTTGCACACACTAACTCTTTTGATGTTTGTCCATTACTTTCAAGTCTTAACTGACGATTTTGATCAATTGACCTTTAGAAGGACCACTGCTATTTTTCTAAAAGAACTTGATTAGTGCGACAGTTTGCAATGAAAGATAAACAAATAATAATATTATGCTTACAAATTTTCGGGCACCTAAAATATTTACATAGAGAGAGAATTACATTGACCACATTATAAAAGTTTACATATTAAACTGAAGTGCTTAATATTTTATTGCAGTTCCACACAGTCCAGCGGAACTTTCTCGATGCCTGTCCACTTGTATATACCACATCACAGAAGGAGCGGCAGAACCAGAAGTGATTCGTAGACATCTGAAATCTTGGCCGAAGACCCAACTACTGCGTACCCCGTTCTTATTGGACGTGGCATTAGCATTATCCGACAAAGGATCAGATTTCAAGTCAGTTTGCTTAGATGTAAGTACTTTATATTAATTATCGAACGATTCAGACTAAAAAGATTGATCAGACGTAATAAACGAACGCAGCTAGCATTTGCTGACTAAACGTCTAGTCGACAGATCCTGGCTTGTCTTTCTAATTACCGATCATTCTATTACATATATTTGGGAGGTGTTCGGAATATTACTCGGCTTGCTCATGCACGGCACGACAAAACAGGCTAAACAGTACCTGTTTAGAAATTCAAAACAAACATTTTTTTTTAGATTTTTCATTTGTTATTTGCCGGTTATCGGCATGTTTTGCCGAATAGTCGCCGACTAATTTCCAACTACAGACGATGCCGAATATTCGTCTTTCCCGACTAGTCGGTCCATCTCTAATAGGGTATTTGACAAGTTTTAGAAAACAATCTCAAATTATTTACTAATATTAATGGAGTCCATAAAAAGTGCATATTCATCATTCTTCTGTTGTGAATTTCAGTAAAAAACTAATTCAAAAATTCCATTTTAACTTTACTTACTTTACTAATCAAAACGTCAAACGATACAATGTGACGTCACTTTGACCGGAAGTTTACTAGCGTGTGACCTCATTTTAGTCTTAGCCAATCCCAGGCGTTTACGATCACGTTACCATAGAACAAAAAAAACATTACTATAGTCTGTCCATTCTATTATTATGTTTTTGACAGAATAATCGAATTAAAAATAGTGGCACCCTATCACAACTCGTTCGATTTATAGCTATAATCGATTTTATGCTAGAACATTGTTTAATCGATTATAAGTATCGAAATTATTTTAATTATCAAAAATACTAGTGTTTAATAAATTATTACAAAATCTTAGATTTATTATTTTACCTAGTACAAATATTTGAGTGATGAGCACGAGTATCTGTTCTGTGTCTGGGTGTGATTCATCTATATTATGTATATATACAAGAAAAAAAGACTCTTTCCTTACAATTTGGTTGTACTCATTTATTTCTACCGATTATTTGTAATTGTGGCACAATCTTAGTAATCATTGTGTGGCACATCACTAAGTGGGCGGTACCCGTCCATGAAGTACAGTATTATTTGTATGACATTTTAACGTAAACAATAGAAAATTCCATGGGCGTCGATCTGTCAAAAAAGATAATAATAGAATGGACAGACTATATTATTAATGATTTTTATTTAAAGTTATTAATTATTTGTCCTTTCAGAATAGTAAAATCGCTGTGAATACTCATATTCAACACAGATGCCAACAATGAGGGCTATCGCGTATGAATCCGCCGCTAGAGGCGCTAGTGTAGCGTGAGGTCTCCGAAATGTCAAATGTTATTGCTTGTTGGTTGACTACGCGGGTTTATTTTTAATTAAAATAATGTTGTGTATAATTGGTAACAATTCGGCTTAATTATGGCAAATATGAGTAATGTGGCAATGAATGTCAGTTATTAAAAACTTGAGCTTAGAAAAATGATTATGTTCCCATTTTTTCCGAATAAAACGGAATTGCGCGTCACTGTGGCATGGCCTATTATGTCTAGGATATGGTTCTCTTGTGTTACAATACGATCTAAATGTAACCTTTGATTTCATGTGCGTTTTAATAAACTTTAAAAGTTACAATTTAGGACCTCACTCAACAGTGGCGCCATCTGGTGAGGCAGAAAACGGTAGCTCTCATTGGTACTTTATTTTGCATACTGTCAAATAGCCTATTATGACCTTTATTTTGTAGGTGATAAAGTCCGCTATAGAACAACGATTGTTGGACGATCTTCGCAGCAAGGAATCGGCGTGGGTCCGCTCAGTGCTGCCACCTGACGTCGATGTAGCGAGTGTGCTTAAAGTACTCACTACAGAAAGGTTTGTGACTATATAATACAATTATGATTTAGGCTATCCATGTTTGCTGTTTTTAAACTTATTTATTTAAGACACACCAACAGTATACATAACAAACATTGACAAAATAATTCATAATAATACAGTCCCGTTATGTACACCTTTAATAGGTGTGTACAGCATTCAATGAAACTTGTCAGAAATCATAATTGAAATAAAAAATCATAGTCATCAACTTCAGAACAGTTTGTCCTTTTCATACCTTATAAAGCATGATACAGACAGACTTGTCAGGTTTACAAATAGCAAACACGAATAGCCAAGTGAAGTGTCGACATCGGTGATGTACAAGATATGATACCCTGTACTAAATATCTGGAATACAACATACTTTTTACCATTCCAGAAAGTTATTTGTATCTGAAATCGAGTATTTCAGAATGGTATCAAAAATACTAGACACAAAAAGATATCTTAGAAAAATATTTTTTGAAGATAAAAGAATCTAGAAATCTTCTAATAATATTTCATTACAAATTACAATATTTATTAACGATTAGAAGGGCGGGAAACTCGCGTAGTGAAGATAAGCTTTGCACATCTCAAAGGGGACACCTGGGTCGCAAGTCATTGCTAAGAAGTTCGTCTCGCAAATGTGAAGAGACAAAATATTATATTTATAAGGTTCAAATTTTATTGACACTTTCACTTGTATAACCTCTTCTTCCAACATTCTATCTCATTAACCGTCCCCCGAGAGAGAAGATTCGGTCACTATCTACTAAAAGTAGTTAAGCAAACACAGTACAAAATAAAAGAAATTTAAATAAAATACGAAACCAATTTGAAAAAAAAAGTATTTTTGGTATAGGTATCGGCAAAATCCTGAGCGAAATCACAGAAAAATAAACTTGCGCAGTAGATTTTTTTGTATATAAAATAGTTACTGCGCAGGCTTCCTTATCTATGTTCAAGAGGTTTGCCAGAGTGTATACAAGATGAGCATACGTTTATTTGTATCTTATGTATTACAGATATAAGTCACATCTCTGATACAATTATTCTAAATTTATTTTTTAAATACATAGAAGCTTATTTTATTATTTTTGTTTGTTTATTGTAGTGCCAATCACCGTCAGCTGACAGTAATCGGGTTGATAAACTTATCGTTTTCGCTACTATCCGTTAGCGGTGTTAAAGCCGTCGCTCACACTTGTTGGTCTCACGGCAAATTGGTTGTGGTTCGACTGTGTAAATCCCAACCTGAGACTGCTTCACATGTGCTGGGTTTATTGTCTGATAGATTAGCAGGAGAAACTACGCCGAAACAATACGCTGGTCAGTATGAATACCTAATTAACAATATCCTTCATCATCGTCCTTGTATTTAACATACTTATGATAAAGAATAACATAAAACTGTTTGTGGTTTGACTGTGTAAAGCCCAGTCTGAGACTGCGTCACATGTGCTGGGTTTATTGTCTGATAGATTAGCCAGAGAATCTACATCGAAGCAATGCGCCGGTCAGTATGAATACAATACATTATTAACAGTTTCCTTCATCATCGTCCTGGTATTTAATATACTTATGATACAGAGTAACTTAAAACTGTGTGTGGTTCGACTGTGTAAAGCACAGTCTGAGACTGCGTCACATGTACTGGGTATATTATCTGATAGATTAGCCAGAGAATCTACGTCGAAGCAATGCGCCGGTCAGTATGAATACAATACATTATTAACAGTTTCCTTCATCATCGTCATGGTATTTAATATACTTATAATACAAAGTAACTTAAAACTGTGTGTGGTTCGACTGTGTAAAGCACAGTCTGAGACTGCGTCACATGTACTGGGTTTATTGTCTGATAGATTAGCCAGAGAATCTACATCGAAGTAATGCGCCGCTCAGTATGAATACAATACATTATTAATAGTATCCTTCATCATCGTCCTTGTATTTAACATACTTATGATACAAAGTAACATAAAACTGTTTGTGGTTCGATTGTGTAAAGCCCAGAATGAGAGTGCGTCACATGTGCTGGGTTTATTGTCTGATAGACTAGCTGGAGAATCTATACCCAAGCTATACGCTGGTCAGTAGGAATACAATACATTATTAACAGTATCCTTCATCATCGTCCTTGTATTTAATATATTTTTGATACAAAGTATTATAAAACTGTTTGTGGTTCGACTGTGTAAAGCCCGACCAGAGGCTGCTCCACATTTGCTCGGGTCACCTACCCTGAAGCAATATGCCGATTAGTATCTATTCATCACTATCTTTGTGATAACCCAACGGAGACTTTTAAAGTTGGTTAAATTGCGCATGTCTCGTTTAATTTTTTAATTTTGATTGGCTCATAATTTATTCTGCAGACAAGTTTTAAAAATCTTTCTGATTTCTTGACAATTATAATCTCGAAATTGTAAATCTTCGGTCTCTATAGTGATAATAATAATAATATGAAAGAAGTTGCGTTATGGCTGTGTAAAGCTCATCTTAATACCGCGTTTGGATTCCTAGCTGATGTCCTTGACACATTGCAACAATGTCTCCTAGACTGTCTGTTCGTGTTGTGCAAACTAACACCTGTATCAGTGGAGCGTTGTACCCAATTGTCCACTTTTCAGGAGAACTACCGCCCATCGGGGAGCGAATATGTTTCTAGTAAACTGTCCTTGACACATTACAACAATGTCCAACGGACTGTCTGTTCGTGTTGTACAAACTAACTCCGGTATCAGTGGAGCGTTGTACCCAATTGTCCACTATTCTGGAGAACTGCCGTCCATCTGCGAGAGAGTATGTTTCTAGTAAACTGTCCTTGACACATTGCAACAATATCCCATAGACTGTTCGTGTTGTGCAAACTAACTCCGGTATCAGTGGAGCGTTGTACCCAATTGTCCACTATTCTGGAGAACTGCTGCCCATCGGCGAGCGAGTATGTTTCTAGTAAACTGTCCTTGACACATCGCTATGTTCCATAGATTGCCTGTTAATGTTGTGCAAACTAACTCCGGTATTAGTCAGTAGAACGTTGTACCCAATTGTCCACTATTCTGAAGACCTGCCGCGCATCAGGGAGCGAGTATGTTTCTTAAACTGTCACTGACACAATGTAACAATGTCCCACAGAATGTCTGTTCGTGTTGTGCAAACTTACACCGGTATCAGTGGAACGTTGTACCCAATTGTCGACTATTCTGGAGAACTGCCGTCCATCGGGGAGCGAGTATCGTTTGGCCGCGGCCGTTTTGGACGCTGTCCATCCGCTGCTCAACTTCAGTACGAGGACCCGGGACACGTTGGTCATGGTCTGCAGGAAGGGATTGTATTCTCGGTAAGTTTGCTTTGATTTCACTAATAGTGTGTTTAAATCTAAAGAAAAGTTTACTAGAAAAAAAAAACCACAATCTAGTAAACTTTTCTTTAGATTTAAACATCTAGCAGTTAAATGCTTAAAAATAAATAAAAACTTAATAGTGTGTTTACAATAATATTAATATCAGCCTATTATGTTCCTACTGCTGGGGCACAGGCCTTCCCTATGGATAGAATAGGAAGATTGGTGGGCGCTAACGACTGCAGATGCAGCCGGGACCAACGGCTTAACGGGCCTTCCGAAGCATGGAGGAGTTCGAGATAGTAAAGTTTTGGTCACTCATCTAATGACCGACCACTGCGAAAGTTCTTTAAGTTCAACAAGCGCAGCCGAACGCGCTAACCACTTGCGTGTTAGTGAAAACTTCTTTAGCGGCGTTGTACACTTCTTTATATTTTTTTTATCGTATTATAATAATAAGTCTCTCTCTAGGACGTCCAGGTGGCAGCTTTATTGCGAAGAAAATGTATTTTTTTAAAATAGATGTCGCTAGTAGCGCTTAAATGTGATTCATGTAAGTTGATTTTTCTGAGAGATAAACATTTTAATGTAATATAAATTGTCATGTGTGTGTACGATAGCGCAATAAATAAATATTGTATTCTACCACATAAATAATAGTACTTTTATACTGATAAATAAAGCAATTTGTGCAAAATTATTCCCTAACCATTCCAAAATATCAAAATTGCACAACGTTGATATTCAAGTTTTCACTTATGCCGGCACTCCCGGAGTGCAACGTCGTTTTTTTATATGTATGGTAAACAAACATATGACCCGCCAAGGCTTATGCTTGCCCTTCACATGGCTTTTCGTATTTGCTATTAGTCACTTTGACAGTAGGTTAACCTTATCATGTTTGATAGGGAGTGATAAGAAGAGACTTCTGTCAAGTATACAAATAAATATGCAGAAGTGCCGGCTTCGTAGGTACACAAGTAGGTGACTACTAAAACTTATAGACCATTATTTTTTATGTGGGCTTTTATATGTATAAAAGCTCATTTGCACTTGATCTTTAGCCTTAGATTAAAACAAAAAGGGTAGATACGGCACTAGCCTCACAAAAGTGATCCGCACCAATTGTGGTCCACGACCCTAATCGCTTTAGTCACAACTTGACATAAAAGCGACGTACATGTGAACGCCAAAAAGAAATATTGCTAATATTTTGTGTTTATATGATAAAACAATGCCTAAGTATGTTTTTAAAAAGTGCTCAAATTGCTCAAGAACTAAAAATAAAACCCACGGCATCACTTTTCATTCGTAAGTACTATAAAATATATATTTTCATAAAAATTGCTGTTTGTTTTGAATCTTATTCGGTAGTGACGTCGAGTACTGGTCGCGTGATTGGTCGGTAGTGCAGTGACGCGGATCTCGCCGTCTCGTTCGCGCTGCCGTTGAAACTTAACGTGCTGTTTCGTTCGGGTCGGTAATGCAGTGACGCGGATCTCGCCGTCCCGTTCGTGCTGCCGTGGGATCAGTTTTTGTATGATGCAAGTATGAGCGTACCGTATCTACCCTTTTTGTTTTAATCTAAGTCTTTAGCCCGTATTCGGGTTCATGAAAGACATTACTTGAAATCGGGCACCCGAAGCAATATTTACACTGGAATACGGGCTGGAAGACGTTGTCGGGTACCTAAAACGAAAACTACCCGAATACAGGCGTTCGCGACTCCGTTTATTTACACTTAGTTGTTTACCCGAACTCCATTGCCAATCGTTTTCAGCCTTAACGATCAATTAATGTAATTGCGAATATTGAACAAGGTTCCGAGTTGTCTTAAAACACTACCGATAAAGACTTTTAAGAAGCGTCTGTTAGCATTATTAGTTGAAAAGCCTACTATACAGTTGAGGAATTTTTAAATGACAAATCCTGTAATTAAATCGGAAATGTTTTTTTAAAAGCAGTTCTCTATTAAAAAAATAGACATATTAAAATTGACAATTAAATTGAGAGTTAAGAAATGTGTATTTGTTGCTATTTTGGACATTTTGCTTATTTTTCCATAAAATTTTTAACTATTAGTATGACAACTTTATGGCTTATCAAATTTATAATTAATTTATAATCTACTTTGACATGCATGTCACAATAGACAATTTCAAATTATATTCATAAATTGTGATTCCAATGTAAAAATAATAGTACTTCTTTCATAGGTCCATATCTATTTTTATACCATAATTAAGGTGGAAATGTAGTGATACTAACAAAAATTTTATATACCATGTATACTAACCTACGTTTCACAAAAAATCTGATTCTGATTCTGCGCCATAAAAGTAAGTCTGTAGTGGCTCAGTTAAACTTCAACATTTATATACAAAAAGGACATTTAAATATAAGGATTGATTACTTTTGTCTAAAATAATATATAACAGAGGTCTTGAAAGTAGTCCGTGTCAAAAAGAGATTGAGAAAGCTTGCTATTGTTGCTCTCCGTGCCGTTTCGACAAAATCATATCAGTGGTTTTGCTTGAAAACGTAACATCCAAACAATTAAAATCCACTTGTAATGTCGGCACTTCACTTGCTCATTCGTGTTTGCTACTTGTAAACTTGACACCAGCCTGTCCTTTTCACTCCTTATAAAATGTGTTATGGAGAGACGGTTGTTAAGTTTACGAATAGCAAATACGAATAGCCAAGTTAAGTCCCGGCATCAAATACAGGCTTCAATTTCAGTGACTCTCTACAGCGTTGCCTCGCCCTATCCGGTTTCCTTACGGTGCTGCGTCACGTGAAACTATCGCGTAATACGTTAGCCAGCAGTCAGAGTGTGTGCAGCGAGCAGTATAGTGCCTACTCGTATCTCACGCAGATGGCGGTGGAGTTCCACGCGACGCAGCAGGGAGCCGCGTGAGTTCATAAATAAATCATTATTATCCTATTAATGTCCCCACTGCTGGGGCACAGGCTTTCCCTATGGTTGGAACAGATTGGGCCTTGGCCCAGTGCATATTGGTGGATGCTAACGACTGCAGATGCAGCCGGGACCAACGGCTTAACGTGCCTTCAGAAGCACGGAGGAGCTCGAATTATTAAATTTTTGGTCACCCATCCAATGACCGACCATTGTGAAAGTTGTTTAACTTCCACAATCGCAGACCGAAGGCGCTGACCTCCTGCGCCATCGAGCTTCTCACATACGACCCTCATATCTGTCACATCTCCTTGAATAAATAAAAAAATATTTCTATATTTCACACCATCTTCTCTAGCCCCAAAGGCACTAAGACCACCAATACCAATCACACCACGGAAGGGAATATCAAGAAAATGAGCATCAGCTAATGGAGAAACCACTTAAATATATCATGTACCAGCGGCCGCCCGTGACTTCGTTCGCGTTAACTTAAGTTTTTTGAGAATCTCACAGGAACCCAACATTTTTCCGGGATAAAAAGCATCCTATGTCTCAATGATAGTCATAAACTATATGCGTACACAATTTCATCCAAATCAGTTGAGTATTTTTTGCGTGATTGAGTAACAAACTTTAACATTAACTTTAACTTTGCCATTTGTATATAAGGCAATAAAGATTAAATAAATAAATAAATAAAACATTTATAATCTTACTAGCTGACCCAGCGAACTTCGTACCGCCATAAAAATATGGGCTGGTGGTAGAAGGGTGAAAATTTAGGGTTGTATGTATTTTTAATGCCACATTATAAAAAAAAATTGACAAAAAAAAAACAAATATTTAGGGGTGGACGGAAGAACGCGGAAGAATCCCCTAATCGTAATCAGTAAATAGAGGTTTTGCCTGCGTCACAAAAATAGGAGTGGACAACTCTTCACTTAGGGGTATGAAAAATAGATAATAGCCGGTTCTTAGACCTACTTAATATGCATATAAAATTTCATAAAAATCGGTCAAGCCGTTTCGGAGGAGTATGGTAACTAAAATTGTGACACGAGAATTTTATATATAAGATTACCTGTCCCACCGAACTTCGTACCGCCATAAAAAAATAGGGTTCGGTGGTAGAAGGGTGAAAATTTAGGGTTGTATGTATTTTTGTATGATGTATCATAAAAAAATAAAACAAAAATATATTGCCCAAAAAAAATTTAAAGTTGGATTAGCCTTAACATTTAGGGGGATGAAAAATAGATGTTGTTCGATTCTGAGATCTTACTGAATATGCATATAAAATTTCACAAAAATCGGTCGAGCCGTTTCGGAGTAGTTCAATTACGCACACCGTGACACGAGAATTTTATATATTAGATAGATATAGTAGGATTACGGTGGCCAGCAGTCAGAACATTACAGATGTATCCTTTAAATGGCTGTAGTCAGATCGGCTTTTCAACCACCCCTTTCTCTAATTTAATTTTTTCAATTCCTGGAAGAAAATTCAGCAAATGTTTAATGTGGTGAATTCGTGCATTTTCCTTCCATCATGGAAGTTTATTTGTATTGAAGTATGTTTTCTAGTGCCCACAGTAAAAGCTATGATTAGTTTGAGTCTTGATGATTTTTGTGGAAGTTTACAATATTTATATATTTATATTAACAATTTAAAACCTGTGCCCAGGGTGACCTCTCGAGTGCGAAACGAAGCTATGTGCATGGAAGTGGTGTCGATTCTCCGTCGTTGCCTCGTACAAGACGCCGCCGTTAAACAACTACTTTATACCAGTATGTGTTCTAGTAATATATTTTGTTTTCTAGGTATAAAATTAAGTTTATTAACATTTCTACAATGGACGATGGTCCAAAAAGTGATGACTTTAGAATGGTTTTGATCGAATTCGTATGTTCTAATTTATATCTGTGATAAAATACTGTCCTCGTAGCATGAGCATTACAATTTACATTATATCACGTTTTTTATCGCATCTAACTTTCAAACTATATAGCAATTTGATAATTAAGATAAAAACGAGCTATTTATCATATCGCGGTACTCATGCCAGGCAGGCTGCAAGTTAGAGTTAACCCACTTCCTTGTTATCTGAAAATTCCCGTTTTCTTAATTTATAAATTGTTCCTGTGCAATTTTAAGTGGATGGATATAGATCAAATAAGGAGAATATGCATAAATTAACTATCTTAGTTAATTAGAGATTATGAATCTACGATTTTTAGATGACTTGGCAATTTTTTTGCCACCTGTGCTATGTACGTTTACGTTATGAAACCACTGGTGTCGATACTGGCATGATTCTCTTAACTAAACTTAATTTAAGATCAGTTTCTCCTTTTTAATACTGTACAGAGAATGACAGAGATACACTATTGTCAAATTTAAGTTTAGGTTTAGAGAATCATGCCATAATCGACACCATTATGTGTGTAGGGTGTTACGTTTTGCCGATGTCCATGGTTAGGTTACACAAGGACCAATAATGTGACAAAATATTTATTTATTTGACTAACCCCTAAATATTTATTTATTTTTTATTAAGCTATTGCATAGATTTTAACGCGGGCTTTGAGCGCGGCGACCGAATCAAGAAATTCCGTAATGAAAATAACCTAACAAGAGTGCATCGATCGAAACGGCCCAGTGTGTTAAATTTTTGCCACGGGACCAACGTTCGACGCATCACCGCGGTCGTCGGTTCAAATCCCGCACTCGTAGTTTTTTATTTTTTATTATATTTTTTTCCTTTTTTATGTATATTTGTTTTAGACCCCCGCACCTGTTCTTATTTTTATTTGTCTCCCTTTTATTTAGACTTAATAATTATAATTTAAAATTTTGGATTAAAGATGGTAAACTGTGGAGCTTGTGGAAATTTTTTGGCGCCGGGCGATAATGTTGTTTGCTGTGCTTGCCCAATAAAATCTCATAAGGCCTGCCTCATCATCTATTAATATCAAAGAAGAAAAAACTGCATGAATATAATGAAATAATAAATAATTGCATAAGTTGATAAATAATGCTATGCAATAGCTTTACCGCGGCAGTCCCCGAGTGCCACACGTATTTTTTTTTATTTATTTTATGGAAAAAAAAAACGGGTCACCTTCTAGCAACTTATGGCTCTGATTCGATTTTCTAAAATATAAATCTTATACCTTATTGTTTATAAACGAAGACTACACTTGGATTAGTTACTCCATGTTTTGTCTCTGTCTATTGAATGGCAAATGGCATTTGAGTGACATGAACAAAAAACTAGTCTAAGCTTATGTTTATCTTTCTATTACATGTTTATTAATAAGGGGGATAAAGATCCAAATTATATCTACTGAAAGTGCGTTTCACAAATGATTACAATGACAAAAACTAATTTGATCCAATGTACTGTCAACTACTTTGAAATCAAGCAGGAAACAATGCTAACGATTTGCTAGTTTTTGAATAAAGTTGCGATTGCCGTTCCGTTTTGAAAAATGAGAATGGTCTGATACTTCTCATCATTTATTTAGTTCTTGTCCATTATTTTCTCAGTGTGTATTTATGCTACGATTTTTACTACCGATTAACACAACTGGAAAAGCACTCTTCTTTGGAAAATTCATGATAAAAGTATGTTAAATTGTTTTATATCATACTTTGCTGTTTATTGAAATCATCATGAAACGCCTTTTGTTTAGGTATAACTTTGATAGATGTAAGTTTTATACTTTTTGAGAAAATCAAATCAGACTTCCAAGATTGAAAGTGACCCGGTTTATTGCTGTCCAGTGTACTCTATAATATAGCTGTCTTACTTCTTTCCTTGAAAGGCGGACCCTTTCATAATATTTCCCTTGCAGAACTATATGACTGCGCTAGAGACAAGGTGGCATTGCACGAGTCCATATTGGAACTGTTATACGAGCATCTCACCAAGTATTTGCCTGATTCGACGACTGTTACGGTTCTCTTCGAAAAGTGCGTGCAGACTAATGCTACTTCGGCCATTTTAACGGTATGTATTGTTACGTGTCGGGATGGGGTTCGAATTTATATGCCAGTTCACGCTTGACAGTTCTTTATTCACCACACAGTTCACACAATGTTAATTACAAAACACTCACTAAACACTGTATTTCACTATACAAGTCTCTAAACAATCTCACTTAAACACTTTTGTTGCACTTTGATCGCCTTTGGATTCGCTCCGAAATCGCTGTTGAAACTCAACCGACTCTCTGCGTGGCGCCAATCGCGCTTTTATACGCCGATCGACGCATTCTAGAAAGTACCTGTTAAATTGAGAATTAGCTAGCACCCGCGAATACAAAGTACCTACTTACCTACGCAGGTAGCGCGCATAACTTGTAAACAAGTGCAGATGTCGTTGCACTTTCTCCCTTACGCCGCACAGCATAAAGCTCATTTTAGAATGAGCCGAATTACTCGACCTCTATCGCGACCCGCGGTGATCTGGCAAATTCGATCTCAAGCACTTTCGCGGTTACGTTTCGAGAGCGTTTGTGACAGTATGTACACAGAGAACCCAGCACGGATTTTGGCAGCTCGGTACGCTTAGCGCGAACTAATATCGAATTCGAATACATTGCGAGTGCGAAATGTCAATGTCAAATTTTGTATGGAAACTTGAACAGCGCCATTACGGACGTAACGAGAACTAAAAATCCGAACACATTTGACAATGATAATTCGCACTCGCAAACTATTCGAATTCTATTAACGTAGACGTGTCGCATCGTCAAAATTTATATGAAAACTAAGCCCCTACCGGGCATAAGAACAAACTGGCTCCTTCCGTACAAAATTTGACAATTACGATACGATTACGGAGCTGTCAAGATTCGTGGTTGGGGCTCTGAATGCATTACAATTTTTTTAAATAATAAACTTCGAAAGAAATATCTTTCACTTTAATTATAAATCTTATTCATCCTATTAAATAAAAATTGGTTGTCTATGGCTGGTTATTTTATTCGTTTTTAGCGAGTTTCTGATATTTCGACACTCAGTTACTCCGTGATATAGTGCTTGCGATTGCGAAATATCGGAAACTCCATAAAAAAAGGTACATCGTAGCAATTCCTTAAATAGCATCAATTACTACGAGTATGAGTTAGGGTGAACGTTTAAAACAATTTATGACAACTAAAATTGTAAGGATTTCATAATTGCGCAATTATCGAGATAACGTGGAGACATTTTCCCGAAAAAAATAATGAAAGTTTTTCTTTTTTGCAGAAATATAACCCAAATCGTCATCTGGATTCGCTAGTAAATTTTCTCAGCTAGCTCAAAATTCATGGTGTACTTAAATATGCTAAACAGGGTTTAAATAAAGTATTTTGTTCCAGGAGCCAATAGCTCATCTACTATACGTGGTAGCGCAGTTCCTTCAGTGTGAAGAGGAAGATTTAGAGGATATCCTGTCGAGTCAAGAAGCTGACACATCCAGTGCTCATCTGAGAAGCAAACTGACCAACATTGTGGAACAGCTTTGCAACGACTTAGGGCATATTGATATGGTGAGATTTACTATGTTACTACTTCATATTGCTATTTGTAGAGTGAAATTCAAACTTGAGGAGCTCGTTTACTGTTTATTTTTTATGATTTTCATAGCATTTTTATTAAATTAAAGATGCACACTTACCATAATATATAATCTGTGTTGCCATTAATTTAAATGTTAAAACGACATTTTTATGTGGTACAAGTGGATGATAAACTCCAGTTATAATTAATAATGATGAATTCGGCGTACTTTTCCAAATGTAAATGCATGATAATATTTAAGGTCCAACATTGGGCAGAGTTGTATGGAGAAAAGAAAGCAACCTTTACATACACCTATACTAATATTAAAAATCTGAAGAGTTTGTTTGTTGTTTAGTTGAACGCGCAAATTTCAGGATTAACTAGTCCGATTTAAAAAAATATTTCAGTGTTGGATAGTGCATTTATCGAGGAATGCTGCAGGCTGTATACAAAATCACGCTACGACCAGTAGGAGCAGAGCTTCAATGAAAAATGTTGCAAAATTGGGGAATTAATATTTCCATTTGAAAGCTTCCGTTGCGTGTGCTGTAGTTAATGGTTAAAGTTACACAAAAATCATATATTAACCATATTAATCGACGACCTCTGTGGTCGAGTGCTTTGTACGCCGAGTTTCATGGTGTCGCTGACTCAAGAGGTCCCTCCCGGGTTCGAATCCCGGTGGGGGCAGATATTTGTGTGATGAATACAAGCATTTGTACTGCAGTCATAGATGTTTAATATATATTTCTATATAAATATGCTTATAATTTGTACAGTATATGTATTATATCCGTTACCCTAGTATCCCATAACACAAGCCTTACAGTGCTTACTTTGGGGCTAGGCTAATTGGTGTGAGTGTTGGAAATATTTAGTTATTTATTTATATTATAATTATTATAGGTACTTAATAGAAATATATATATATATATATATATATATATAAAACTCAAAGGTGACTGACTAACATAGTGATCTATCAACGCACAGCCCAAACCACTGGACGGATCGGGCTGAAATTTAGCATGCAGGTAGATGTTATGACGTAAGCATCCTCTAAGAAAGGATTTTGATCAATTCTACCCCCAAGGGAATAAAATAGGGAATGAAAGTTTGTATGAAACTTTGTCAATTTTAAACCGATCGGGCTGAGACTTTGCATGCAGGTATAAGAAGAATCATAGATGAGTGTCATTGTGTATAATACAAGCCCGAGAACAAAAACTGTAGTCTACACTTCAGCTCTACACCGAAGCGAAGCGAGGGCGTGCCGCTAGTACTCTATAAAATCGTATATGATTTCTTCCTTTTTTTGTTTTAGGAAGAGCCGTCTCTCACTGATATCACACCAGAGTCGAAATCAAAGTGTCTCATAGTACAGCAAGTATTACAATGTTACGAGGCGTTGATCGCCCATCGCGTGATGCAGTGGCGAGCTGATAGTAAGGACGTCGCCACTCACGTTTACGAGCTGTACAAGAAGTGCTTTCAGATACTAGAACAAACTAAAGTGAGTATAAGTGTCTTAGGCTCACTTACACCAAGTTTGCTAAATCTCAAAACCAAATCAAAATCAAAAAAGTTTATTATGATATCACATTTGTTGTACACCAAACCAGGGTGGGTTCCTTCTATTAAGTGTTTAACACCAGAAGGAACCACTCTTCCATAGTATCATTAATATATGGTAAGGTCTTAATTTTATTTCATTAGATATTTAAAAGATTATTAAAAAAAAATATAGTAATGTTTTTATTTTTTAAGCATTTAACTGCTACATGTTTAAATGTAAAGAAAAGTTTACTAGAAAAGAAATCCCGTCTGCTGCCTGGTCCGCGTGGTTAAATCTCGATTTAACTAAAACTTCTTCTTTCTTTTTTTTAATGGCTCAACTGGGATTTTCCCACAATTCTGCCAATTTCATGTTAGATAGCCAGTACACGACAGGAACTCTTAATAAAATTGAAATAAAAAGTTAAAAATGGTATTTTAGATTTTTGTAACTTTCTATGTTGATTATGGCATGCAAGACATCACCACATCAACATCACAGTACACAGAATTAATATTTTAGTAGAGGTTAAAAACGTGGCAAATTATAGTTTTAATTTGTTACATGTGTATAAATTTAACAATTATTTTTAGTAAACTAAAACTAGATTAAATCTAATAAAAATGTCAAAACAACAATGTCAGTTCGACATTCTTGTATGGGCTGAGGCATCAGAGCAAGAACTTAAACATAGGAGTTGAAAACTCTAAACTCATGATAATATAGTTATCTTATTTTTATATATGCATCAAGAAAGGGACAAATATATAGCTAAGAATTGCTATGAACCATACTATGAACAGCGTGTGTACCGCTATACAAAAGTCAAATTTAATACCTTAGGTTAGGTTACCTTTACGATACCGAATCAAAAGGCGATCTAATAACAAATACAACCTGCCAACACGCCACTGATACTTTTTGGTTGTATAATACTTTGTTTGGTAATCTTTTCGTTCATTTATTGTCTATGGGAGTGTACGCCCAAACGTCATAGCATTACTTCTATACTTTACTTCTTGTTCTGAGGCTAAGGCCTACTTGTGGAAATTTTGCTAAATCTCGATTCAACAAAAACTTATATTTCAGACGCCTGCAAAGTCAGGGAAGAAAGGCAATAAATCATTAAACGACACTAGAGAGACGACAAAATCTCAAAAAAGCCAGAAGTCGCAGAAGGATAAAAAGAAAGGACCCATAAAATTGTCCAGCTTGACTAAGGACCGCGCTGGGCCGTTCAAACCGTTGTCGTGTGTGTGGGACCTGAGGTTTTGTCTTAGGATTGTGGTTCTTTTGTACAGGTACTTGTTACTTTTTGAAAAAATAATAGAATGTAATATTGCGCATTTTTATCTTATTTATAGGGATCACAATATAAATAGAAGATGGCCTAAGTTTGGGCAAATAACATCTTCCAATTTGGGTGTTTAAAAAAATTACATACGACTCCGAGCTTCTTGGTTGGCAAAGCAATTCATCTTTCGCAATATGAGCGGATGGTGCGGGTTCGAGTCCTGTCTGATATCTGGACCGAGTGAAATTTTCTTCTTAATCTAGCAGCTTGATACTTAAAAGAATAAAACAAAACTCACAGAACACAAAAATCGAGTGTGCTTCACTGAAGTGAAACTTCTTTAGCTCCATCTGTATGTATATGTATATATATATATATATATATATTTCATTAACTAGCTATAAGAGAAAGAGAGAAAGAAAATATGCGCGCGCACTGCTTTCTCATGTTTATATCCCCCACTCAACTCCCGTTCGCCTCGCCCGAACATACTTTTGGTAACGTGTAACGCATTCGCTAGCTTACCCCTCAAGTCAAGCGTGCGTAAAGAAGTTTCACTTCAAAAAGAGGTTAGAAAGACCTTGTGGGCGGGGCAGGCGCGCTACACTTATGTGTGAGTAAATGCTCATAACTTGACCAAAACTTGTTCTGATTGCGTCGTTGCGCTCGAGTGTGAGTGCTGATTGGTTCGATTGTTTAATGTCGCGTCTTTTGATTGGCTATTATCTATTAGGTGGAAGTGTAGTAAGAGCGAGACGGCGATATCATTTCCCGTACCAGCGCACTATGTGTGATTGATTACTGCGTTTTTTTTTATTTTATTTATTCGGTATACATAACATATTACAATCAACAAAGTACTGACTTATTAATAAATTGACGAATCGATCAAGATTGCAAATTCATTCACATAAAATCAAATTGAATACTATAAATTTGATAACATTACTTACAATTGATTTAAATATATTACATTAATGAAATTATATTACATTATAACTATAATTTGTGTTATCTTTCGCCAAACATACATTTCATTATTTCAGCGAAGAAGTGCCCTGGTCTTCTTTAGAGCAACGCAATGAGTTGCGAGCCCGCAGAGACTTTCACCAGTGGGCGTTACGCTGTATCATTTCAGTACTACAGAATGAGAATATAGACAAGAGATCTGTGACTTGTTATGTTCCTAAATTAGCGTCTGTGGTTTACCAGAGGTGTTTGTGCAGGTATATAATTTGTAAATCACACTAATATACTTCTTTACGTCTAAACGGCTGGAGCGATTTTAATAAAATTTGGTATGGAGTAAGCTGACACCCTGAACCCAACACATAGGCTACGTTTTACTGCGGGAAAATATCCCTAATAAACAGCGGGTAACACCGCGGGGCACAGCTAGTAACTGATATTTTCTACATCCCGGCAAACTTCTTGAGCATCGTCCATAGAAAAGGAAGCCTGCGCAGTAGCAATTTTACTTATAAAAACGTCTACTGCGCAAGTTTGTCTGTGGTTTTGCTCAAGAAATTTGCCGCTACCTGTACTAGTGTAGGTTTGATCTCAGATTTTCATTATATTTATTTGTAGTGGTAAAACTGTAGTACCTCTTTTTAGTCACAATTTGCTCATAGCGGAGTGCAAAAGCCTTAAATATCATTAATTTACAAAAGATCTGTGACTTGTTATATTCCTGAAGTAGCGTGTGTGGTTTTCCAAATTTGGTTTGTGCAGGTAAATAATTTCTGAATTTTATTTTACTAGTGTTGATGTAGGTTTTGATCTCAGCTTGTCATTATATTAATTCGTAAAGGATAAACGTTAGTACCCCTTTTAAAATACTGCTCAGTAGAGTGCAAAAAGCTAATATTTTCATTTAATAGGGACTGCTTTAAAAAACTTATAGGAATAGTAGGTATACGAATTTTTGTAGGGAGTGATTTATCTGTTACGTAATAACTATTAAGTAATCTGTGACATTCTTCATGAGGAGCTCGGTGGTGCGGGTGGGTAGCGCGTTCGGCTGCAATCGTTGAACCTAAGCAACTTTCGCAGTGGTCGGTCATTGAATGGGTGACCGAAAATCTTCTATCTGGAGTTCCTCGGTGCTTCGGAAGGCACGTTAAGCTGTTGTTGCCGGCTGCATCTGCAGTCGTTAGCACCCACCAATCCGCATTGGGCCCGCGTGGTGGGTCATGGCCCAATCTCCCTCTCCATCCATAGGGAAGACCTGTGCCCCAGGACTGGGAACATTAATAGGCTTATGATGATGATGATGAATCTGTGACTTTACACACAATACCAATATGCATTTGAAACAAATACAAGTCAAGGTAAGAAAATAGATGACAGGCATGTTTCTTCTTATTATAACTTATGAGAGAAACACAGTGGATAAGCTACAAGATATATAATATATAAGTTATAAAATAAACACACAAGCCATATGACACAAGTAAGTAATAGTGAGGAGTGGTGTCAAACAGACAGGCAGACTGACGTATAAAAATATAAATTTTAAAAACACGTCAATAAGGTGCCTGGGTGTTTATATTAAAAAGTTATAAAAAAGGTATGGCCGAACACTTCTTCATGCTTTTTGTGTGACGCCGTTGTTGATAGGTACAGTTTCATATTGAGTAGCAAAACGGGCATATTGCTGTATTGATATTATTTTTGAGTTATGTTTATGTAGCACTCGTATTGTAAATTCATGCATGCCTACCTATGGTAAGGTTATTTAAACAACTATTCTCATATTCCTAAAGAGTTGTCAATTTCATGGGAGTGTCTTTGTGTCATATCAAGTTTTCTTTCAGGTTCCAAGACATGTGCAACTTTGATGACCAGACAATGCTACTGTGCACAGAAGTATTCAAGGGTTGTCTTACGTTGTTGTTATCCCCAAATTATTCGCTCAAAATCGAGAGTTTCTTGCCGATTATTATTAGTAAGTTTATTCGATTTATATTATCTTTATATATATACTCTTACTATAAACCAGGTTCTCGTTCTCGAAGTGGTTTTAATTCGTTAAATTATTTTCTTAACTTCATTGCGTGGGTTACCTTTAAACCTTTGACTTCTCATTAGGAGTCATTTTGAATCTTTTAATTTAATCTAGCGAGCTATAAAGGTGAATTATGAGATGAAAGCGGAAATAAGAAAGAAACGAAGTCGCGTCGAAATTTTTATGGGTCACATGTGGCACGATTTTATAAATTTAACACTAAATTTGAGTATTCGGCCGGCTACGTTAACCTTAAAAGGTGCTGTAACAAAGCGGTTTTATAGATTATTAATTCCAGCAAATTTACCAACGACAATAAAAATCCTAGATACACCACGTGCACACATAATGTGTCTCAATCAAGAAGTGCTTGAACAGTATTAAAGCAATTCTTGATTCACAGTCACGCGCAGACCGTTGAAAAAAAAGTCAACATGCCGCAGAGCTCCGCGAAAAAATACGAGAAAAACACTTATAGTGCGTAGTGTCGTTTTTCGAAAGGTATCTATTCAATGTTTGTTAATTTAACGAATTTGAGGCTAATTTTATTTCTAATACGTAATATAAACTGATTTAATAATGTGATATTCAAATACATGGTCCGTTATATAGCCGTCTCTTTTCCTCACGCTTCTTATCTGCTATATTGCTCACAGCGCTTTTAGAATTACGGGTAGAGTTAAAGAAATAAAGTCTATATTGTTTCGCCATAAAATTTTACAAGCTTGCATTTCGAACTGTCATAACTCTTTGACGCACGCGTTCTAATTAAGACCTTATGTACTATGCATTAACCTTGAATGTTTAAATAATTTCTTGTATTGTTTTTGACTACGCGATCATCTTACTCCGCTCCGGAGCTCCGTGGATCGTCCAATCTACCTTTGGTCAGGTTTCCGGCATTTTTTTGTTTGTGTTGTTGTATCTAGGGTATTAAATATAATAAATAATAAATAAATATTTCCAACACTCACACCAATTAGCCTAGCCCCAAAGTAAGCACTGTAAGGCTTGTGTTATGGGATACTAGGGTAACGGATACAATACATATACTGTACATATATAAGTATATTTTTATTTAGAAATACATATGAAACATCCATGACTGAAGTACAAATGCTCGTATTCATCACACAAACATCTGCCCCCACCGGGATTCGAACCCGGGACCTCTCGAGTCGGCGACACCATGAAACCCGGCGTACACCACTCGACCACGGAGGTCGTAAATATCGTTGAGTTTCACGTTGAAAATTACAATATACAGTAGACCGCGGTAATCCGGACCCCGTCTAATCCGGCGCCCCCTGCACATTGTGTTATTTCACCTCAAAATTACCACTCCCTTGATTAAAGGTGAATCAGATAAAGCTCTTCATTCTAAGCGCAAGAGTAAAACTCCCACGATTCTAACTATAATAGTTTCGACGAAATCCCGGTTTTTCTTTTTTTGTACCACATTGTGGAAAAGAAATAAAAAAAAATATTTTGTCTAAACTATTACAGTTATTTTATTTTTTACATTGTATTCCAAAAGGTATTATTTTTATCCATATTATGAGTCTTCTATGGCTGCTCTAGAGCTTGTAGGAACCGAGAAATTGGCGATTTAGTGATTTTCGTTTTTAATTTTTTGTGCTCATGTTATGCAATATTAAAGCTTATAATTTAGTTCAAAATGTAGCTAATAATGTAGACTATCAACTGAAAAAATAACAAGCTTTAACTCGGTGGTATATCGGAAATATTGAGAATTTAAATTTGTGGGACAATGTCCCACATTTTGAAGACTTAATTTTGAAAACGTAGTTATGTTACTTTTTAAATATTATACTATAATAACTATATAAATACGTTGTTATTATATTATTTACTATTTATATAAGATTATAAATGTGTTTGGTATGTTTGTTACATAATCAACCACTTTTGTGGGCCAACTTGTTTGGATGAAATGTGGCACACAGGCATTAAGTTCTTCCCTATTAAGTGCAAATAAACAAATTAATCTGTTTAAACATTATCTGTCGTAAACACATTGTCTTCGTTATGAATATATCGCAGATACTGTCATATCGCCGTCAAATTGGGCTGAAGATATTTGTGTGAAACCGTGGCGTCAGAACTTTCGTGCTAAAGGAAAAAGTATGTGAGCGTGCTGCTTCTAAAGTTAAGTCTCTGAATATGTGTTACCAAAATGTACGGGGTTTGCGCTCAAAAACTAATATTTTCTTAAACAATGTAGCCCAGAATGGCTTTGATGTTATAGCGTTGACAGAAACATTCTTGACTAGTTCCATATCAGACGGCGAACTTTTCCCCCCTAACTACGCGGTAATACGGAAGGATCGTTCAGGTGACTGTGGTTGGGGTGGGGTGTTACTCGCAGTGAAAGACTGTTATTCGGTGCGTGAGATAACAGATATTGATGCTCAGACGTCTGAAATGGAATTGGTCTGCGCCATAATTAGCTACAAAAAATTCAAATTGTTGTGTTGTGTAGTTTACTTGTCTCCCAGCTACAGGGATGATCAATACTTGAACGTCTTGACATGTATCGAAAATGCAATTCTGACTTACGCAAATATGAATATTTTGGTAATTGGCGATTTTAATCTAAATTCTTTTAGTGCCAATGTGAAATTTAATTTTGATTTGTTTTGTGACGTTTGTGGACTACAGCAGCATAATAAAGTATATAATAGTCGCGGCGGTATGCTGGATCTGGTGTTGAGCAGTATGAACCCTGATCAGATTCAGGTTTTAGCTGGTGCTGAACCGCTAGTACCAATTGATTTATATCACCCTCCTTTAGAGGTATTTGTCAAGTTCTCGTGTGGTGGATCAGTGCCGCCATCAACCCTACCTCAGCCCTCCTCGTGCTCTGGTTCTAGCCCCGACTGGAATTGGCGTAGGGCTGACTATCCAAGTCTCTATGCGGCTCTGAATGAGCTGGATTGGTGTGACTTATTTGCCACATCTGATATTGACTCAGCCGTTGACCTGTTCTATAATAAAATATACAGTTGTATTGACCGTTTCGTGCCGCCAAAGGGTCCTCGTATCAGACATAACAAATACATTTATCCGAAATGGTATACAAAAGAAATCATAACTTGCATTAAAACTAAATATTATCATTTGAAACGTTACAAGGCCGAAGGTAAGGAATTTAACAAAGAAATGTTTAAATATTATAGGTGGCATGTTAAAAATCTTATTGACAATGCTTATAAGCAGCACTTAAATTTGATGCAAAATAATATAATTGACGACCCTACTCAATTCTGGACATATATTAAAGATAAAAGAAAGGACCGCCAACCTGTCGGTACTTATTTACATAAGGGAGAGGAGGTGACCGGCCAGGCTGCGGCTAACGCTTTTGCTGATTACTTCAGCTCAGTATTTCTTGCCGAGGTACCTCGCTTGAATCCAACTGAGGCTGCTCGTGCAGGTCACATGCAGGCAGACGCCACTTTTATTTCAATCGGGCAGGTTGACGCATCCGATTTGAAGTTAGCGGTAAAGCGCCTCAAGCCAAGATCTGCGGGAGGTTCTGATAGTATCCCGGTATTTTTGGCAAAGGATTGCATTTCACTTCTCGAAAAGCCGCTCCTATTTCTTTTCAATCTATCTCTGAAACTCTCAGTGTATCCTGCGACTTGGAAACTAACCAGAGTAACCCCAGTCCCAAAGGGACAAGCCGGTAACAATATTTCGAACTTTAGACCTATCGCAGTTCTATCTGTCTTTGCTAAGATCTTCGAGACAATTCTGGGTCATCGTATTAATAAGCAGATACAATTTTTTTTACATGACTGCCAGCACGGTTTCCGTAGTGCTCGTTCCACTACCTCTAATCTTGTGGCTCATGTGGACTACGCGTATGCGGAAATGGATGCGGGCAGACAGGTCGACACCGCCTATTTTGACTTCAAAAAAGCGTTCGACCTGGTGGATAATGATATTTTGTTGCAAAAATTAGCAATAATGGGCTTTACACCTAAACTATTAGATTTTTTTTCTAGCTACCTACGAAATCGGTGCCAGTTTGTAAGAGTTAACGGTTTCGAGTCTAGTGACTACTATACAAGGTCCGGTGTTAGCCAGGGCAGTACCCTGGGACCAACGCTATTCCTGATCCTTATCAATGATTTGCCGATTGGTGTTGGATCTTCGAAATGTCTTCTTTTTGCTGATGATCTCAAGTTGTCTTTGGGGGTTAGTTCTGTATCGGACTCTCAAACCTTGCAAGAAGATATTTCTGCTGTGGCTGAATGGAGTGAACTTAATCGTCTTCCATTTAATACAGATAAATGCAAAGTTATTACTTATACACGAAAACGATGTCCTTTAAATATGGCTTATAAACTACATGACGCACCCATAGAAAGGGTAAGTGATATTCGTGACTTAGGTTTAACTATGGACTCCCAATTGGACTTTCACAAACATGTGGTAACAATCTGTAAGGCGGCAAATAAAACGTTAGGCTTCATAATTAGAACTTCTGGTCAGTTTGACAATCCGAGGGTCGCAGCAGTGCTTTATAATACTTATGTCCGTAGTAAGCTTGAATTCTGTGCCGTTGTTTGGGATCCTTACGAAGACAAGTACTGTCATATGGTGGAAAAAGTGCAGCGAAAGTATGCTCGATGGTTATACAAGAAAAAGTACGGCTACTATCCTTTCTTGTATCCGTCTATATTTGTTTCAGGTATGGTAGATATGGAAACCCTTAAATTCAGGAGAATCATGCAACTTCTGCGGTACTATCTGGCTGTATTGCACAATAAAATTGATGATCGATCAATCGTTGGTAAGTTCGGGCTAATAGTCCCCAGACGCCGTGCGGGGGATGATGCGGGAGCTGTTGTTCCACGGCGGCGCCCGCGTCTTTTGTACCGACCCATTGCTCGCACTAGGCAGGGTACCAACGCGCCCACTATACGCGCCTTAGTTCTGATCGGGGACATGCTTGCTCGGCACTACGAAATTGACTTATTTGCTGACCGTCTACCTGACATTTATAATAATGCTCATAAATTTGTAAATGACCTGCTTATGTAAAGTAAATCAAAGAATTTAATATTTATGTTTCTAAATTCTAATTTTGTACTTTTGTTGTTTTATTTTTTAATTTCTTTTTACCCGACTGCCAAAGAGGGAGGGTAATGTTTAGGGAGTGTATGTAAGTATGTATGTATGTCTGTTCCTTTGTGACCTCCTGTAGCCTAAACGGCTTGATGGATTTTGATGTATGAGGTATCGTTAGATTTGTCTTGATTACGGGAGTGTCATAGGATACATTTTATCCTAAAAGTCCCACGGGATAAAGACATAATAATATTTTTTCTAAATTTCCCTTTAAAAAAATATGTATGCGGTATCATTAGATTCATTTTTAGACTGTCTTAAGGTACTTAATAATTCCCGCGATATTAATTCCCTTACTGAAGTAACAAGACTACGGTATATACCGTCTTAAAATACTAACTAACTAAAAAGTGTGAAATAAAAAAGGTAAATTTAAAAAATCAAAAAACCCGACTGCTTAATTATACTTCAAATAAAAACTGAAAAGAAAAAAACAAGTCCAGTAGTCTATAATTCTGTTAATAAGGAACAAAGCTACTTTAACAGTCGGGACCCACTGTTGAAAAATATTATGTATTCTTGAATATCTAATGGGTCCCGACTGTTAAAGTAGCTTTGTTCCTTATTAACAGAATTATAGACTACTGGACTTGTTTTTTTCTTTTCAGTTTTTATTTGAAGTATAATTAAGCAGTCGGGTTTTTTGATTTTTTAAATTTACCTTTTTTTTATTTTATATTGTTTGACATTTTTGCAACTTCTAAATTTTATATGGACTTTATTATTTTTGATTATAATTCTAATTCTAGATTAAGTTAATATTGACATTTGGGATTATATTATACTAAATACTCTGTGTTTGACAATTGCACTTGTTGGCGTCTTGGACATTCTGTAAGCCAACAAGTCCATGTATTTAATGAATAAATGAATAAATGAAATGAAATGAAATGAAATGAAATGAAGAACAGTTGTGAATTCATTTTCTTCACTTTCTATGCATGCAGTTTCGTCGTCGACATCACTGTTATCGTCATATAAACATCCCGAACTGTCTTTTTTTCGTTCTGCAGTAATTTGTCCTATGTCAGAATTTTTTATTACTCGCCACTGTCTGACTTTTGGATCATTTTTTCACATGGGATACAAAAATGACCAAAGAGTCAGACAGTGGCGAGTAATAAAAAATTCTGACATAGGACAAATTACTGCAGAACGAAAAAATGAAATCCAAAATCAAATTAAGCAAAGTATGGGTCTATTGGTAGACGTTGTTAAGCCTAACTCAGAGACCACGAATGATGGTAATACGGCTCGTCGAGTATTCAAAAGTGAACAAAGCCGCCAGACGTTTGCCAATATACTTGATATTGAGAAATGGCTCGTAGATGATTTAAATGTAATTTTAATAGCCATCAATTCGGGATTACCAATAGACGCCCAAAAATTCGGTACTTTTTGTAAAAATATAGCTAAAAAATACGTAGAAAACTACAACTGGCACCCTATGACTACTACCCTTCACAAAATCCTAATTCACGGAGACAAAATTATAGAGAATTCAGCGCTACCCATTGGACTACTCTCCGAACAGGCAGGAGAATCCAGGAACAAGTTTTGGCGTCAGGACAGAGAACATCACAGCCGGAAAGATTCTAGGGTTCATACCATGACCGACTTATTTCACAGGGCGCTCGAGTCATCCGACCCTGTGATATCGGCTATACGGCTAAAACGTCGTGAAAATAACCGAATGAGAATGCCACTGCCACAGGCTGTAATAAATTTATTAAAACCGGACAGTTCGGGATGTTTACATGACGATAACAGTGATGTCGACGACGAAACTGCATGCATAGAAAGTGAAGAAAATGAATTCACAACTGTTCTTCATAACGAAGACAGTGTGTTTACGACAGATAATGTTTAAACAGATTAATTTGTTTATTTGCACTTAATAGGGAAGAACTTAATGCCTGTGTGCCACATTTCATCCAAACAAGTTGGCCCACAAAAGTGGATGATTATGTAACAAACATACCAAACACATTTATAATCTTATATAAATAGTAAATAATATAATAACAACGTATTTATATAGTTATTATAGTATAATATTTAAAAAGTTCTCAATATTTCCGATATACCACCGAGTTAAAGCTTGTTATTTTTTCAGTTGATAGTCTACATTATTAGCTACATTTTGAACTAAATTATAAGCTTTAATATTGCATAACATGAGCACAAAAAATTAAAAACGAAAATCACTAAATCGCCAATTTCTCGGTTCCTACAAGCTCTAGAGCAGCCATAGAAGACTCATAATATGGATAAAAATAATACCTTTTGAAATACAATGTAAAAAATAAAATAACTGTAATAGTTTAGACAAAATATTTTTTTTTATTTCTTTTCCACAATGTGGTACAAAAAAAGAAAAACCGGGATTTCGTCGAAACTTTTATAGTTAGAATCGTGGGAGTTTTACTCTTGCGCTTAGAATGAAGAGCTTTATCTGATTCACCTTTAATCAAGGGAGTGGTAATTTTGAGGTGAAATAACACAATGTGCCCTGTAATCTGACACGCTTATCACTGTTGATTTGCACATAAAATCTTATCACTTAAAATTAGATTTTGATTTTTAAATTTTTTAAATTTGGAATTTATCGAACTACAGGGTACCCTTATTTCAAAAATTCTGGTCTATAGAGGTTGATCTAAGACACTATTCTGTATTCCGACAAATTCGATAATCCGACATCGTCCTGCAAAACGTTTGTCGGATTACCACGGGTCTACTGTAAAATAAGATATTTTTGTTAACAGCGGGAGGGGAAGACGTCACCGCGTCATCAGGCATATCAGACATACTGGAACAGTTGCATATGGCGTTGGTTCAAGTGGCGGCGGACAGCGATGTTGAGGAGAGAGACGCGATGCTGAAGAGACACCTCGCCGCTCTCATACAGACCGCGGCCTTACTGCTCGACACGCCTGTGATTGGTTGTCCTAAAATGAATACGGTAAGATATTTATGATACTAGCGTCCGTCCGCGACTCCGTCTGCGTTAACTTTACATTTTGAGAATCCCACAGGAACCAGACATTTTATCGGGATAAAAAGTATCCATGTGTCAATCTAGGTAATAAACTATATATGTGCCAAAGTGTATTTAGAATCCAAATCTATTCAGCCGTTTTTGCGTGATTGAGTATCAAACATTTATAATATTAGTAGTCGGTATTAGCATATGATAGATTTGGCGGGACCCGATGCTGAAGAGACACCTCGCCGCCCTCACACAGACCGCGGCCTTACTGCTCGACACGCCTGTAATTGGTTGTCCTAAAATTAATAATGAATGAATGAATATTCTTTATTGCGCTATTACACAAAATACATAAAACATAAAACTCAGGAACACAAACACAAAAGGCGGCCTTATTGTTAAGGTAGCAATCTCTACCAGCAATATGGTAAGAAAATATAATATTCATGTTTAAAGAGACGCGATGTTGACAAGACACCTTGCCGCTCTCACACAGACTACGGCCTTACTGCTCGTCACACCTGTGACTGGTTGCCCTAAAATTAATGGCCTAATTTCACAGACAGATCGAAATATGTAAAACAAGTGTATGTTACAAAACACCAAAATGGAGATGTTTCTTAATTTCTATTACTAAACTTTAAAAAAAAACTCTTCTTATTTGCTCCAGAAATTTCGATGCCCTTAATATTAAGTATTTTACGAAAGAATTTACTCGATTTCGGGCACCAGAAGCAATATTTACACTGAAATACGGACTGGAAGACGGTATAGGGTAACCTAAACGAAAAATTCCCGAATACGGGCGTAGACTCTGCTCATTTACACTTAGTCCTTTACCCGAGTTCCATTGCCACTCGTATTCGGGCTAGTGACCAAGCGTAATCGCGCCATGTTTGCATTTGGTCGGATTCGCAAAAGGACGGATTTTCATTTCGCCGGATCCAGTACAGTTATATAGAGAAATACATATTAATAATAATACATTCACCAGTAAAAAAAAAATTAAATGTTTTATTTGTTATCTAGAAAAATAGCTTAATACAAATGCCATCGAAGGTTGGCTTCACTGACTTAATACAAGAATTCCGAAAAACGCCGTTCAAGTGACGTCCAAATAGATTGGACGAAATGTAAGTGATCGTGTATGTTAGATAATTAATAAGGTTTTTTAATGTTAGGTTGATTCGTTTTATTTTTTTTCAGTATTTTTAAATCTATAGCAAAAAAAAGCTTAGGGGTTGTCACGTAAGCGTTTTTCTTGTTGACTGTATTCCGGCAAAATGAGAATCCGTCCTTTTGCGATTCCGAGTAATTTTAAGTGCGAAGAAATGTATTAGAAATGTTTCGTTTTTCGTCTATAGGTTATAATAAAGTTCGAGGACGACTTGCGCACGAGTAAGATTGACTGTTTGGCGCTGGTTCCTTCAGTGTTGACAGCTTCTGCGCGCGTACAACAAGAAGCCGTGCTGCTGACCGATTTAATAGCCAAACTGGCGAGCTCACTTGGCAACATTGATGTAAGTAATGCTGTATTTAAAGAAATGTCAATAGTAGCCTCTAAGTAATATTACAGTTGATAACATAGCATACACAAAGTTGCCGACACACAGTATACATCATCGAACCGAGCGTATTGGCGGTAAATTCAAAACCATTAAAAATAAATTCAACTTTAATTGGTTTAATGGAGAGAAAAAGACATTAATTAATTCATTTTTATTTTTCTGTTAAATCTTTGTCCCAATCTTCAAATATGAGAATTTTCAAAAAATTGGAAAATACCCTATTGCATTAGTCTTCAGTGGACAGATTTAATGCATTCCTATTAGTTAATATGTATTTCTCCGTTTCTCCGCTCCCTAGCCTGGCTCCGCCCCAATGGACAGGCAGCCTAAGTCCGTTATGGTAGCCATACACACTACGAGAAATCGTTACGATCAGACTGTACAGTTCTGCACAGTCTGATCGTAACTCGTAGTGTGTATGGCTACCATTAGAAATCTTATTGTCGATTGATCTGGTATATGTTTAGCCCCCAGATTGACCACAGCACAAATTATGATAGTATTTTTAGTCAATTTATTTCTTTATTAAATAATTACTTATATACAGCGTATACAGAGTTTTATCATGTCTACTTCTTCCTACAACTCTAAGTAAATCAGCAAGTAGCGTTCATACATTACACTCAAAATTGAATCCTATTTTCTTAGGAAGAAGACACATCGGCCACAGAAGAAACTGCCCAATTCCCCACTATAGACTCTCGAACTGGCCACTCTGTACTCAACCATGTGTGTTTGCATTTATATAATAGATTCAAGCACACGGAACATTTGTTAGCAAGGGCTAGAGACTTGACAGTCGCGCAAAATTACGCTGTGCATGGAAATCAGCAGAGGATTGAGAGAGGTACCCAAGTGAAGTATATATATATATATTTTTTAATTTATTTATCATTGGCAACGAGATTATATGAGACATTATTGGCAACGAGATTTTATTGGCAGATAGCTGGTGTAATAAGGAGTTACTTAGGCTGTTTTTATTTAAGAAAAAGGCCGCTAGTAACTAAATACTTCACTATTAAAAGGTCTTCCAATATGTAAATTTAAATAAATTATAATGTCATTTTATTTCATAAATATTAAAACGAGCTAGTATCGACGATAGCTAAGGCAAAAAAATCTATGGCCTCTTCCGCCAACCGCCTCATCCGCGTTATAGTTAAACCCACTGGAAGTCAACATTTTTCCGGGATAAAAAGTATCCTATTATGTCTCAACTGAGGTAGTAAACTATAAGAGTGCCAAATGTCATCTAAATCCGTTTAGCCGTTTTTGCATGAATGAGAAACAAACAAAATTTCCATCTTATAATTAGCTATCTGTTCAAAATGGACATTCGTCTGTATTGTAGAAGTAAAAGGCTTTATTCCTTGCTCACTGCGTTCTTTAGACGTATATAGACAATATGGTGGTTGCTTACTATCGCGTATATTTAGGATTTATGAATGATTAATGTGGGTTGCCTGCCTTCAATGCAAAGAAATGGCGCTGCCTTGCAGCCTAAGAAATACTAGAGAAATTTGCCACGGCCATTAAGGCCGCGGTAGCATAATGGTCATTGCATCCGCCCGGAGCGGAGGGTGCGGGTTCGTTTCCCGTCTTCTGCCTGATCCGCGTGGAATATTTACTAATTTTTTTTTTTTTTTAGATTTAGACATTTAGCAGTTAAGAGCCCTTTTACAAAATTGCGCCGCTCCCGTACTGATCGGCGCGTAGGTAGATTTGCACTAGTAATTGCATTTTACGGGTGATGTTTCGAGTCTTATAAAAATAATTATTAATCATAAAAATATAAACATATTTCAGTAGTTCAATGATGGTAGATTAGTTTTATGAAAGTTTTTGATAGTAATTCTATTGAATTCAATATCAAAATACGAGGTAAACCTGCATTATTTTTTATGAAAACTCACGGAGGTTAGATGTTTTTTTTGATAATTAATGAAATGTAAAATCAAAATTCTAATACATTATGTTACAACAAAAACATATTTCTGATTTTATTTAATGAGTGATGTGCGTGAAAACCTAAGAAACAAATATTTCTGATGTCGTAGTAATTAATTTAATCTAATTTATTTAACATTATTGAGAGATTGAGGCGTTTGTAGTTGGTGCATATTATCGTTTTTTCCGTAAACTAGCTGCAGTAGAACGATCAGTACAAAAAAAGGAAAATAGTATTTATAAATATTCTACATTAACTTACAATAGGAAGAATAAATCTACTGTTTACTTCTATTGGAAATAATCAAAATGTTTTCTTAGGGGGAAAACGAGGCGCTCAAAAATTTCGATTTTTTGCAAAAAATGTAAATCTTAAATGATTAAAAAATTAAAATATAACTATCTCGGTACCAGCATAGTTGGTTAGTGCGTCCGCCCTGATTATTATTGTGAGAAATTCGACACGGCCATTAAGATTTCGGTAGCATAGTTAGTTAGTGCGTCTGCCCGGATAGCGGAAGACGCAGTTTGAAACCTGACAGAATTTTTCTGTTTTAATATTTCTTCAGATTTCAACGTTCGGTTCTCTATTTGACACGGACGTTATACCTGTGTTGTAGAAGTGAAAGAGCTGTATAAGAGCTGTGTGATCCAGCTGTGCCAGCTCAGCACGTGGGCCAGTAAGGTATGCAAGCTCCGTTGCTGCGTCGGCGGCGGCAGTGATCGAGTGCTCACAGTCGCCGTGAGGCTTTACTCCTTGCTCGCTGCATTCTTCAAACAGACTCCAGTTGCCATGGCTGCTACTCTTAGGTAAGGAGGATTTTATCTATTTACTAGTTGACCCCGCGTACTTCATACGGGTTAAAATAATTTGGAAAAAATGACGGACCCGAGTCTACCGTACCAAAAGGAACGAACGTCAAATGTTTGACAGGCAAGAAAATAGAACAGTTTACAATAGACATTTTTACTATATTCCTCGTAATTTTTCTATATTTTATGACCTTTTGAACCTTCCCTAGACCTCCAGGAACATTTCAAGACCAAGATAAGATAAATCTGTTCAGTCCGTTCTCGAGTTTTAGCGAGATTAACGAACACCAATTGATTTTTATATATATAGAAGATTAGTTGCATAGTGGTCAGTACATCCGCCTGGATAGCGGGGGTGCGGGTTCGAGTTGCGTCTGCTGCCTGTGCGACAGATGGGGGTCGCAGGTGGTGGGTTCGGAAATAAAAAAAGGTTTATTTGGTAGAAACAAATCCTTATATTGTGCCCAATTAAATTTCTATTGCCGTCGCGTCTTGGCAGGTATATAAGGTAATGGAAGAAACACAGGCCTGCGCGTCCTCCCCAGCCTCGGCGTCAGTAAGAAACGTCGGTAGGTACAGCCGACGAATTTCCGTTATAGTTCAAATGTTGTTTTCCGGCTGAAGATTCTCAGGCAGTCTCAGGAAAACGGAAGACACTCCCCTTAATAAGTTGAGGGTCGTCTTAGCACCTAGAACCTAAAAGGCACACCTTAATAATTGTTCCTGGACTTCTCAAGACGGTCCCAACGGCCAACGGCGTTAGTTACATAATGCTTACGTTAAACTTATAGAAAAGAGAACACCACAACAACTGTTATTAAACCTAGACAATAATGAAAACTCACCCCAGCGGGAATTTTATTTAAATACTAGCGGCCGCCCGCGCTGTGTGACCAGATTTTTTTGGCCAATCTACTGTACAACCTTATAAAAATCTACCAAAATGTACTGAAAAGAAAATGTGATCTACCAAAAAATCTACCTACTCTGTTGTTACCATGGAACGACGTTGTAGGTGAATCTACTAGGGTGTTGCGGTAAATTATTCCGTGATCGCCATTATCTCCTCGGATAAATTGTCATGTTTCACACAACACAAACATTTTTAATACACAATATGAGGAACTGGCGAACAAAACGTATAATTACGCATCTGGTCAAACTACTTTTTTTTTGCAGTCCAGAGGTTTTGGGCTCGTCGAATTTGAATCTCAAATAACTTTCAATCAAAATCGCCTAAAAAAATTACTAAATTTATAAATTAAAAACCATGCCAAAAGCTCACTGTAGGTATGTCATTCAGTTTTATACAGCTCTTGTAAAATTTAATTGTATGTAATTATATCGTTTTGTTCGCCAGCTCCTCACATTGTGTATTAAAAATGTTTGTGCTGTGTGAAACATGACAATTTATCCGTATCGGTATTAGTATTGCGATAGTATTTTGTTCATTACGCATTACTTTGCGTTAAACGATGATATTGTGAGATGAGAGAAATGACAAAATAATGGAACAACAAACCGCAAAACTTTAGTAAATTTACCCTGTAACTGTTGTTATTATATAAATAAAAGTCAAAAGTTTTATTGAAAATAAATGATGATCGAAACATGAATGTACTCTTTGCTTGCGATAGTCTGTCTCTTTCATATTTCCCAAAAACCTATAGTCTATCCTCCTTTAGTTATGGTGTGAACTTCAAAAGACAATAAATATAATTCCCTCGTCCATAGACAAACAAGAATTTGAATTTTTAGGGTGACAATCATTAAAAGTTGAATATCTACTAAAGGACATTGTTCAGCGTCCATACATAGTTAGCCTAAGAACCAACAATCATGAAATATTATTTTCTAGGTTCAAAATCGTAAGTAAATGATTGAAAAAACAAAGATTATTGACGGACACTTCTGAGAACTTAAATTATTAGGAAAACTAAATTTTTTTTGAGGTTATGTTTAATATTCGATGAAACATAGGTCAACCTATGAATTTAGTATAAACTCAGTATGAAGTGAATTAATATTACAACTAATTCACTTTATTCTAAACTATTAGGAAAAACTTGGTTAGGTAGAAATCATGAATAAAATAAAAACTAGTTTTGCTTCTTATTTATTGACTATTTTTCACTTAATAGTATCATATTGTTTATTGTATTTATTTGTATATCACATGTATATTGTGTAAATATGCAGCGTGAATGTGTATCAGGTGTTCTTGAATAATTTGGCAGTATGATCCTCTCAGGATGTTGTGGCACAGGTTCACTAGCACTTGGTAATAAGGGCTCTGCTCTTTGGTAACATCGATGGCATATTAGATAGCCGAAATAGTTAAATTATAGGAAAAACAATCGCAAATAAACACACACAACAGGTAATCCGAAACGAGAATGCACTTTCCGGTATATTATATACTACTCTTTGGAATGCACGAATGCCACAGATTACTACAAATGCAAATTGCATGCACCACAACCACAGAGTAAAGAATTTTATGCCGGCCCTTCACTTGACAACAGTTAGTCCTTGTCATGCTTAATAAGGAATGAAAAGGGCAGACTGATGTCATGTTTTAAAATAGCAAATACGAATAACCAAGTGAAGTGCCGGCATTAGGAAGAAAGAGTGTTTTGTTTGCAGCGCTGCCATAGATTATACACATAAAATGGTATTTATTGTCTCAGATTATTTTTTAACTTTTTAATTTAGCTTACTTAACTTTAACTGGAAGTATCCGTCACAATATAAATACTGATAATTATCGAAAAAAATATACTAAGAATTATCATAAATGCCAAATTGGTGTTGGTTCATAGGCCAATTTTAACATTGTCCTTTACTAGCTCAATTCTTAAATCTACCAAAAAATACTGATTACTTTTTTCCTACTGATGAAAGTTCATAATCTACCAAAAAAGTAGAATTCTACTGCATATATGGTCACGCTGATGACTGTTCAACGGTAGTTTTCTCACGCAAGGCTCCCCACCCCTTATTACGTAAACATATGATCTTGATATCAACGCATCAACGCGATCTCGCATTCCATTTCACGCGCGCGGTTGCGTCGCTGGAATGTACTTGATTTCTTAACTAATTTACATAATTAATGTTTTTAAATTAAGTTATACGTATAAGATTTCGCCGTTTACGTTAAAATTAAAGAATATTTAGATAAAATTTTATAAAACTTATTGTTATTATGGCCCATAATGGACTTTTTGGCGGGATCGGGAAGCTTCACTTTAGCAGTTTTGTTTTTCTTGTTAGAAATTGTGTTGTGGCGGATGTTAGTGTCTAATAATGGTGGATTATTAACCACTATGTGTTCGGGAACATGCACAAGTGTTGGCAAGTAAAACAAAATAGCGGAAAGTGTCTTTCGACGTTCCCTCAAGATGTCCACGGGGAGGTTTCAGTAAATCCACACACTTACTGAAACAGGGAAAGGGGGATTAACTTGACTGCCACTTGGACTTGGTTTCTTACTTTGACCACGAGTGCTATAGTATTTGTAAACATTTTAACACTTGACATTGGCTAAATGCACATGCCGTGCAAAGCCATTTAGAAAAAAGGCCTATAATAACGCACAACGTTACACCTGGTCCACGTGGTTTTTTTCTAGTAAAATTTTATTTACATTAAAACATGTATCAGTTAAATGCTTAAATAAGATGAAAAGATCAGGTATGTTATTCACAAAGGATACGACTTAGAAACTGCCCATACCATGTATAATTATTTCGTAGTAACCCGCAACATTATAATATTTAATTATTATTTATTCCGTGTTTATCATTTTTATACAATTTTCGTGAAGTAATCAAATGTTTAGAAAAATACTTCATGTTTGTTCCAAAGCGAAAATGTTCCTTTTTACATAAATCTTTACAAACATTATTTAAGTATGTGTATCGAAAATAACGATATGATTTCCAATCTCCTAAAAACTATGCAATACTTGACCCTATTTTTATTCATAACATATAACTGACGGCTTATGTATAGGTATATATTTACATTTGTGTCAAGTAATTAACGTATCGCCGACCATCCAATCAATTTGTATTGTAACATGCTATCAGCTCATTAAATTAGTGCAATAAAGACCATTTAACAGTACGGTGCTTTTTACATTGAAGTGAACTCCTATCTTACAGTGCACTTAGGGACACATCACAAGTCCCACATACAACATAATACATTAACATACAATTAAGTGTTTGGACTTATCACGGCTTATCTTAAATAGATATTATTTTTCTGAATAGCCTTGAGACTAGGCTGTATGATAGCTAATTACTTTGATTTTTGGAAATGAATAAAATACAACTTCACAGAGACCCTGTCAGGCCGACGACAACAAATAAAAAGGGATTTATTTTTGCTTTAAAAATACTTTTGCGAAATGTTAATCAGAGTGATGGAAGAAAAGATTCTAAGAAAAAACGAAATGGGTGTCTCTAAATAATTAAGAGATTTTCTTAGAATCTTTCTTCCAGTTTCCTCCTCCTTAGCAATATCCTTTATCAAATGTAGCAAGGTAATGACGTAGTTGGAGTTTTCATAATTTTCAGGATTGTAACTTTATTAAAAGTTCTTGAGCCCCTTTTTTATATATTACTAAGTACAATACCGTTTTAATTACAGTATTAAAATTGAAATATTATCTTGTCGTTGTGGAACTGATTTGGGGGTGGGTCATCTTGGACTCTAAACTGTTTTTCGACAAAAATATCCTCAACTCCTTTAATAAGGCCTCATGCTCACTCGGTTTTGTCCTTCGTTCGTCAAAACCATTCAGACGGATGACAACCGTCAAGATTCTCTGTTGTGCTTATGTTCGTAGCCACCTTGAGTATGCTAGTCAGATTTAAATCCCTGTTATGTAAAACTGTTATTACTATATGGTTGACGCTTCTATGTTTTTGTTTAGTCTTTTAATCATTACAGATTTCTATATGTGGTAGATTGTCAATAGCTTTTAGGTATCTTTTTACCCGGCTGCGCAATGCAAGAGCGCGGAGCGCGACGCGCAGACAGGGTTATGTGTTTAACAGTCTATATATGTATGTTTGTTCCTTTGTGGCACACTAGAGACCAAACGCCTGGACCGATTTTGATGATTCATACATCAATCGATTCGTCTCAATTCTGGGAGTGCTACTAAAGATATGATAGTAATCAAAATTCAATACCGGCAAAATTAGGCGCCATATTGTGACGAAGTAAAAAAAATAACTTGTCAAAATATGTCGAGTGGGGTATCACAGTCTAGATAATCGAAAATCATGTTTAGGTTCCTAACACCATTTCTCATTTTATATGATTGTTTAGGATCTACAACGCTTTAAAGTTGTATATTAACCACTTGGGCTTTTAATTTCAATCTTACGTTTATATGGATCTTTGTTACTCTTTCACCTAAAAAATACTGAATAGATTTTAATGAAACTTAACAGTAATATAGCTCATATATGATAATATCATATATATAATAATTTATGTAGTTATTGAGTGAGTTGGCCAAAATATAATAATAAGTGTCACATAAGACGGAAAAAAATCTCCCATCTGCGAGCCATTTTGGCCTGCACTGCAAAAACAATAAAAGTTACATGAATGTAATGTAGAGCGAAAATGTATCTCTTAAATAGTTCTAAATAAAAGTCCGTGACACCATATATCTATTTTTAATGTGTAAGTCATTACCGCTAAAATAGGGAATCAAAACTAAAATATTATTTGATATCTATTTCCAAAATGCACATTTTGTATTAACATATCATTTTTTATCAAAACAAATACTTTTATCGCTTTTGATATATAAAGACGATAAACTTTGCTTTTTACACTATGTCATTTCGACAAATATTTAAAAAGTTACAACGATGACAAAGTGATAGCGCGGTGTACTATGTAAGAGAAAAAAAATGGGGTATTCGCAGTATCTGATCCTATACGAAGTACTAACATTAAAACTGTGATACAGTTCCTTCTTATTAAATGATGAAAAATATATTATCATAATAGGTATTTATGATTATTGAATTTTAATGAAATACTCAGAGCTTTACTGTTTTTCATTTTTTTAACGATATTACTTAATGTTACAAAAAAGGTTTACTTAATATAATGACAAATAACCCATATTTCGCTAGTAAGTACATACTTATTGGAATCAGCTCGCGATAATATTGGTTTTGTAATACCTAATTCTGCAAAATTCAAAGTAAATAATGTAGATTTTTATAGGTAAATCACCCCTTTCATCACCCTACGCCTATAAGTATTGGGATGTTGTAGCTAAGAACCAAGTTCCCATCTATTTCTATATGGGAATTCATTATATTCGATTTAGCTATAAGGGCACGGAAGCGCAACAAACAAACTCACTTTCGCATCTATAATATTATATTATACTTACTAGTGATCCACCCGGGCATTGTACGGGCGAAATTTATTTATCGGGATAAAATATAGCCTATGTCACTCGAACAAAATGCATTTAAATAAAGAAAAATGTTATAATAAATAATGTAGCTACCTTATGATGAATTAATATTGAAACTGGTTCAGTAGTTTGACAGATTATTTGTTACAAACATACAAATCTTGCCACTTTATAATATTAGTATAGATAGGATAAGATAAGTATTTAATTGATGAAAAAGATTTAAAAATAAAGTAAGTAATAGGTTTATTTCATTATATTTGTAAAAGTTACTTAGCGTTTGTGCTTAACAGTGATATGTTATTCGGTATTTTTATAACAAAAAAAAAATTTGGAAATTAATTGCCAAGATTGCACTACTGGGAGTACTCTTTATTCGAGCTTTACACTACCAATAAAAAAGGGTCGAACACAAAGTCTTTGACCTGTTAAATGTGAACGCTTTAATAAAAAACTACAAAGAGAACCTTAAATTGATAATAAATGATATATAAATTGGTATGGTGCTCTACCTAACGTTATGAAAATTTTATTATGCGCCTTTAGTTTAATCAAATATTATAAACTTTGTTTTGGTGATTGCATAATGATTTAATTTAGTGATCTAAGGCAGTTGCCATCATTGTCCAAAACAACAGACGGGAATTACTTCTTTCTTCAACCTGCGACATAAACGTCATTGATTGGTATTGTATATAGGGTGATTAAAAACATTTGCAGTTAACTTCTGGCGTCTACATATTGGGTTTCTGTGAATTATGTAGGTATATCAAATTATGAGACTAGGGACTGACACTGAATTTGTGTATATCACAATCTTAGACGTCCGGCATTGACATGACAATGCAGCCACTGCCAATTTTAAATAGTCGACGAATAAAAGTAAATGAATTTTATATTTACTGCTAAACTATTAAAAACACATAAACAAAAGATGACTTTTTGAGTAAACAAGTGCTAGTTTACTATAAAATTTACATACATTAGAGATATTTATGTAACGACTTCATTTAACTTCACACATTTTTGCGAAAATTGAGGCCCATCTGTAGCCTTGACCCCGCTAGTAAAGTCTTTATATGTCTTAATAAATCAATCTTTTAGACCGACGCAAGGTACTTAATAATTCCCGCGATATTAATTTCCTTACTGAAGTAACAAGACTACGGTATATACCGTCTTAAAATACTAACTAACTAAAAAGTGTGAAATAAAAAAGGTAAATTTAAAAAATCAAAAAACCCGACTGCTTAATAATACTTCAAATAAAACTGAAAAGAAAAAAACAAGTCCAGTAGTCTATAATTCTGTTAATAAGGAACAAAGCTACTTTAACAGTCGGGACCCACTGTTGAAAAATATTATGTATTCTTGAATATCTAATGGGTCCCGACTGTTAAAGTAGCTTTGTTCCTTATTAACAGAATTATAGACTACTGGACTTGTTTTTTTCTTTTCAGTTTTATTTGAAGTATTATTAAGCAGTCGGGTTTTTTGATTTTTTAAATTTACCTTTTTTTTTGCTGTTATTTTCATGTTCATAAGCTGTTAGCTGCCCTAAGATAATAAATAAATAAATTTTAAACATTGCTAGAGCAGTCGCCCATACAACATTTTACCATGTCCTTTGCGCCATTTTAGGATATTTTGTAAACGTTAAATATATTTTTTGTATGGGGACGTATAAAGTTTACTGTTAATAACTCATCGCATTATTTCAGTATACAAATTTTTTTAGTTACTCAGGACACTCAAAATTCACCACGGGTAATAGCTGTTTACATACACATATGTAAAAAACATAGTAGTATATTTCTAACCTGATTAAAATAGATGATTAGTCTCCCGTTCAATACTCCAGTTGATTGATTGCAGCCTGCTAACTTTACATTATTATGGTCTATCATCTGATCAGATTGGAGCGCCTTCTGAAACTGTGCGGCAAGAAGCTGTCCTCCGTGACAGACACTCTGGTGACTTACTTGGAGGCGTCTCAACAACCGCGCCGAGTGTTGCGCGACACTAAACTGATACCGCGCCTGGTTCTAGAGGCGGAGAACTTCAGCAAGCACGCCATATTGCTGGCCAACGGGGCTAAGGTGAGCTCATTAGGTTCCTCACAAGAAGCTGTCTTCATTGACAGACACTCGGGGCTAAGGTGAGGTTCATTAGGTTCTCCACAAGAAGCTGCCTTCAGGGACAGATAAATAGTGATTTACTTGGAACTTCAGTAAGGACGCCATATTGCAGGCCAATGGGGCTAAGGTGAGGCTCATGAGGTTCCTCACAAGAAGCTGGCTTCAGTGACAGACACATAGTGACTTACTTGGAACTTCAGCAAGCACGCCATATTGCTGGCCAACGGGGCTAAGGTGAGCTCATTAGGTTCCTCACAAGAAACTGTCTTCACTGACAGACACTCGGGGCTAAGGTGAGGTTCATTAGGTTCTCCACAAGAAGCTGTCTTCACTAACAGACACATAGTGACTCACTTGGAACTTCATCAAGCGCGCCGTAGTGATGGCCAACGGGGCTAAGGTGAGGCTCATTAGGTTCCTCACAAGAAGCTGTCTTCACTAACAGACACATAGAGACTTACTTGGAACTTCATCAAGCGCGCCGTAGTGCTGGCCAACGGGGCTAAGGTGAGGCTCATTAGGTTCCTCACAAGAAGCTGCCTTCAGTAACAGACATAGTGACTTACTTGGAACTTCAGCAAGCACGCCATATTGCTGGCCAACGGGGCTAAGGTGAGGCTCATTAGGTTCCTCACAGGAAGCTGTCTTCACTGACAGACACATAGTAACTTACTTGGAACTTCTGCAAACACGCCATATTGCTGGCCAACGGGGCTAAGCTAAGGTGAGACTCACTAGGTTCCTCACAAAAAGCTGTCTTCACTGACAGATATTACTTTTCTTTAAGTAAAATTAATATATTTTATTTATTTATTTAATTCTTAATGCACAATTGTGCAATGGCGGACTTAATGCCGTAGGCATTCTCTACCAGTCAACCATAGGGTGTTGTGGAGAAAATTAGTGGTAGGGTGCACAACTGAGGTGGAAATAACATATATCTTTGTTCGCAGTTGAACTTCCAACATTACCTGTCTTTGGGTACCGCCAGAGATTTCAGAATCAGGGCGCCATTGCTGCAGGAAGCTTTACAAGCGCGGGGAGAGCCCCAGGAGGACATTGAAGCCACCAGGGATGAAGGTAACTATTTATGCCTGTTGTACCGAATGCACCATTGACTTACATTATTATTGGTGCAGAAGAAACTGATTGGCTTTTATGGCTTTTATATTAATATGAAAGCAACTACTTTCCTCGACTATGCGCAATAAAAGTTTGGTATTATAATAAGGAAGATTTAGTAGTTTACATTTCCTAAATATATAGTAGAAAAAACTTACGTCGAATAAATAGTATAAATGTTTTAAAATAGCCACTTTGCACGGGTAGTTTAAACGCGCGCTATTTTCGAGCGCCTGGATTTTTTAGGCATTTAACTGCTAGATGTTTAAATACTAAAGAAAAGTTTACTAGAAAAAAATCCACGCGGACCAGGCAGCGGACGGGACTCGAACCCGCATCATTCGCTATCCGGGCGAATGCACTGCACTGCACTGCACGGCCCTATTAGCCGCGTCGAAATTTTCCTAGCCTTTTTTTTTCTAGTAAACTTTTCTTTAGATTTAAAAAAGTTATTCTTTTATAAAACATATTTACTAAGATTAAGTGAGATTTTTTATAATAATATTAATTATATTCTTTATTGCACACAACAAAGGACACAAGACATAATATTTTTGTATATAATATTTATTTATTAAGACATAGTTGGAAAAAACATTAATCAGAATGTAGCTCTTTAATTCTGCTCATCTCTGCACTACCGTCGGAGTAGTCATCATCATTGTCATCATCATCACTGATGTTTGCGGCTATAAAGTAAAATCGATTATTGTAGGTTAAAACGACAACTTTTTTTCAAATTTTCAAATTCTATTTTTATTTCAAATAAAAACGAAAAAACAAGAACAGTACAAGCAGTAGAATTACATGAACTTTCAATATCAAAAGATCTTTCAGGGTTTGCATTTATGGCTACGGACCATCAAGATCAGTGTATGGATAAAAATAAAATAACTCTCAGTTAAGACCTCCATCTGATAAATTAGATTTTATGTTTGTTATATGTATTTTTTTAAAATAAAAATTTAAATATCGTCATTCTGTTATTTTTTTCAAAGTGATCAATTTGTGCAACCTTTTAATGTTATTCAATCTTCTTGAAATTTGGCATAGATGAGTTTTATATCATTGCAATTAGGGGGGCGAGCGAAGTCGGCAAAAAAAAAAATGTCTAGCAAAATGAAACACCCTCATGAGCATTCTTGACTAATTCGACTTTGGAACCTTTAACGGAAAATTTCAGTTTGATTAACAGAATGGTGGCCTGGTACATAAAGAAGTTGGTACTACTCTAACTTATGAAAAGTGAAAAAGATACACTTTACTATTTGAAGTAATGTTTTTCTAGAAAAAGTTTATAGTGCTTCAGATCATTACTAAAATTAACAAGACTGAATTCTAAGCAAGACTACAATAAACTTCGACACCTCTGTTAAGGTCTCATTGACATAATAGCGATGATGACGGGATAAATTAAATGAAATTCTATTTGGTCCGTCAGTTAGATTAGGAAAAAATAATGGACACTTATTTTTCCTTTTGTCAATCAAGCAAAAAGCCACAAACATGAAGAGTGTCCAAGTTAGGGAAAGAGGACTCGTGATGTCACTTCGAAATAAAAATTCTATTAAGACATGACGTCATTGGACATTTCAAATTAATATAACTATCTCTGTAATATTTTGAAAAAAGAAAAAAAATTACGTGTCCAAAATTCTTTGATGATCTCCTTCCTAATAGACGAAGAATTAATCATCCCTATTGGTTATGCATTCGTCCGAATCCGTAGGTATAGCAAAAGGTTATGGGTTAGAATAAAGAATAAAGCCTTATAGTACCTGGAAGGAGCTTTTTTTCATGAATATTATCAGGAAATATGTATATATATTTCCATATTCATTTTTTACAGGTGACGTCGATATTAATGACGCAGCGACAGAAATCTTGTCGCTAGCTGGCTCCGATGACGAGAATGATGAGGCTGATGAAGGCGAAGCTACTTCTAAGAGAAAGCGCAGAAGAGTTTCTTAATTTTATAAATATTATGTAACATTGTAAATAAACTATTTTTCTTTATTGGATTGTTTTTTTTACTAAGTGGCTTTTCGTTAGATTAATTCAATTGAAAATATTATTTAAGAAAAGAGTAGGTCTAAAAAGGCCTATTTATAATTCAATTCCATTCAATCAATGTTAATATACCTACTTACTTAACTGAACTTCAAATAAGTAGGTAATAATGGCTCGATGGCGTAGGTGGTAAGTGAGTTCGGCCTGTGATTGAGGAGGTTGATTGTGGAGCTGTAAGTTGAAAAACTTTCGTAATGGTCGGTCATTGGATGGGTGATCATAAATTATTAGGCCGCCGTCCGCTGGTCCCGGCTGCATCAGCAGTCGTAAGTAGGCAATTAATCCGCACTAGCCAGCCTGGTGGGTCATGCCCCAATCTCCCTATTCCATCCATAGGGAAGGCCTGTGCTCCAGCAGTGGGGGCATTAAAGATGATGATGAAATTAACTACTGACAAACTAAACACACATAAACTATGAAAGTATGGAGTCGTTTAATTTCAGTTCCGCAGAAATGATACCGTAAGTATAATTACACATAGAACAAATACCGTGTCGATGTTTCCTGTGAAGTCGCCTGCGGGTGCCGCTTGTCGTTCCGTGAAACGCACTCTTTTGTTTGTACAACATTATCGTGGAATTTATGATGAAAAAAGCAACTCATTTGCGTTCAACTTAACCATTATGTAATTATTGGAAACGCAGCCGCAGAACGCCATATGTGCGATGTGTTGCAACATTGTTGTTATAATGTTATGGAGACGCTTCATGCGGTTATAACTACGATGATAGCATATTTGTTTAACCTTGTAACCACCAAGGTAAAAAATTAATGTCTATTTATACATTACATCATATTAATCTCTCGATTAATAATTTGTGAAGAAACATTTTTTTTAAAATAAACCCTTTTTGTTTCATTACGTAATGAAAATACCTACTAATATCAGAAATTAAATTGCAAAGTAACTTTCTATTCGTTACTTACCTTTTCAAGCTTAAATAGCTGTCTCTATTTAGATGAAATTGTACAAATGCCTAGCTGGGTATACCGATCTACCATGGAACATCCCTATTTTTGCAGGTATATAATTTTCGATTTATTATGCTTGGCGCTAGGGGCACGCCAACGGTTAAGGGTTAAATGTATTTGTCAAATAATTTTAGATTATCATGTGAGAGGTATGTTGCATTTTCAGCTCGTAACATCCCATCTTACAAAACAACACAGTAAAAGAAACACTACTTATTGGTGGTGTTGTGTTTCTGTCGGTAAGTATTTAATTACATTCTTATTTTTCTTAGGGGCAAAAAGCGACAGTAACCATAATGGGTCAATCGATTATTATTAGTAGATCTATTGGCTAGATGCATGATGGATCTAGTGGGAATTTATTTCCTCAGAAATGGCCGTTGAAGTATTACCTAAGCACTATAGGGGGCAGGGGGGGTCTTTGCATTGCTTATTTTTGAGATTTCGAGATAGTGATTACGTCAGCATCATGGATTCGGGTGTCATGGACTGAAGATTGTATACATATACCAAAAATTCGAAAGAAGTTTGATTTGTTCGTAATAGGACCTTACTCAATGTTGAATACTGTGTCAAAAAAGTTTGTTTCAATGAATATTATGTGCGTTAAAGTCCTATATCCTAAGCCTATTTAAGTACTGCTGCTCGTGAAGCTTATGAAAGCTCATGAACGAATAAAAAGAAACAGAATATATTGAAGGAAAAATGCATAGGTACCAATGTTTACGTTGGCACGCGAGGGGGGGAGTAAGAGCTTTGCTTACTTTTGCTGACAAGGGGGAGGAGGGGGTAAATAATTTTAATAAATCTGCTTACGTAATACTTGAACGGCGCATAAGATGCTGGTTACAAAATCTTGCTATGGATTCAAAAAACGCTCTCGCCTTTATAGTCCAGGGTCGATAATTTTTGAGACCAAAAAAAATTATAGTAGGATGAAACCCATTAGAAAAGGTAGAGAATATAACAAAAATGAAAGGAAAAATAAATTACGGGCGATCTGAGGTCGGGAAGGGGGAGGGGGTGAGTTTTTAAGGGTAAAAAATGGTTAATCTCGATTTCCGGTTAACTGCAAGTCCTATGAAAAAAAGTTAAATGGCAAAGTTGTAGGTAATAAAAGGATCTACAACTTTTGTATCGACACTTTTTTCACATAACCTCAAAATATATGTGAAAAATGCGAATAACCGAGTTTTTGGTTTTTGGTTTTTAATTTTTGCAAAAAAAAATATTTTTTCACGAAATTAGGTAAAAACTTACCTTTGCATGTCCCAAATATACAGTATTTTTTTTTATTTAAAATATTCATTTTTTCACCTTATTTTGACTTAATATCGATTATCGACGGATTCGAGTTTTTTTCATTATTAATTTGCATTTTCTGAGAACATTTATCATAGTAGTGTATATTTTATACCATCAGAAAGTAGAGATTTCAACAAACAAAAAACACCTTGACGAAACATTTTGACGTGAGAATTTTCGATTGAAAATTAGGGTGCTTTTTGGATATTAAGTCAAAATAAGGTGAAAAAATGAATATTTTAAATCAAAAAAATTGCTGTATGTTTGAGACATACAAAGGTAAGTTTTCACCAAATTTCGTGGAAAAATATTTTTTTTTGCAAAAAATAAAAATCAAAAACCAAAAACTCGGTTATTCGCATTTTTCACATAAATTTTGAGGTTATGTGAAAAAAGTGTCGATACAAAAGTTGTAGATCTTTTTATTACCTACAACTTTGCCATTTACCTTTTTTTCATAGGACTTGCAGTTTTACCGGAAATCGAGATTAACTATTTTTTACCCTTAAAAACTCACCCCCTCCCCCTTCCAGACCTCAGATCGCCCGTAATTTATTTTTCCTTTCATTTTTGTTATATTCTCTACCTTTTCTAATGGGTTTCATCCTACTATATTTTTTTTCACTTTTCACCATTTTTAAAATTATCGACCCTGGTCTATTAGAATAGTTGTTTGCTCCTTTAGTAAGTAATCTACTGTTAACTTCGTTGCAACCTAGTGTTCCCCGACACTCGCGCATTTTTTTAGTTTATAGGTTTTATTATCTTTCGTATAATCGATGAATGATATGCTTGTGGTTTGTTTTAACCTTAAGTTTCTCATTTTAGTTTTCCATATAAAAAAAGATATTATTTTGGCTTAGAGGTTCTGGTTATGAAATCTTTAATAACCGGTGAATAGATCTTTTTTCTCTGTTTCATAATCAAAACCTTTTAGTCATGTATGGTCTCTGTGTTTCACAGACAGATGCGACTTGCGGCCTGCGACCAGTTGTATTTGTTTGATTGCAAACAAATACAACTCGCTTACATTGGTACTAGGTATTGAGTAGCAATGTACGCGAGTTCTCAAACACGATCAACCAATATGGGCTGTCCGCGGCCGCAGGCCGTCTTTGTTTGTGAAACACTTTATGATTTTATTAATGGAATCTTAGCTATGAATGTGCGAAGGGATCCTCACTACCTAGACCTAAATTGTAAATAAAACATATTGACAAACAAAGTTTTCGATAGTTCCCCTATATTTTTAGGGTTCCGTACCTCAAACGAATAAAAACGGAACCCTTATAGTATCACTTTGTTGTCCGTTCGTCCGTTCGTCTGTCAAGACCGTTTTTCTCAGGAACGCGTGGAGGTATCAAACTGAAATTCATATCTAATACTCAGGTCTACTGTCCCTTGAAGCTGTGAAAAAATCAAACTTCTAAGCCAAAGCAATCAAAAGATACAGCCGTTTATGCCGCAAATTTTCGAAACTCAAAATCAAAACCTACAGGGTACTTCCCGTGTACTTAGAATCTTAAAATTTGGTACGAAGTAACGTCTTATAGTATAGATAAAGAAAAATTTTTTAGTTACATCATATAAAATAAAAAATATTTTTAATGATTATTAAAATATACCTACAGGTTTGTACGGTGCGCGAGTCCGACTCGCTCTAGGCCGGTTTTTTTCTATAATAATAATTTTAATCATAAAATAAATCCTTACTAGATCCATCATGGATCCAACCAACGGATATAGGTACTGAGAATGATCGGGGCCAACGTGGTTGTAATATTTACATTAGGATAATAATATGCTTCTACATTTAAAGTGAGCATGTCAGAAACATGACACTCAGATTACAGCTAAAAAAAGGTATTTAATTTTTAAAGGTATAGTATATATAAAGGTAGGTATATACAAGCATGGCTGAATCACAGATTACGTGGAATTCTCGTGTCCTCGCCGCAAGCGGATTTTACAGCGATGCATATGAAATTACTCGTGTCGATCTGGGATACCTACTACCGATGTATTTCCGTTGTATCCTTGCCCCGCGTCCACAAATTACCACGAGTTCCAACGAACCTATTACTAATCGAATTCTAGTGAAATAATACAAATTACTTACATAGGTACCTGCCATAAAGAACTCTCCCCCTTCAGGAATGTATATTTGAATGATATGATTTGAACATCAGCTTCCATTATTTAGAAGAGGGCTATTCGATCAATTTATAATCTTAAAGTTAAGGATTCATTAAGAGATAAGTTTAAAGAAATAGGTATATTGCATACATACAGTTGCATCACAATACTTAAATGACAACTTAGTATTCGTAAAAAGAAATATTAATTTGTTTACTAAAAATAGTGTAATACATACACATAATAATACTAGAAATAAAAATAACTTTACCTGCTACTAGGCTCCACTTCAAAATCAATAATTCGTTTAGAGGTCTTAGTGTTCGCTTTTACAATAAAGTTCCAAGCAATATTCAAGAGTTAAGCATGACTAAATTTAAATCGACCATTAAAAAATCACTAGTTAAGAAAGCATACTATAAAGTGTCTGATTATATTACAGACAAAAATGCTTGGAAATGAACTGTTCCAACCATTCCAACGGGTAT